CTACCCCTTATTGAAGAAGACTACCTCGTTCGGTGGCAGGAGCACTTGAAGTCCATCCCCGAGTAAATCAACAGCAGTGCTTGAAATCGACGCCCGTAGAAGCCACTGCTGGATTGACCATCGGCCGCTTGTGGCATCGCGAAATCTAAGACATGCGCGTAGCAGGATTGGTTTCGGTTTCTTGGTACCAGCGCAACATGGAATTGATAAATTCGGTTAGTTCGGCACTACTGTTCTTGCCGATGCAGCATATGTCGATGCAGATCCAATCTATGCCAGATCGCTTGGCAATCTCACACGTCTTGGCAATCTTTGCGCACTCCTTCTTTGTGAAAGTGACTGCGAGGTCTTGCATATCTTCATGCGACACTTCAGGTCGTCTTCATCCCACGTATGAGAGAGACTGACGGATTGCGCTCCCTTTGACCGTTCATGGAGTTCAAACGTTGTCGTGTTTATGAATCATATGCTGATAATTGAGCTAGTCACAGTTAAGATCGGGATTGATGATACTTTAGTTTGCAGTCGGTGAGGAGGAAGGGGATGGAGTTCACGGCGAACGTTTACCTTGGTCAAGAACCATTGGTCCATGCGGGCCACATTATCGGCCCTCAGGTAAACGAAGCCACGGGCTAATCGGACTTTACTCTACTCCTTATGATGGATGACATAGCCTCTAATCGTAAAAGTGTTGTCGCGTTTGTGTGGGATCATCATTTGTTTCTTTTGTCAGCCTCTTGCCAAGATTTAAGTTCAGCAAGACCAGCTTAAATCAACGTAACCCTTCAAAATACTTAAGCATAATTACCAGCCAGTGGGCACTGAAATTAAACGACAGCAAAATTTAGACGTAAGAAGGTCTATCTTAACTATCTAGTTCGTATTTGCAAAATTCAACATGAGCTTATGGTTGACGGCATCTCAACTCTACTCTCTGATTTTGTATCTGATTTTGGTAGTGTTTCATACAAAGGCAGATTCAAAAAGGACATGTGCGAGTATCCGTTTTCTTTTACTTCTAATCTAAGCGAATCTTTTAACAATCTGGCTCGAGAAAATAATCCAGCATACTGTAGGCCAGAAACGTGCCTGAACAGGTGAAATTGATAAATAGGTTGACAGGTAATGGATATTTGGCGACGTTCATTTCAATTTCACTAACAATCGTGGGCAACTTTCCTAAGCCTTCTAGACGTATATACTGGAATAAATAGGGCTGACTTCCAAGCCTTGAATACGTCCATAGATTCAGACCTTCCGATGAGAAGGTCCTCACGCAAGGTAGTTTTTGGAATATTTCATTGTAACAGACCTATCCTAATGAAAGGGCAAAGAAGGCTGCTTGGTAGATGTCAGCACCTGGAAGATATTGATGGCTAAGTTCATGATCGTCTAAATAGCCTATGAAGATCTGAGAGACAAGCAATGGCATACTTGCGTGATTGACCCGCGCGGATCGCCACCAAATGGAATCCATACTTCTCACGCTTAGAAAGGACCAGTGTGGTATTGTCAGCTCTTCCTCATTTCGTCAGCGCGTGCTCGTTTTGTAACGTTGCATCGATAAGTTGGCCTCAAAATTTCCCTGGACCAAAGCATTCAGGCGCGCTGTTGACTATACTGAGATGGTGGCATCAAAGCCGTCATCATTCGACGAAACTAGGTAAGCAACGAGTATTTCGTCCGTAAACACCCTTCTCGCATACCATCCTTCCCTCTTCGTCCATTCGTATCGATCATGGTCGCTGCCTGAGAGTAGGCAAGGGATCTTCATCGAGAAGGTCTCAAATCACCTGGACTAGCTTAACGACCGGTGGGCGACTAGACAGACGGGTTAGGACTCCAACCCCCACGGAGCTAGTCTCCCCGTACATCGGAGGCTGAAATCACAGCGCGATCACCGTAGGGTGCCAGGATGCTGATCCATGAACCCTTTGGAGGATTAACGAAGTGAGTCGAATTGCATATTCACCGAGACGCATCATGTACTAGGAGCATAATATTGCTCGGGCCGAGACCACTAGGTTGAATGATTGGCTGCGAAAGCTTCCGCTCCGGGCTAAGAGCTCCCCTGTCATATTTCACATTGTCTGCGCCTCTGTCAAATACTGTTGGCTGTTTGATAACGGTCCAGTCTTACTACATATCCGGAGGCGGACAAGTGCCCTGGTTGCCTGTGATAAGTTATAGCGTGCGGCTTTAGCCGGCACTCTGGGGTGGACGTAGATCCTTGCCAAGTCGTTCATGATAAGATATGCCGCGTCGGAGCAACGGGACCAGAAGATGAGGCACAACGGGATGCAGGGGCCTCAAAGGAGATCTTACTTGGCACTTTTGCCAACGAATAGACGCCGACCTAATCGGAAATCATGCACAAGCGACAAGGATTATGATCCAAAAAGGTTTCCGTCGCTCAAATTTCGTGAACAGCGGCTCACGACCGAGATCCGCGCTTGCTCAGACCGCACCGAGATCCGCTTTGAACAGTACATGTAAATACTTTGCCATCCGTTTTTGTCTAGTCGTCGCCCGGGAGGCGTGCGATGGGCCAACGTCTCGGTTCGCGCCGGGCTTAGCGGCATGCGTAGTGTCTTCGGCTAAGCATATCAAGACTCATGGCATATTGCTTTGGGCTTTCGTCTATGTTTGCCAAGTCAGGAAGCCCGTCAAGCAAGCTTACGTATGCGTGTCAGCACGACCAATGTTTGTGTTCCAATCCCACTTCCTACATACCTTCCTTCACCCCGATCAGTCAATTTACAAACATACTAGCACCTACAACAATCGATGGTGGCAGTCTTCGTGTTTCTTCCTACACCATCCCTATCCTCTTTCCCACACCCGGACCGACTTTTGCTCAAAAATGATCTCAAGTGCGCTGGAGAGGCAGCCGCCGCAGCCAGATGAGAAGTCGGTGAGCACGGGGCCAGTCTTGGTACCAAACCCTCCCTCACTTAGCGAAGAGCAGTATGATGTGAATGAGAATCTGTCCCCTCGAGACAGCGGGAGAGCAGCTTGGACGAGTCTAATTGCTGTCTCCGTCATTGCAATGGCCACCTGGGGTGAGTCATTATGAGATTCGCCGTACCGCAAGCCATTATACAAGTTGACAATCATGGATATAGGCTTTGGAGCTACTCAGGGCGTGTTTCGAGAATACTATTTCAAGACTCCTCCTCTGCAAGGGAATCAACTAGTCGCTTCTACAGGCCTGCTGGTGGTGGTGAGTACGCTTCATGTGCGTTTGTACCACTGAACTGAAGTTTGCTAGGGCCTACTGCAAACCCTGCCGCCGTTTCTGCTCAAGATCATCACAGCATACCCCCACTATAGACGCTACATGATGTGGAGTGGTATGGTGCTAGTGGTAGCATCCTCAATTGGCGCTGCTTTCTCGACTACTGTAAGCAGTTTGCAAACATTCTTCGTCTTTGAATGAAAGTTTTAACAGTCTTTCATAGGCTGTTCAGGTCATCATGACCCAAGGGCTCATGTATGGGTTCTCGAGCGGCCTTCTCTTCGCACCTTGCTTAAGCTTCGTGGACGAGTGGTTTCTCAACCGTCGTGGTCTTGCCAATGGCATATTGTATGATGCCCAGAACCTCATAGACAACAGGGCGACTAGCTTACTTGACGGTGTCAGTTTCGGAGCCCCCAATATTGCGGCCGCTGGTCTTTCTCCCATATTTTCCGTTCTGCTGAAGCGCTTCGGGCCTCGTACAACTCTGATTGGATGGGCCGTCTTTACAGCAGTGATATTATCGCTCGGGATTCTCTCCGTCCGCCCTCGGCGTACAAGTAAATCGGAAATGAAGGCTGCAGCTCGACAATCATCGTCTACTACCAGAGTATTCAGAAAGCCGGTGTTCTGGCTCTTTGTTTTCTCGATGACGCTCCAAAGTTTGGCAAACAATCTACCGGCAAACTACCTGCCCAGTTACGCTACGGACCTCGGTGTCTCGCCAGAGAAAGGTGCCTTGTTGGTCACATTCTTGTCACTGTTTGGGATCATCGGTCAAATCTCGCTGGGAGCCTTAACGTGAGTGGAATGGCCTAAAAGTCTACGTATGGCTCGTTGCTAATAAGCGGATACACCAGAGATGCGATCGGACCTTTGATACCCATGCTGCTAAGCACCCTCGTCAGCAGCTTTGCGGTCTTCGTTGTATGGGGATTGGGCAGATACTACTGGAATATGGTGATTACTTCGATCTTATTTGGAGCATTTGCCTTCAGCTTCATGGTTCTGCGAAGCCATATGGCGGCCATTGCGGTCGACGATCCCGAGCGGCCGGCTGAGGAACTCTTTGTCTCCGGTATCCTCCTATTCACCAGAGGTGTCATAGGTGTGGCATCAGGCTATATAGCTGCGGCTGTTCTCCAAAACAGCGAGAATATTGGAGTACAACCTGGGTACGGTGCTGGAAAGTGGCGATCATTCATCATTCTCCTGGGAACCACAATGACAGCAGCCACCCTAGGAGCATTCGGTCTGTTAAAGAAACGAAAGACAACTTAGAAACTTGCAATTTTTAACATAAGAGTCAATGAATGAGATCGATTCAGACGTGAGCAGAAATACAGGAGAATCGTATTTGAGGCTTGCCTTCGCAATGGGTGCCGATGGGACACAATTCAAATCCTGGTGAATATATGGATACTAACAGCATATCGGCTAATTACTCGTACATCGCCAAAGCGAGAAAGTGAAATCCTCTATCTATCAGGCAGAACTCTCATAAGTCCTCCGTTGTGTGTCTTTGAGTCAAGATGGTCGCATATTTCACGCTTCGGTTTTGCATTCTATTTGAGGATCAAAATTTACATTTGAGAAGACCCTGCAATTAAGCAAGATTTTGTTGAAAAGAATACAAGCATACATTGCTTAGCGTATAGGTCCAGTATACAACTTCAAAGCAGAGATGATGCAAATTTCTATGTTGCCCCCACCAGCCCGTCTGTAACTCGGTGGCCCCGAACAGAATAGTACTCGCAATTTTTTACAAGAGTTCCTTTCCCAGTCTCTGCGTCGAAGACGTAGCAACCATTTCTGACAATGTTGGGCGGCGTGTAGAGATGGAGCGAAACGGCAAATTCGGTACTGTTATTCCACATCTTGTGCACACCCTGGTCATCGCTCATGTAAGCCACATGGTTCTCTGTATAGACTGATTCCAAAGCCATATGCATGCTTTCATTCCTGTCACCTAAGGCGACCAAGTTGGTTTCTCGGTTCGTTTCTTGGGGAAAGTCGTAGCGTGTCTCCGTCAGACTTCCTTTGAGAATCTTCATCAAGCAGTGTGCGTTGCTATGACTGTGGATGGGGCTTCCCTTGCCGGGTGTCCAGACGAGAACCAACTGTATCCTCACAAGTTAGCAATGGACGAGGATCTTTGAGCGTCACAGGTCTTACCAAGTTACTCTTGCCGTTACCCTCGTCTACAAGGTTCCGAGTATATGCCATGCTAGGATCGGCAAGTGCAAAGGCTCTCCAGTCTTTCTCGTTGCTGGTATAATTCTTCATAAGATCCATCAACAAGTCAAGGTCGATATCATCGCAGGTCAAACCTGAAGAACCGAGAGCGTCTTTCAGGGCTTCCACAAGCTCATCGAACTTGCTAAGACCTTTCAGGCTAAGTGTATCCTCGAAATGCGGCATTGTAAGAAACTTGGACTTGTCTTGACTCAACATCAGCCCAATGTGTGAATTGGTCGAGAGGGCGGCAATTATAGTTTTCCGTTCTCAACCTCGTTGTCTGATCTCTAAGCCATGCTCCCGTGTAAGTCCTAATACCTCCATAACAAAACCTTTACAGACTTCACTGAAATTCAAATCTTTGTCCAGTTTTCTGGAGTCTGCCTAGTTGAGCTATTCGCCCCGGGCCTGATTCCAGTCGGGGCTGACATGCATAATGATGTCTGTGATTATCTCGAAAATAATATGGTTATCAACTCACGTCGTTCTCAAACTTGAGTCGAGCAGGGAAGCCGAGGTGACCAGTAGTGTAAAAGTGATTGCGCCGAGACATGGCTACGACTCCATCCCGATCCTTCCCCCCACATCCTCACCGGGCCATCCTCTCCCTGCAATGCAACGCTTACATTCCCGTTCCGCCGTGTTTTGTGTTAGCGGCGAACGCCTCCCAAACTTTGTATTTGCACTTTCCTTTTCTAGTCATAAGTTTGTCGTGATCCTATAAGAAAGATGAGCATGCGGATATCGGGTACCGATTGCCGGCATTTTCTGAGGGGGTAATTATGTTCCTTTGCGACAGCCGCATGGGTACTAGGAAATACAAGCTCAACGCTCCCACATAAGTAAGATGACAGCCAGGGTAAGACAACGCCCCTGCTAACCCCTACGCCGAGTGCTTGCATCCGCCTTGTTCCGAATTTCAGCCTCGGCTGGAATTTGGCGCCCTGTGGAACATGTACGATGTTCATAAGAGGAAAACTTGAACACCTTAGGCTTGAAGATAAGTCCATCGAGCGAGGGGATTCTGTCAAAAGTTCCGTAATTTAGGCAGTCAGCGGACGCAGCCGCGAGGCGCATTCTGCTATTACTTACAGTCCGAGACAAGGAGGTCGAGAAGGCATGGAGGTACAACAAAGAAACATTGGAAAAGAAGGGAGGATGTTTCTTGTAGCTTGGTAAGAGGGCAATCTACAAATTGAAGATGATTGTCATGTTATCGAAATGTATTCAGCTGAGGCCGAGTGAACAAGATTCATGGCCTGATCTCCAGGTCAGACGAGGTAGAGTGGAAGATGCATAGATGTGATTGGCCCCTGCGACGGCTATAGGATCAGCAAGGCGTCGAAAGGACGCGTAAGTGGGTGTAACTATCCATAATATCGAAGTTGAGCACAGTTGCCGGCCGAGAGGAAAGCTCTTTCCAAGATTGCGACTGGATAAAGTATTTTAATCAGTTTTATGATCTATCCAGAGAGCTCGCCTACCTCAACATCTTGCTTCTTTCACCCCGTCACCAGTCGTAGTACGTTTACAATATCATATCTGATTTCTCTCACTTCCTCAAGATGACCGTGGCTGGTTCAAAAAAGATGGATGGTGCTTCTGCACCCTACGCACCGACGGCAAACCTAGATACTGTGGTTTTCTCCAAAGTCCTAGACCGCGATCCAGCGACCATGGAAAAGATCATCTCTGCCTGCGAGAATGTTGGATTCTTTTACTTGGACATCTCCGACCAGTATTCTGCAACAATGCTGGAGAACCTTGACAAGTTGAACATTGTTATGAAAGACTGGTTCGACCAGCCAACCGCCGCGAAGCGCAAAGAACTGGCTATTAGCATGGCATCTCATGGGTTTGTCAAAGCCGTCATTCTAATTTGAGCTATCATTACTTTATTTAGTGAGGGTGACTGACTTGTTGCCCTAAGTTATAAGCCAATTGGTTCTCAGGCTGGAACGCACGGAGGCCGAGATGGTTGGGAAGTTCTCAAGGTAAGCATTGGTGAGACTTATAATTACAGACAGCGACGATTCTAACAACTGTAAAGACGGGTAGCTTCGAATTGGCCGGACGATGGGGTCTACCGCCAGTGGTAGAAGACAATCTCCAGGCATTCACCTCTTTCCAAAGCCAGTGTCACTACATTACTCGAGTGCTTCTTGATCGTATTTCAAACGCTCTGGGGCTGAAGGGAGCGCAGAGCCTCAATCACTTCCACCGGAGCGACTGCCCGTCTAAGAGTGCGCTTGCCTTCCTGCATTACATCCCCATGGATCCAACCGGGGGTTATGCCGGACATAATGTTCACACGGACTATGGTACCCTGACGCTTGTCTTTGCGCCGCAGTGGGGGTTGCAAGTCCTTTCAACTCCCGAAACATCGCCACCGTCGTCAGCCTCCTCCTCGGTGTCTCACGAATCAGATGAAAGTCTCGATAGTGGCTACCACAGGGGACTCAGTGAGAGCCACGTCGAAGCTCACCCGAAGAAAGAAAAGGCGGAAGAACCCTTGGAGTGGCAGTATGTCGAGCCGCGTCCTGGCTGCGCCGTTGTCAATGTGGCTGATGTGCTACGGTTCTTGACACGCGATAGGCTCAAGTCAGCTGTTCATCGGGTGCTTCCGCTACCTGACGTGGATCGCTATTCTGTCACATATTTTCTGAGACCAAGTGACGACGTTGAGTTCATTGATGGAGAAGGCCGGCTGACAAACGTCATGGACTGGTATGACCGCAAGAATAATATGTACGAAGCTTCTTATGGGGCTCAGGACAGGTCTTTGCTCATCGGAGGGTTGTACAAGGAGGTCTAATAGATCTCTAGGAAGGTCGCTTTCTTTTGAAATCCGCAGCATCTTGGAGGGGTACATTCAGAATACATAGTGTCAAAGAAGTGCTAGAATTTCATTTGCTCTCTAATTAGTGTCTGGTCTTCTTCACTTCCCCGCTCTTGGATATTCCTCTCAAGTCGAACATCACATTATATTGCATTATAGAAAGCCTTAACAATGAGATTAAAGTAAATAAAAATTATCGAATCACAGTAAATACAAGTCCATAGTTATAGTCTAAAAAGTTATGAAATCTATGGAAGGGAAAAGACTTCATATCCAAGCGAGGCGATCAAGCGAAGTTAAGCTTAAAAACTTTGAATCCACCCAGAACCCTCGTCTAGAATATCTGCTCCGGATCGTACTTACTTACGACCTCTTTAAAAAATTAAACGTTCTCTTAACCGTAAGTACTAAGGGGATCCTATAATCCATCGGCATATCCCAAGTACTCCCATTCCACATCAACACTCTAGGAAACATAATAATCTTTCAGTTCCTAACGCAAGGCAGCAAGCTACTTTCAGGCCTCTTTCTCAGCATCGGTAGATCGAACTATATGCTACATTTAGAACAAAATCGCATTTTCGTCCTCGTGGTCCATCCCTATCATATTACCTCCTCGCTCTGTTAAGTATTAGAAGAGAAGCGTTAGCATAGCCTAGAAAGTAATATAGTTCAGGAAGTCAACATCCTAGGTAGCCTTCTAACCCTTAACAAACTCGCCCTAGGCTTAGATAGCGCGGCGTATAAAGCGGATATCATTCTTACCCGTCAGAATAAACCAAATCTAATGGTATCCGATCAGCTCCTCCAGCTTAACAGTCATATTTAAATAGCTATTATAGCGAAGGGTATTTGCTATCTAAGGTCCGATCGTCTAGAAATCCTTGTAGGCTAGTACCTACTCGGAGTCAGATATATTATAAAGAGCGGCTAAGACGACTATACCAGCAGTAGGTAAGTATACCCAGAACGTAACGGCTAAACCCTTAGTATAGTTAGGAATATTCTCGACCTACTTAACGTAGGCAGCGATATGTTATTCGGTGGTGTTAAGAGGGTAAACGACCTGTCCACCCCAGATGTTAACGACGTCAATCATCTACATATCAACACGTGTAACTATCCCAAAGTTACTCAAACCGCCTTTCAGCGCTTTATATAGATCGGGGTAGTTGTCCCTGTTAGCATTAACGGCCTCGCCGCTAGCGAGCACAACCTCGAAATTAATAACATTATCGCAACCAAGTCCGACGTCTGCGCTAAAGAAGTTGTTACCACCGCCAGTTAAAAACCCAGCAACGCTGATAATTAAAGTACGCCCGCCTAGTACCGTTACCCCATAAAGCTCGAGCGCAGAGTAAACATCACGCCAAAATACGCCGGCCCCAATACTAGCGATCTTAATCTCGGAGGAGTATTCGACTTAGTTAATCAAGCTCATATTAATAGTAATACTTCCTCAACTTAAAAATAACATCAGTAGATGTGTATTAAACAGGACTAACAGGTAAAAACTAAGTTAGTTATGATAAACTTATTATTAGAAGCACCAGCCCATATTATGTAGCCACCACCACGGATAGCCCAGCTATACGTAGTTTTCTTTAAAATGTTAATAGTCAAAAACACCTCTGCTATAGAAGTAGGCTATACAATATAATAAGGGCTAAGCTAGGCCGAAACTAAGAAGTACGATTCATCGCGTATTTTATAGTCATCCGTATTCGGGTAGAGGACCCTAAAACCAGCAGTCTCGAGAATTTTACACTAGCATACAGAGCTTAGTATTACAAACGTCTTCATAGATTCATACTTGGTCTTTAAACTTACGCAGGGCGTTACTATAGTATCGTTATATACAGCTTCTACTAGAGTTACGAACGCTACGGTAACGGTCAAGGTCGGTGTTAGATTCTTTATCTCGAACCTATTAAGGCATTAAAAAAAGGAAGGAAAGTAAGGCCGGTAGTTAGAAAAAAAAAATAAAAAAATAGGAAACAGATCTACTACTCTAACGTAAGACAAAATTCCAGCAGGCTAAGAGGTTAAGAACGCCGATCACCGGCTATAAGTCCTAAAGTTCACCTAGCGCCCGAAATTACGAAAAGTTCAGGTATGCATATCGTTAGATACGATAAAATGCAGGGATAAGGATAGGGATACATAGATACTATGGGGTAGATCAACCAACAGCATTAAACCAACGCAAGAGATTTCTATTTCCTCTTTCAGGGGGCTTTTGAGGGCATAGTTACCGTCTTTAAATACCTAAAAAGTAGAACAGTCATAGGGCTCTCGCGTAAGAACTAAGTACGCTCCAAAATTTTACCTCTAAATAAGTAGGAATGCTCATCTATTATCCTGCTAAGAGCCCAATAGAGTGAGGGCAAATTGCCGAAAAAGGGCGTAATAATTTTCCATGCTGAATGTGGCTTCTCAAATCCCCGTAGGGCACGGAACTGCAATCTTTCCTACCGTGGTCTCTCAGGCGTATTCGAGATCGATGCTATCGTGGTCACACAGAGCCTGCAAGTCGCCATTACCTTTTCGTGGTTTCTGCTTTCCGGAACGGGAGAAACCTCAAGGAGTTTTTCCCAATGTTGGATCGTTCAGTGTCTAATTACCAACGACCAGAATCTGCGATGAGAATTCTTGTTCATCACTTGAACAGGGGCTTGACTTGGCAAAATTGGCGTTGGCTCTGTATGAGCCGATTTGGTCAATGAAATCGCACCTCCTTTCGGTCATTGTGTTTGCTACATGTATTGCAGACATGTAATTGGCTGGACAACACCCCACAGAGGTTGGGCTGACGGTGGAGTACCCTCGAAGGATCCTACTATTGCAACGCAAACAGTCCGTATGCACGCAGCACTGCAACCTGATGTGACATTACACTACAGTGAACTCTCCAGGACCCAGATTCCGGACCTGTATCAGCCGTATGCGACAGCTCTTCTGACAAGGATTACTCCTCTGTTGGACGTTTTCCAACGCCGCCCTTGATTGACAGCATCAAATTTTGTCCCGCAGATGATGTCGACAAGGTTTTTCAAAGTTGCAGCGTTGTCCATGGAAGGACATGATCGAAAGCCGTGATTTCAAGCTTGATTGGCGGACACATGGGCTGAGTACGCGTCATCGTCAATAGCTCCATCAGTTGGTGCTTGTACACTTTGCAGTCGACCTTGACTGCCTCCTTTGAATTCCCATACCCCAGATTCGGCCAAGATCAACGATCATTATTGGACTCTAAGGAGCAGAGTACCTCGGAGATGTCTGCCACAGTCCGAATGCAATAGAAGCAGAAGATCAAGCTAAATCTTTTGGAGCTCTACCAGAAGAGTGATCGCGCTGAAAATTTGAAGGCTCACCACCAAGCTCCTGCTCATGATTGTGCAAGGCTGCTGCGATATACACAACGCGTGAAGCGAGGTATCGTACCGGGCTTAGAAATTGCATACTAGCTGCTACCCCAGTTTGAAGTGGTTCACTCCTTACTATGTGGGAAACAGGGCCAAGGCGATCTCCGTCCGCCAGGATGTTTTTATTTTTCCATAAGGTGTTGGTAGCTGCTCAATCTGCCGGAATCTCGAACAAGCTGTACCGGTAATAGATAAGGGAAAAAAGGATAGAAACTCGACACCCCCATACCGATTACCTCCCAACCCCAAATTTGCGAAAGGCATTTTACGTCTGAATCTATTCGCAGTACCTTACGCTGAGGCTTCACGTCCGATGAAGCAAACTTGTAGAGTCAGCTCTTGACAAGTATAGGTATGTTCACAAAAGCACGCTTCCACTGATCTTGACGCATATTCTGGCCTGACTGCGGGCAGTTTCTTCACTCCTTCGCTCGAATATGTCGTTTCCCACTGTTCAAGGCACCGAGGTATTGCTGGAACCCCCTAAGAACTACCACCTGAACTTCACCCACCCATTCAAAGACACTGCGACTATCAGCTCAAGCTACTGGGCTTTTGGAATCGAATTTAGCGTCGCCCTCTCGTTTCTGTTGCAGCGCGTATACACAGCTACTGTCATTGTTCGCCAGTGGCGTAGCGATGATTGTGGGATGATTGCCCAATGACCTGTTCTGTTCACAGCCGCTGACTAGGTGCTCAAGTTATGATTCTCGCAGCATGGCTTTTAACGACTATTGCTCAGTGTCTAATTCTCCTTTGCCTTTTTCACGGTGTTCTTGGGGTTCATATATGGGAAATTTCCCTCGAAGACGCCATATGGGAGACGACGGTAAGCATGAGTTGGTCCCAAAGCCTCTGCACTCGCGAATGCTAGGTCTATCTTTGCTCACTACTTTTTTTGCGATCTAGCTCATCCACGCTACGACGTTGACAGTAACACCGGGGACCGTTCTTGCGAAGCTTGTGCTTTGCATATTCTACTACCGATTGTCGCCGATTGTATGGTATCGCTACGCCATTATCACTACGTCTGTCATTACTATTGCGGCGTTCACCGCTGTATGATTCGCAGTCCAATTCGCTTGTTCCCCGATTTCGGCTGCATGGAATCTGCGACTTTACACTGGAACAAACTGCATCGACCGCCCTCCCGTTTACATGCTCCAAGCTATCATGGGCGGCGTGACTGATGTCATGCTCATGGCTCTACCTTTGCCTATTATTCTGCGACTTCAAATGTCGTGGAAGCATAAGACGGCACTGATCGCGTGGTTCGGTACTGGTCTTATCACGTTGGGTGCTGCTGTTGCGCGCTTAGTTATCTTGATACCAAGTTTGAAAAACTCAGACACCACATTTGTGTTAGCCCAGGGCACACTATGGCTCATTGTTGAAGCCAATCTAATCATCATCTGTGGCTCGTTGCCTACTTTTCGTGTTTTTTTAGACCACGTCGCGCCCAAAATCCTTGGCGAGTCAGCCAGTCGTAACAGCAACGACAATGAACGCACCCCTCCGGCTGGAATGCGGTATGCTCTAAGGACGTTTGGCAGCTCGCAGCCGAAACGGAGGCATTTTGACACCATTGACGAACTAGAGCTTGGCGAACGACCCTATGGATCAGAGGTGAGATGGAAGGCAGATAATGAACTGGTAATCTCGGCTCTATCACGGGGGAAAATGAGGAGGCATACGGAAGCAAGTGACGAGGAGGCTATCGTCAAGATAGGGCAAGAATCTAGTGCTCACTCCTCGCACTGAACGTAGCAAGCTCAGCTTTACTGGCTGGACATTACAATCCTGTTACTTCAATCCGAGGTAATGATTGGAAATGCTCCGCAACTTGCAACAAGACAAAGCTATTCATCTCAAAGAGAATGCAGAATAAAGGCGAGGCAGAAAGGTCGGAAACCGAAAGGTGGGGCAAGTTCATAATTTGACTTCGCACATGCACCGATGCGACTTGGTTCCTACGTCCATCAGGATATGAGAGAAAACCTTCGCCTATTCAGGAAATCCACAGCTCATATACGATATGGATCACATAGATTTCTTAGAGGACGGTTGAATCACCGATTACAAGCTCAATGCACTGGCCAATACACTCCCGCCTCGCAGCTTCACAGCAGAATCATGAGATCAAGCCGGCCTAATCACGAGTTGTGATTCAGGGTGTATGTTATATCATTGCGATCTTCTCATCAATGGACGCAGGTATACCTTACGTCTCTATGAAATTTGATTTATTCAAGTCATTTTGAGATTTGGTCTTGCTCTCTGGTGGTCGGGAGGGTGTGACACCTTGGTGCCCAGCTGTTGGTTGTACCCGAAAGGTCCCTTCCTGGTCCAACCATTTTCAGGCACATGTCCGTATTACCTGCATAACGAGAATATTTCCAAGGTCTTGGCGTATCCAATTCCAATCTGCGCTACAGTTCTTCTACTCGGCGAATGATTGGCCAAGAGGAATATGCAGCCTACGACCAAGCATAATAGCAGGGAGCAACACTTAATCTGACAACCTGTTGAACGAAGGTATGGGTAGCGTAGCTGGTGGTGTATTGCTTGAACCAGACAAGAGATATGTAGGCGAGCGACAGCCCCTATTATACATTCAGTGCTCAGAGAGCCCCTGCACATGTGTCACCACTGTTGGGTCGACATTTCAACAACCAACAGCAACGAACGGCCCAGGCAGCTTGCGTCCTACTCCACGGGAGAATCTGCGAAGCACGAGCCGAGCAAAGCTAGCCTACCAGCTGCGCCGTTTTTCTCATTCGAAAATGGAAAATGCAACAACAGATACGACGCGTGGAGCAATGCGAAACGCCCCTTCGAATAGATTTCAGTAATTTACAGAAGGTCACCAACAAGTGGTGGAAACCGAAAGCGAGTTACTTCTCTTGACAGCCCCTGATATGATCAAATCCAGTCTCTATGCGCATGAGCAACAAAAGACCGGTCGACTGATGCCTTAAGAGGAAGGCCTCAGCCACGTCCTACGCGTTTGATTCTGCGAGGATCTACTCTACTGAGTAAGTTTGGATATGGCTTCAGTGGTACGGTATATCGCTTCAGTGGTTCTATCCTCTCTGCCCACACTTGTAGCATCAATATCCTTCGGAACCGCCCGCAGCATTCGGTCCAATGCTGCATACCAATTGACAGGGGTCTGTCAGCGCATTAATGGGAATATGTTGGTTCGAGGAATGAAATGCTACCGACTCACATTGCAGTGCGATGTCCTCATTTAGGGAAGCCTCTCCGGTCCAACTTTCTTCTTGAACGACACTGGGTACGCCGTCACCATTCGATCCTACTACTCTGGCGATGTTCAGGACGTTCGATATTCATGCATCTTCAAGCCCACGACTTCGCAGCAGGTTTCAGACGCCATCAAGGCACTTAGCAACGACCCCGCCGGCTGCTGGACCGTGGCGATACGTAGCGGTGGCCACTCACCTTTCCCGTCGAACAACACTGCCAACGGCGTGACTATCGATCTCGGAGGCATGAGTTCCGTTAGCCACACGGACAATTCTCATATGCAGGGACATGGCATTGCAGCGATTGGCACCGGTGGGCGATGGGGTGATGTGTACTCCGCGCTCAACGAACACGGTGTGATGACTACAGGCGGACGCAAAGGCCACGTTGGTGTGGACGTCAGTCACTCTCCCTCTTTCGCCGGACTCAAGGATTCGGGACCTGTTATTGACACAAGAGCAACTGCCCCAAATTCGAGTTCGTCAAGCAACTCGCAGGGACATTTGGTTTGTACAACGTATGGTTTACGTAAAGCTTCCACGCAACCATGGCGATGGGCCACAAAGTCCTCGGAATTTTCGAGACCCTCATCGTGGGCATGAAGGAACAGATTGAAGAATATGCTACCATAACGTTTGTTATGACTCTCCTTTCAACTAACTATGCCAATAACGGGCCGAACGTTTTGGGGTTGAACGAAGAATTGACACAGCCATCCGTTGTGCTCCAAGTCGAGTGCTTGCTTCCAACGCCAGATGACGAGGTCTTTTTGACGGAAAGGTTTGAAGCAGTCATAATTGAGATCGCTGACTACGCTGCAAGTACTCAGCAGAGTAAATGGTTCAAGTATATCAACTACGTATACCAGACAGCCTAAGTCTCACTTCAGTCATACGGGGGCAATAATCAGGACTTTTTGGAGAAAGTGGCGCAGCTATATGACCCTAATTTCTTCTTTGAACATAGGGTATCAGGAGGCTTCAAAGTTTTGAAAAGCATTTAAAAGGAACACTAGATGAGATTTGTCAGAAATTTGAATCCGCGTGTTTTAAAACCCAGACTTCATGCGAGTATTCTGATGGACTACATCACTATCTCACGAAGCATCCCGACTACGAAGTCATTCACTGAATTTATTATTTTTATTGACAACTTAATGGAATGTGTGGAGAAGATCCGCGTCCAAAGCGTCTGAAGTCTTCTCTGTAACTTTGTAGATATTGAGCGTTTTGAAGATGGCAGTCAGCGATAACAGTTTATACCAGCATCGATGACTTGAAGATTCGTTTAGTCTAGACGTTCGATCATTGTTGTCTCGTAGCTCCAGCCCAACTTACTTCCACGGAGGTCGAAGGCGCGAGCGGTTGTGGTGAATGCTTCGTTGTCATTATGGTTGCTGACTCCGGCCTCAATAACGAGGATATTAGCATTCGGATTCTTATCCAAGCGTTTAGCAACAACGGAACCCGCTGTGCCACCCAAGATCATGTCAGAAATGTTGCACAAAAGAGTTTAGAACGTTTACTCGCCAGTAACGACGGTGGAATCAATGTATTCGGAGGTGTCTTCAACGGCCATCTTGAGCTTTGGTGGTCGGAGATTGTGACAAGGTGACTTCTGATGAGTGACTCTTGAACTCGATTGAGTCTCGAGCGGAAGAAGCAGGATGATCTGCCAGATAAACAAATGACTTAGAAATAGAGATCAAGGTTTTCTTTATACAAATTACAGATCTTGTAGTTGATTGTAATATATGCAATCCGGGATGGCGGCATCTAAGCTACTTGCACGCTCTGGTGCCGATGTTCTGGAATGCCAACAACCCATGTCACCAGGGGAGGTCTGACTGATTCACACCGTCAGGACCTTGTTGCGGATGTTTGAATAGTCTGACGCAGTGAATTGGCATTGGACACACGGCTAGCAAATCTCGAGAAGCATGGCTGACTGCTCGCGGCGGAACCCCACAGCTTGCTCGGATTTGAGGAAAGGTCGATAACAGAGGCCGGCGACTGGTATTATTGAACGATCTGAAAAGCGTTGACAGAGGTTCCTGACGATAGGCAAGCTACTAGATATACCATCAGAGACTTCCATTAAGCGACGGCATCAAGGAACAATCACCACGTTGAATACATGTTGACTTGATGGGTGTGGCGTTCGGCCCTACTCTCTGAGCCCCGTTTTCAGCCGTTGCTCGTCAATTGGGCATCTCTCACTGACAAGCTTGGTGAGCTGTCCAACCAACCCGCCGAAATTTAAAGCCTCCTTCTGGGCATCCTCAGTATTCGCATCTTACATGACAAAATTGCTGAACATCGCCCGTCCACAACGTTCTGAATGGAAGCTCAATTACTCAGCACGGCTAGTTCTGCAGCTCTAATTGTTTTCAGGTCAATTTGCAATGCACTTTTCAATAGCTTTCCTGAATATTGTCAAATCTAGGCTTGCGGCAATTCCGCATGCGGACTAAATTCGTGCGAAGAGATCAAACCTTGTGCGTTTGGCTCAAAGGGTGCTCGCAAGGACAAAACCGTGATGATTCAGATGGAAACATATCAACTTGAAGACGGTGAAAGAGATACCATCCACATCCCGAATCAATCCCAATTCTACCCAAGACTGGGACTTGTTGATTTGCAGCCAAAAAGTACCGAAACTAGACTATGACTCTGTGAAACAACAAGGACTATAGCAACGTTAAGCCATTCGGATGCAAACCTTGCCGATATGACTGCCGCTAGTGAGGTACTCAAAGGCAGCAATGATTTCGTCTCTGCTTGAGCCAAATTCCTTCTCCACGGGAACCTGCAATTGACGGGTAACGACGTAGCGCGTGACTTCTTCCAAGTGCTGCCTAGAGCCCACCATGATCCCACGCACGACTGCGCCCTTGGACAAAGCGAGTGCTGCGACGTCAGGCATCTTAGCTTGTGGGCATGACGCAAGGAACCCAATAACGGCGATGGAGCCCCCGTACGCCACGGCACTGATGCTCTCAGCAATCGTACCGGCACCACCATTCTCGAAGATGTAGTCAGCGCCATGGCCCTTTGTGATCCTCAAAACCTCTTCCGACCATTTCGGAGTTGTCTTATAGTTAATCACGTGGTCGGGCCCGTAAGTCTCCTTGACATGCTTCAACTTCGAGTCGGATGATGAAGTTAAGATAGTGGTTGCGCCAGCTGCCTTGGCGAGAATCAGGCCGGTAATTGAAACACCACCAGTTCCTGGATACCAAGTCAGACACGTATTCTGTTAATGAGTGGAGTTGGAGATAATTACCAAGAAACAATACAGTCTGACCAGGCTTGAGAGGTATGTTGCCATAGAGAGAATTCCAAGCAGTCGCCCCAGTACAGACAAGCGCCGATAGTTGGCAGTAGCTCAAACTTAGTCTCCTTCGGCACCTTGACTAATGCAGAACTTGGAACAACAATGTACTCCCGTAGGGCACCATCTACACAACCCCCAAGACTGTGATTCCAGTCCTTCATGGCGCCATAAAAGGTGCTCAGATCAAAAGACGAGATCACTTTGTCGCCATGGGCAAAGTCGTCAACATGGCTTCCCACTTTGACAACATCGCCGGAGAGATCGGAGCCTGGGACCACGTTGTCCTTGACAGGGAATGGATACTGTCCGGTTGCGACAGCGAAGTCGCGAAAATTGAGAGCGACACTGTGGATGCGGACCAGAACTTCGTTCGATGAGGGTTCTGGGATTGACTCCTTTTCAACAACGAGGTCGTTGATGGATGTGCGCCGAGGAAGTCTGAAAACCTGCTGAGTTGTCATTCTGAAGATGTAATTGTGATGTGTTATGGCCAGGATTGCAGGACTTAGTGTGAATAAGGTTGTTGGCTAACAGCTAGCAAAGCAGTCCATGAGAACAGGCCAACTGTTGAGGATTTTATACAACAGAGTTTTATGCCTGAAATTTCATGTCCGATGTGACGCCTCAAACGTGCTGATAAGTATATCTTGAGATGACAAAGCGGCATTTAACTGTCCCCCGTGGACATTTAGCTCTGGAAGGCGTATCATCGCACTATCAAACCAGTACATTAACTTGACCAGGCAATATGACTCAGAGGATATCACAAGATGATTCGATAGACTGATTGAATACGTCATTGCAACTGATTTCTGGCTGGGCTACTGTCGCCAGATATCAGTGTCTGATTCTTGAGCGCAGGTAATTTCTTCTCCAACTTTGGGGTGGAAATCATCCACCCATCCCACCGGCGTTATTGCATTCCGACCTTGGCGTCATACAGTATGCTCCATATATTGGACATGCCTACTTCGACCTTGGGATTGAAAGGCGGCTGTCAGCCCATTTCTCTTCAAGTTTTACGTCAAACTACGTACATGGGATTATAAAAGTCTAAAAAAGTAGTCTTGGCGTGTCCGATCTCGGATTGACCAAGCGAGACATTTATCCCCTCAGTCCGGTGCACGAAGCTTTCTTCAAAGGCCCGCGATCCGTCTTGTGTATGAGCTGTCATAATGGAATGTTTCTAGAGGTAAGATCAATGCGAGAAACTTGTTCTCCACGGTTGGATAAATTGAATTACTGGAGTTGCCGACTATTCATTCACAAAGAGGTAGCTATTTCTGTAGATAGTGCCGCCTCAATTCCAAATCATGCCACAAAGAGCTGACTGCCTGATTCCTGAAGCTGCAAAACAGGTGAATTCCTTCCGACTTCTAGCTGCAGCGTCCAGAACCACGTTGGCTGCATGGGAACATAAGTTAGTATGAATGACTTCGTTTGAGGACTAGCACAGCAAAACTCACCAGCCAGATCCGCAATGCGAGGAACTCGTTCCACAAAACCCTAAAGGGCTAATTACAACACTAGCCATCAAAAGGCCCATCAGCACATGTGAAACCTCCCTTGCTAGAGCCGTAAGTGCCATCAATAGACGGAATGCTGGCTGTGAAGTAGCCACTCGACGAATTTTTTTGGCTGTGTTAGATACGACGTTAACAATAAGGTCCGGCGCTTTGTACCTATTTCGATGCAAAGCAAATACAAAAGTCACGAACCAGAAATGCAAAAATTGAACTGTGACTTACCACCCCTGGCCACAATGAGCGTCAGTGCTTCCACAGTGGCCCGAAGTGGTACCACAGTAACCGCTCGAAGAGCAGCAGTCTCCGTAGGGGGAAGTAGTACAGTTGAACTGATTTGTTCCGCCACATGAGCCGTCGGGAGAGATACTCCCGGGCCCGGGTGGCGGGGCGGGAGCAGGTGCGGGCGCGTTGCAGTTACCGGCGGCCGGTTGACTATGTCCGGTGTAAGTAGAATGATCAGCTGCCACCAGACATGCGCTAGGACAATAAATAAGGTATGAGACACAAGACTTACCAACTATCGCCGCGGAATGCAGCAGGACGACCGCATTTACCATCCTTGGAACAGCACGCGCCCCAGACGGGGCTACATACAAACCCAGTTGTACCTACGCAGGTTCCATCTGGGGTGACTTCTCCAGTCTGCCATGGTGACAGTGTAGCTGTTGTGGCTGTGGCGCTTTGAGACGTGACGAAAGCCGGCAGTAGCTGGCAGATTACTGCTGCCTTCATTTCGATAAAGGTATTGGAAAAAGACAACGACTTTCTTTCGTAGGTAGGTTCACAACGCAATTCATAGTCTTGGAGCGTGAACAGGTTTGCAGATTTATATCTACCATGTTCTCATGTAGGCGTCCAGAGAGATTGAATCTAAACCAATCCTTCCTGGATGGAGATGCTTGGACTTGGCATTGCTCTGGGGTTGTCCTCATTCAGAACTTCGTCCCATCGCAGGCAATAGTCCCACGGTTGTACGCTAAGAGTCCGAGGGAACCACTCGATGATTTCTGATACCTCCCTGGGATGAGGACCCATAATTCAGACCACAGTCTCCAAATCGGCGGCTCATTCGCACATACTATGATTTGGAGCATTGACTTCTAAGGCTCAAGCACCTCGTAAGTCCTTTAAATTGGATGACTCAGTCGTAATAAGGAAGACCGACTGATCAATAACATAGGGCCGAGCCGGTGGAGCAAAACTCACCTGGTGAAGTTCCCGAGTCACTCCTCAACAGAAGCTTCCAAACTGCTAGTCCGGAGAGTATTGTGATGCTATCAAGGATATGGGAACGTTTTGGTATAATTCTGGTGCCGAGCAGTGGGCAGATGAGTACATCAACTCTCAGACGGATCATTCCAACTCGGCGCAGAACCTGTACCGCGAGCTCTTCCCAAAGAAGGTCCATATCAAGTACTCTTGTCAGAAGCCTGGTGCTCCTTGCGATCATGATTTGACATGTGGTGAGAATCTTATGATACGTTGTCTGCCTCCTGAGGCTTTCAATAACATGTACTTTCAGACGATTTCAATGCGATCGACAAGGGTGGGCTGTGGTATCTTTTCCAGCCCATGGCAGCTTTCCACAGTTTCACGTAGTAGCTCTCTATCGAGTTCGACCAGTGGATTGGCATCACATCCGATCAGGTTGGGACTATGAGACAATTGCTAGGTATCAAGAGTGGCGCGCCCAAGGCACCTCTCGACCTAGCTTCTATTCTCGGTGCAGCTTTCAGCATCGGGAGTGCCCTCGCCATACCTGCTGCGGCCGTCGGAGGTTCTTTGGCGGGTATCAGTGGTGTCATGTACCTGGTCTCGGCCACAGGGGACTCGTGAGTAGACCATTCGACACTTGGTCCCTGAAGACTGCTAACAATCAGCATAGTGGTGGTTCCGACGATGCAGTGGAAGTGACGGACGCGATCTGGGGCCTACTTGCCATTGTCGCCAAGCAGGGCCTCACTAATATCAGGGCAATCGTGGCCTCAACATTTGGCACGCAAGGCCATAAGCAAAGTGGCATTCACGAACTTAAAGTTTGCGCGTCGGCGGCGTCAAGAACCTGGCCGTGTCTGTTTTCGGGCGGAGATCCTGGTTGAGAGTCCACCCTCTTTGCCTCTCAACAATCTGGATCAGCAAGATGAAGACGAACTTGGTAAGTGACCTACCAATGATGGCTTTACTCATACTCGTACTTACTGAAATGCAGGATACAGCTCTTATCTGGCAGATGACTAGACAATCTAGAGGAGCATATGTGGTCGTCAGAGACGACTTCCCTGTCGACAAGTGTACAAACCTGAATAACGCTTGGGAGGCAGACAAGAACCGATGCCTTGGCATCCCCGCTTGGTACCCTAAGAAGGTCTCCCAGACCCTCAGTGAAAACAAGGATATGGAGGCGCTCTGGACCGATTGGAACATGGACAAGCCTGGGACCCTCCGCAACGCCGTCAAATGTTGGGAAAATAACAATGGCCACGTCGGCAAGACAGGCATCCGCGAGCGCAACTGGGCGAGCGAGACGCCGCGACCCTGCTTCTTTGCTATGCCTGTTCTCAAGGGCAACTACATCGATGGCTCCAAGGGATCGATCTAGATGGCTGGCAACTTTGCCGGCCAGGAGGGCCAGGCTGGTTTGCTCTGGCCCAAATCCAAATGCGAGAATGGCAACAAGGAGCTACGTCAGAACCCGTTTAACTCCAAGTCTGACTTGACTATAAGTGCGCCGAGTTTGATTTTACGAAAGATCTGATGTAAATACCTTATTTGTCGAACAGGAAGTCGATTTCCACATTGAGTTTCCATAAACTTCTTAATCGCAAGAAAGTGTAATTCAACCACTGGCTTCTGTTAATTAGGTAGGAGCATCTGAGCAATGATCCAAGCTACCTTTGCGTTTTTTAGTCCGTTTCCGTTCCGACCAAGAAATCAAGAGTATGATTTCTTGATAAAATTGCCCGCTGAGTGACGTTGATGACCCAGACAGCGCGATTGGAATATCCACTTTTGACATTTGGCCTGTCTTACACAAAAGCACGGAGGATTATGTCCGTGTTGGAGATGGGGCGAAAACTAATTTCTACCCCAACGCTTTTTGCCTCCAACTCCATTTGTCCCGAGCTCATCCGCAGTGGCTGAGAAAGCGTGGTCAGACATTCCGGCAGCCCTAGATCTCGCGTCTCGATAGACAAATTTCATGCTTATTACAAAGCAGTAAACGTCGAGATTATCTGCTTGAAGTTTCGTCATGTCTGCGCCCCGGGGCCGACCCCGCCGTAACGTTCCACCTTGCAGCTTCTGCCAAAAACAGTTCAGGAGATTCGAGCACCTCGAACGTCATGAGCGCACCCGTAAGCCGGACCCCCACCTCCCGCTGTACACGATATACCCTGACGCCCTGACTCTGGGTTCCGTGGACCTTTATGCAAGGATGGTCAGAGACTCTCTAATGATAATGCCCAGACACCCGAGAACAACCCTTCCTGTGCGGGTGTGGCCGGAGATTTTCTCGAAGGTACGGTCCCCAATCACACCCCGGTTCCCAGAGAGGCTTCCTTTGCTCACAACTCGATAGGGATCTACTTTCGAGACATCAGAGAATATCTCACACCCACGGAATTCTTGCAAACCCAGATGACCTGTCTGCTCCGTTAGCAGAAACGGCAATCGCTGAAGGGACATTGTCAACTCCGGCGACTAGTGCTCAGGCTCTCTCACAGCCGTCTTTGTCGGGAGCACTAACGTTACCTCATCAACATGGATATGATGCCAGACCGCAGCTGTTCGGAAATGAAGCTGGCCTCTGCCAGCCGGTCAGCAGCTTATCATTGTATAGTGCAGCCGCAGGTTTTCCCGAACTATCCTATCAAGGCTCGCTATCCCAAGACCTCCTAGCAGGAATGGATGGCATTGATTTCGATATCTTATTAGACGACACTCAGCTGCCTGGCTCCTTTCTGCCTGCGGACCCAGTCATTGCCGGCTCTTCGATCATGGAGATACCGCAGACGGATCAGGGCGTAGCTCGTCCAGCACTCAGCCTGGGCATGGAAGCTCATTCGCTTCACACAGTAAATGCATCCCACACCAAAATTGCTCGACTAATGAAGGACAATTAGAAAAGGAAGCAACGTCATCGCTGCCGAGGTTTGCCGAACGACTACCTTCAATGGAACCCGAGAGACCAGAACAGACACCACTGCATATTAATCTAGCACATCAAGTTCAGAGGCCTAGACAAGTTCACTGTCTCCGGCCCTGGAAGATTGAGGCTGATGAATACAGCAAGATTCTCGACGAAGCCCAGGAACTTCGTGCTTAGCTGCCCAGCTCTTTCAAGCTCCCATCACATGGTGCCCTCTCAAGATTCTTAGAAGGGTACTTCCGTGGCTTCGCCGTCCATCTGCCGTTCATTCACGGCGTTACATTTTCTGCCGCAGCCATCGGTCTTGAGCTTCTCCTGTCGCTCGCCGCAGTCGGTGCTCTCTATCGCTTTGAAACGGCTTCAGGATATCGGATTTATGATGCTGCTCGAAACTTGATCTTCTGGCGTTTAAAGCAAAGGAATCAACATACACTAGACCGATTGGCTCGTGATGATCGCACCACGATTGATGATGCTCCAAGCGCCCCTGCGACACCGACTAGCGCAAACACACGTACGAGAGAACCAGAGCCATATGCTCACGGCAAAATCATCCGATTGCTACAAGCTATGATAGTACTCATGGCAATGGCATCATGGGGCGATCGAGATTTGACAGGCGACGCCCTAAGTATGTCCAGTCAAGTCGCCATGCTCGCCCGCGAGATGAAGATTCACGAACTAGAGAAACCCCCGGCGTCCAACCAGCAATGGGCCGAAGGTATTGAACTTGAGGAACGGCGCCGCACGCTATTTGCCGCCTTCGCCCTCCTGAACTTACAATCCGTTGCATTTGACGTGCCACCACTGCTCCTGAATCGCGAGGTCGCCATCAACCTACCTGGGTGCGCGTCAAGCTGGCAAGCTCCTAACGCGGAAGAGTGGTCAGCCCTGAGGGACACGTATATGCCGCCTCGACCTTTCCCAGAGAAAATGCATATGCTGTTAGCAGGACGAAGCATCCATACGGTGACAGCGCTTTCTTCTTTTGGGAACTACGTGCTCATTCACGGGCTGCTCCAACAGGTGTTTCTGACTCGCAACGCCTCTGAAGATATTCCGGCCGCAGGCAATCGTGTACTTGGCGGCGATTTCGTCAAAAAGATGGAAACCGCCCTTCGTGCTTGGCAAGAGTCGTGGAAGCAACATATGAATCCACGACAGACCCTTCGTTTTCGAAGGGGCCGTTGGGCTTCAACTCCACCGCCCTTCTACGCTTGGCTTACATCCGCCTTAACGTCGGCCTGAGTCCTGACCAACGACTTCTTGCCCGAGATGACGCCCAAAGAATCGCCGCGGTGTTTTCTAGACCAATCCTTGCCGCTGGTGACAGGTCAATGCACATGAACCAGGCCGTGTTACAGTGCATACACGCCCTCAGTATTCCTGTCAGAGTTGGCGTCGCATTCGTTGCGCGCAGCCAGACGTTTAAATGGAGCATTCAGCATGCTTTTTGCAACCTGGAGTGTGCCTTTTTGCTCACACAGTGGTTAAAAGTCCTGTCCCAGGTTGTTCGCGAGTTTGGCCTCGTCTCTCTGCAACCTGACGAGCGCAGATTGGTCAATCTGGTCACCATTTTGGTGCAAGAGACGGAGCTTGGTGACCGGCTAGACGAGGAACAGCATCCTGCTGTCCAGATTGAAAGCTTGGCTACCCTGACATTGACGCTTTGGAGCAACACTTTCAACGGCTCCCATGTATTTGATATTGTTCGGGTCATCGGTAACGGTTTGTCAATCTCAGTTCAAGGGTCGATGTGAAAGGGTTGTATTTAAGCGGCGCCATGGTCGTAGGTACCAGATCAAGGAGCTGCGGAAACTTATCACAAGAGAGGAATAGAATCAGCACTCGGAGGGCACCTCGCTACTTGTTTTCTCACTTGAATCCCAGATTTCCTTCCCTCCTTTTTCAGAAAATGGGTAAGTTCAAGCTAAAGTACTTTCAACCAACTTCAAATGCCCATTGCTAGGTGCCATTGCCTTTGTCAAAAATGCTCGGTCGGACCGGGTAAGGTACGGTTATCAAGATCCTTGACCTTTACAACGTCGCAACGTCGGAAAGGAAAACGTAGAGCTGAACGCAATGTTCTCCATGAGCCTCATGGCCAAAGAACATCTAAGTCCCTGTCGCGTATTATTGCAAACTCTGGGGTGTTCATGGTTTGAAGGGGAGGCAACAGTTTTTGTAACAATCCATGGGGGAAACCGGGCTAGAAAATCTGCAGATGACAACAAAGAAAGCATGGTAGGCTCGAGCTGATTTGATCTGCATAGGCAGTGCAGGGGACTGAAACGAGGAAATTCTTGCAATCACAGAGCGCAGAAACGGATTGGGAACAATCTCGTGGCCGCGGGCTCCGCAGTAGGTCCCCGACCCAACACTTGAGCTTGGTAAGCCCGACGGGAGCATTGAGGACACGAATCCAGGGGATAACCGTGCAACAGAACTGACTTTGCGGGAGCGGATGTGTCAACCTTATTTCTTATTATACCATCTCTTGTCTGAGGATTGGGATATTCAAATTCCCAAAACATTCACGATGATCTCAACGTAACGTTGGCCCGATTTTGACCACCCTTAATGCTCTGCAGGAGCGGCTGGTAGTCAAGTTGGTTAAACTAAACGGCAACGGACTTTTGCTGTCTATCGATGTCGATACGTTCTCGCTGAGCTTCAGCTGTTTGCATTTCCCGTAGGTAGAGGATGGCAACTGTCTTATTTTACTCTAAAACATAGTAATCTCATTCTCTTCCTAAATACTCTTGTGCGACCCAGAATTCCGCGTTTTCTCTCAGCAGCGCCTGTAATAATTTGCGATTTGTTACTCTTTTTTTTCTTTTTCATCCAGCATTGCCAACCCTAGCGAGCCGGTATCGCAGGGACTCTTTGCCATTCTCGACCTCAGATTGCAAAACACAAACATCATCTAATCCTTAACATGAACGCCTCAGCCAACCTCCGCGCCTCAATGATTCGCACATCGGTGCTGGTCCCGGTGCCCCCGGGCCATTCACGATTCGATACTGTTGCGACCGCCCATTCCCGGGGAATCGAGGTCGGCGAAGGAGAAAGGCGTCGGGTCGTCCAAACTCTGAACTATCTTGAATATCGCGTACGATGCGATATGGATCGAGAGGCAGCTCTTCCATCGCCCGTTAAAGAGTATTCGATCGAAGATTCTGCCATCGAGGTTGAAGGCTCACAGCGGTCCCAGCTGAAACGAATGTTTACAATATTTCCTTATAGAGACATGAACTGGATTGTCACGATGCTATTCGTGGTTGGCAGTGTATCTTTCGTTATCAATGCAGGATTCGGGCTCTTTCCTGCCCTCGAGCCAAGCCTCGCTTTCGAGACTCTCCCAACCGTCGCTCTCCCTGCGACCATTACGATCGGAGCCACCATGTTCATGACTGGAGGCATTCTCGGCGTTTTCGCCGCTTTCAACGCCGACCGCGGCACTCTCGAGAAGAAGGACACCAAGTCCATCGGTGACAACACCCCGGCCATTTATCGACCCGCCCTCATTGGCTCTGAGGCATGGCTCTGGATCCCATCTGCAGCCGATTTTACCAGCCTTCTGCGGACTGTTCCGTTCCAGGCTGGTCTGGTGATGCTTTCCGGCGGTCTCATCCTCTCTGTGGCCGCAGTGGCTGGCTTTCCAGGAGTTCTCAACCCCATGGATCTTTTTCTCACCCAAGCTCTCGTCTTCATGCCTCAAGTTATTGGAGGAGCCTTGTTCTTTATCGCCAATATGGCTCTTGTCATACATGTCCAGAAAGACTGGTATAAACCAAGAATACTTGCAGGCGAATGGCAAGGGGCGGCATGGAATGCAGTGGCATCCGCCGGTTTCATTGTGACCGGTGTGATGCTCCTAAACAATCGCATCTTTGAGAGCTCAGTTGTTGGGTTTGCTGCAAGTACCGCCTTCTTGATAGGGAGCATCATCCAATGGTATCTGCTTATGGAGTTTCATCCAACCCGTTGGGCAGCTTAAAGTCTTGATAGCTTTTCAGTCCATAGTGTTTCTGTGAACACTAGAAACAGAGTTCGTCCTCTTGAGAGACTCATCTTTGAAATAAACCTCTGGAAAGCTCAAAAAGCACAATTTAGAATGGCTTGTGAGAGGAGCTTATGAAGAGAAAAGCGACTGGGATCTTGACTGGAGAAGGCTCCAGATCCCAGCCCCATGCGGTGCTCTGCCTGGCGGACTTTGGTTCCCTGAAATGAAGGTGATTGGTATCGTAAGCAGAGGCATAGAAGCCACAACAGTTCAAGACCCCGCGTTTGGGGACCAAATTCTAATGGCACAGTCCTTTTCTCTGCTTACAAAGTTACTTGAATTCATGGTTGTCTAATTACCCCTCAGTCAATCATGCTTGACCTTTTTGGTGAGTATTGGAGATTGGTATAAGGGCACCGGGGCAATGCCGCAATGCGGATGACAAAATCCACTGCGGGACATCCATCGTTATTGATTCATCCTGTAGGATGGTAGAAACGCTAGGTCTGAATTCATCTCACCTCATGTCATAGTTGTGGGTCAATGATGAATGTACTTACTCTTAATGATCGCTGTTGCTAGCAAGCCTAGCTCAGCTCTGGCTGGAACTGAGGTGGTACGCGCGAAAGTCCGAATACGCGGTCCGAGTATCACCAGCCACAAGCTGCGCCGCATTATTCGAGGGTTTTATGTTGAGCGCTGGGAAGAAGGAAGGGCTTCTAGACGGCCTGCTGAAGAATTGCTGTTGGAGATTTCCATATCATTGAGGAGCAGACTTGTAGGCGAATTCCTTGATGTCAGGAAAATTCTCCTCTTCCCTGAGAGTCTGGGAAGAGAGTAAACCCGAAAGGGTTTGCATTCCGCTCATCAACAAGGGGGTTTCTGGGGCAAGTTCAGTGCCACAGTCCGAAGTCGAGCTCTACTTCGCCGCGCATTCGTATATCTTCAGATATGCATCGTTTACAGAAAAACTAGTCGCCGTCTGCATGTAAGCGTGGGTGACTATGAGGTCCGTCAAATTACTTAAATACTGAAGCTCGTTCTTGCTTTCTGGATTGATTTGATACTCGCATGCCAACAGTCACTCATTCCATAAATTGTGTTCTTTCTTTCGCTTCCCTGCATTCGTTAAAGCAACCAAATAAACGCTCTCAAAATGGCCCTCTGCAAGCTACTTCTGGCAGCTGCTATGCTTGGCTCGACCTACGGAGCCGCAACTAGCAACAACGCTCGAGTTCTCGACCTACCCCCTCGTTACCACAACGGTACTATCAGCGTTGAGCATCTCTCGGTGGCGGGAAACCTCGATGGTTTCAAGATGCTCACCCCGGCTGCCAAAAAGTCTACTGACTTCTGGTACTTTGATGTTGTTTCAAAGTCCACTAACCAGACTCTGAATATTGTCTTCTTCAACTCGGGAGACTTTGCGCAGTACCCACATCCTCTCGCGGTCCAGGTTTCGGGAGTGTACCCCAACGGTACAGACTTCTACTTCAAAGCTATGGCCGATGCTGGGGTTCATCTCACCAACGGCCCTCGAGGTATTACTGGAGACTGGAAAGGTATTGGGAGCTTTAGTGGAACCTCGTTGGACAAGCCTGATGGTGAATACACGATCAACATCGACTCCGAGGACATGGGTATCTATGGCAGGATCTCCTTCAAAGCCGTGAGTGACTCCTTAATCCTATTTCTTACCGTTGTGCAGCTTCGAGAGACTGATGTTGAAGATTAAAGAATGCTCCCGCTCACTACCCTTGCGACTTGAATGGCGCAGTTGGCGTCAGCCAGAATCTATTGCCGGGACTGTACTGGGCTAACGCGGTCCCCGATGCCGAGACGTCTGTTGACCTCGCCGTCAAGGACACGGTCATCGCCTTCGAAGACGGTATTGGCTACCACGACAAAAACTGGGGCAATCAGTCCATCATCGATGGTCCTCGTTACTGGGATTGGGGACACGCTCGCTTCGGTCCTTACTCTATCGTTTGGTACAACCTTCTCGACTACGATGGCAATGAGAGCAAACGTTCTTATGTTGCAAAGAATGGAGAGGTTCTTCTCGTTAGCTGCGACATGGCAAGCATGGAGGTTCGTCAGAAGGGCGGAAAGGCAGCCTGGCCTCCCACCACTGGACTGCTTGAGACCGAAGGCCTATCTGTGAAGTACAAACTCAGAAATGGCGACGTAATGGAGGTCGATGTCACTACTCAGTTCATCGTTAGAGATGAGAAGGGCGCCTACCAACGCGCCAACGGTCTCGTCAAAGGCGGCATCGTTGGACAAGATGTTTTCGAGGGTCGCGGTCATTACGAAGAGTTCATCTTTGGCATCGTCAATGACTACACTCCGCAGGTATAGTATCAGCACGTTGATGCGTTAAAGACATTAAGCAGCCTGTTGCTTCATGAGTTCTTTTCGACCATTCACACCGCCAACCCATCATCTCCACCGGCAACGTTTCAATAGCTTACATTGTTCCACTCCTGCCAGAAAGATTTATTGGTCTTGAATCTGTGTACATACTCAGTCTACGTGTAGATATGAAGTCCCATAGAAAGGATTATTAACCAAATTCCGAGAGGTCATTGCGGCTTCGTTGAAGTTTCCTGGATGCCATACCTTGGTTTTCAAAATCAGTTCCACAGACCATCCTTAATAGAGATCCTCTCTGCGAATGCGCCAGTTTTCAGCATACAGGATTTTTCGGGTGCGTCCTCCTACCCAGATCGCCCAATCTTGAAGCCCCCAGGGACTCTTGTTTGAAACGCGCCACTCGGGTCGTACTTGGTAGCGACATCCCGTATGAATTGAATATTCTGTGGGCCGTATCCTGCAAGGGCATCCTGTCGAGGACTGGCATAGTTGAGGTAGACTAGGTCCATGTCGCCCCCGACAGACTTTGCAAATCTCTGTATCTTGTCCGACATCGAAGCCAAACATGCTTCCGCCAAAGCAAAGTCTGCGTCGTTCGTCAACACATACACACCACCCGTCCACATGATGGCATTGGACTTCAATCTTTCAAGACCAAGCATGTTACCGCCGCGTTGTTCTGCGATATTTCCATAGTCCATTCCGACAGGCTGTAGAAAGATCATTGTTCCGAAGGTTTCTGGGCCGATTGAACTCTGAAGAGACTTGACGAACTCTTCGTGGAGCTTGGTGGAGTATCGAAGAATCTCTGGATCATTTTTGAACAACAGAGTTGCCGCAGCACTCCTAAGAGACAAAGATCAGTCGGAACGAAGGGTTCAGATATCAGCTAGACTTACAGTTGTCCGCCCTGGACTTTCGAGCCGGCGGCAGTCTTGGCCACAGACTGCTTCACAGAAATATTGCGAATAGACGGAATGTCTCTGAGATTGTCGAATGCCGTTTCGACACCATTGTGCCCAGCCGTATTGACATAGATGGCCGTAATCGTTATGTCAGGACCTACCGTGCCGTTGTACTGGAGGAACGTGACCAGCGCGTTATCAGCAAGCGACATGTCATGATCCGCAAACTTGACCAGTGTATCGGAGACCACGTCAGAAGCGGTTGCGGGCAGTATTCGGACTTCGTAGTGGATATCACGAGCGGGAAGAGCTTCTAGGTCGAATCTTGTGACGATGCCAAAGTTGGAGCCGCCGCCCTTGAGCGCCTTCCATAAATCTGAATTGCTGGCCTTGTTCGCATTGACGACGCTTCCGTTGGTGAGCACGACCTCATAATTGAGGACAGAGTCACAGGCGAATCCATACTTGGGCGAGAAATATGATGTGCCGCCGCCTAGGAGAAATCCTCCCACTCCAACGTCGCCGTCGCGGCCACCGACCACCACAACGCCTTCATCGCCCAGACTGGCGTAGACGTTCTCCCATCGCCCTCCCGAACCAAGCATTGCGGTGTTAGTTTCGGCATCATAACGGGAGTAATTCAGCATGCTCAAATCGATGGTGACGCCATTCTGGATGTTGTTGTTCAGCTGAAAGCCATGCCCCCCGCTCCGGACTGCAATGTGCCAGTCTCCGGCGCCGTTGCCAGCTTTTAGGAGCGTGGTTAAAGTGAGAGAAACCTCATTTGTACTCTCGGGTAGCACAATGCACCATGGATGAAGCTGGGCGTTCCGAGCCCACCAGGTTTGGACCTGTTTCTCATACCCTAAGTCGGTTGGCGATAAAACCCTACCACCTAAGCCGGCGGCAATAAGCGCGTCACACTGCAATATTAGTAAGGCTCCCAACAGTGACTTGGAGGGTGCTCACTGGCGGGGTGCCCCCAACAAAGGTGTCCGGCGTGCCTATGTTTGCGGCAGAAGCCTGCAAGATAGCCAACGACCCGATAAGGGTACAATGTTTCCAGAGACTCTGAATCATGGCGGACAAGGTATGAAATCAAATGAAGATTGATGATGAGTTGACGTGAACTAATCAATGTCACCTACTAGTTGCTGTGAGGCTCGAGAGTTTATGGCCATTGTTGTGCAGATTGCTCGCCTTCTTAAATACAACAGTTCTCGGGGCATCTTCGCTGTCTTTGATGAACGCATGTTGAGCTGAGATCATTACAATCCCGGGCCCTCGGGCCCTGTGAAGGCGGAAGGCCCCTGTAACAACGCGTTGGTTGTCGGAGTGAAAATTAGAGCGTGATTGAAGCTGCACCGAACCAGTAGCCGTTATATATTCAGTAAGTCAGTAGTGTCTGCCAGCCGTCACCGGGACAGGATTATGCCGTTGTGAGGGCTACAGCCACACATACTCATGCGCAATCGTGTGGCACTCAGGTTGACTGACACAAATGAGAACTTCGGTTTTTCGGGGCCTCGGGCCCGGGGGGTTATTAGAACTTGAGGCTACCAGGCCTAGCGCTGACAGGCCGCGAATAGACGCAGCGATGATGACAGCTGCCTAATGTCGGGAAGCTTTGCGTCGCCAGCTTGCCAAGAGCAGGACAAGACTGCCGTGAGTAAAGTATGCAGTGAGATCAAGTAAGTAAGTACTTACACATGAGACTCCCGGAATGAAGACTGAAGACGATGAGATTCTTGGTCGTTAGGATTCTGCCAATATCCCACTTCGTCATCTTACCGCCAGCCCCCATGCCCCATGCCGATCAGGCGGAGGCAACAAGGGAAACTTGCTTTCTGCTTTTCGATTCTGATACAATATAAGACTTCTGAACTTCTAATGCTTGAAGCAGAGATTCCCATAGATGGCTGGTGTACTATCAATGGAATACTCCTAAATAGCTGTGTCGCTACTGGAACGGGATGACTAGATTGAATCGATATGGAGCTGATGGGATCCGTCATCGCATCTCGCCTGTAATTGCACGATCGAAATTAGCGCAGTTTTCTCTAAGAGTAGTCACTGATTGCCTGCCTGACTCCTAATTATGCCACCGCCAAGCACTCATGCCCTCTGTGAACAGCGAAGGAAATAAAGAAGAAAAGCGGCCACTTGCTGGACCTTTCCATCTATCGAATTTGACCGCATTTCATCCCCTTCTTCTCCCAATCTGCTTCCACGTCTAATGTGCAAAAGTCTACCCTCACGTAGAAACCACTGACTGCTTCGGATGGAGGCCTCCGGTGTTGGCAGCAAGAGAGCGGCGGTAAGTTCGCGATCAGTTCGTGGAAACACTGTACCATGTGTTTTAACGATAAGTAATAGACCAAATGCGACCGCGAAACGCCATGCTCAAGCTGCGTGGCCTCGAAACTGATATGCCGCCTGACGCATCGCTCATCCGAGAGACGACAGCGCGTCCTCATCTCGCCCCGCTATGATGAGGCCATAGAAAGTGTTGACCGCTCGCTGAAGGAAGTCTCCCAGGCGGTGCAGCAGCTGCTCGAAATCAACCAGCAGAGGTCGCACCCATCACCACTCGTCTCCTCTCCATCCTTCATCGGCAATTCCTCTTCAAATATTCCAGGCTTATCTGAGGGATACAGAGGCGATTCATCGTTCAAGGCGCATGTTCATCGGGTCACCGATGCACTCAAGGATGCAGCTGCAGATCTAGAGTCGACCTTGGGCGACGATTCGGCGCTCTCTGCGACCGTGCAAATGATCGAGCAGGCTACAGCCAGTGAAGAGAGTAGCCCCGCCCAGACTGTCAGCTCGCCATTGTCCGTGCAAGCCCAGCATCCCGAGTTGGAGGGTAGAAGCCTTCCGTCAACTGAGCGCGTTCTCAAGCTGGTTCGACTGTGTCAGACTGAAAAGCAGCGATTTTTCATAGATGTCCCCGTGATTGACGAACAAGAATTTGGTGAATTTTGCCAAAAGGTTTGTTTTGCCATTGCCGACTTTTCCATCGTGGACTGGATCATAGTCAACGCCGGTCTGTTCTTCTTGTTCCAAGGACTCAAAGGCCATCATTATGCTCTTGTCGATATCACCGAGTCAGATGTCGAGGCATACTCGCAACTCCTCAAGGCCAACCTTGAAGCTGCGATACAGTCTCTGAAACTCTGCAGCGACCCTTCTATACAAGCATGCCAAGCTCTGGCGGTCCTGGTAAGTCTCGAGCGATTGCCGCTAAAGCTCAAATCCCAGCACTAACGAAAAAGTACACGTTTTGCAACAAAGTAGGCCAAAGTACACTCGCATGGCAGCTCATATCGGCTGCGTCGCGAATGTGCATCGACCTCGGTTGGCATAGACTACCTAGCAATGAGCCAGAATTCTCAAAAAGGCGACAAGTGTTTTGGCATATTTATGTCCACGACAAAAGCATGGCTTTCACAATGGGCAGGACGCCGTCAATCCATCCTTACGATGTCTCAACTGAGCGGCCGTCCATACCCAAGGATTACGTTCCGGGTGTGCCAGTACAGTAAACATACCTTTTTGCCTTTTCCCCGGGACTGGTATGCTGACAGCGCCTTGAGTCTCTATTCTGGGTTTATCGAGTATGCATTTATCGTTGGCGATATGCACGTCGAGTTGTTTTCTGCTTCAGCGCTTCGGCAGCCGCCAGAGACGCGAAGCCAGAATGCCAAGTTGGTAGTTTCCAAGTTGCTTGAAGTCAACACACGTCTCAAACAGGTGAGTCTGAGTATTCATACCATTTGAAAAGAATTTTCCTAAATTTTGCAGTCTGTTGAACATAGCCCCTCAGACGATGATCTCTACAATGCGCTTGCCGTGCTGCTCGACTTCATGATGTACGGTCTTGTTACGATAGCTTATCGTATTATCCCATGCGATGAAGCAAGCGATAGCCCACTGAAATGCAGCGACGAATGCACGGAGGCTGCTCGAAATGCCCTTCGTACAATTGTGGGAGCATTCGAATCCTGGGGCCACCTCAGAATCACTGGATGGTCAATGCTCCTCAACATGTATGCTCTCACATGACGCTGCTGTGGTTCTTGATGCACATTTCCTAATATCTTTGTAGGATGTTCTCTCTGGTCCCCTTTGCCAGCTTTGCAGTGCTCGCGGGACACACCGTGGCAACGGCGTCCGAAGAGGACCTAACGCTGCTCTGCAGCGCAGTTTCTGCCATTGAACCCACATCAAGCAGCTCGCCTTCAGCCAAGAAGCTATACGATGTGTGTAAGACGTTCTATGAGCTCGCCACCTTTTCTGTCAAGCGACGATCGTTGATAATCAAGAGACCGCATCACGCAGAGCAGGTATATGAACAACGGGCATCTGAGGATACTCCCCTTTTACCGGAGGTCGATTTCGCTGCACCTCCGTACGATCACATCATGGCTCATCAAGACTGGGACGCTGTGATGAATGAGTTCGATCTGGGCATTGGGGCCAGCGCTATGGCTTCCTTTGTAGAACCTTATATACCTTTTGATGGTAGATTGCCCTGATTCATCAAATAATATGCATGAGACCAATTTGCAATTCGAACCGAGGCTGATTGATCTCTTTAACTACGAGAGTAATTCAACTCAAAGCTTTGCGTTCAACCCAGTGCCTTTGCAAGCCGCATCCACGCAAGCCATGACTTGAACCAGTCGATCATCCCGTAACCTTGGTACAACGATCTGAACGCTCAGTGGCGTCCCCAGATAGATCTTTCGGTCAATCTTCTTCTCGTCCCATAGCTCTCTGTTTCTCTCGTCCCAGCTACTCAGGACCTTTCCCCCTTGTGGCCGACCAAGCTGCAGATCACTCTCCTTCACGTTTCGGACTGGTACTGTTCCTGCAGGATAGTCAAGCATTACCCAGCTGCTAGTCAAACCGACAGCATTGTACCCTTCGATAGGCGGCACAGGATGCGGCGCAACAGGACATATCACTGCATCCAGCTTCTCTCGCCTTCGACCATGTTCATCATTCTCGACCCACATCTTGAGCATCTCCCGCTCCAACGTAGCTCGTTGTGCTTGAAGCTCAGCAACTTGCGTAAGTGACAGCGGCTTCCCTTTTTTGAATCGTGCCGCTGTCCAGGGTACTAGAGGCTCGCCTGTTGCTTGAATCATCTCGGCCATGTTGACGGAGCCGTCGACACCCATGAGCTTGTTCATGACCGACTGTGCCTTGGTGAACGCCGCGGGGCATGACAGCTCAACCACCTTCACACCAGGTGATCGTGAAAGGGCTGAAGAGACCTCGTCCAGCATGTAATCAAGAGGCGGATGAATGCTGCAATTTCCATCCGTGCGAAGAACGCCAATATCCATTTCTCCGTTCCTGCCGCAGCCCGAGATCGACGATCCTCTCAAGCTGGAGAGCCATGATGCGGGCATGCAATCCTCGCCCCATAGAGCAGCCCGAGGGACGATCTCACGCAGGAGAGCATCTATATCCTCAACACTACGGCCAATAGGGCCCGCAACAGCTTGCACGGAAGTGCGGCTCATACCGTCAATGCCAGTAAGAACCTGCCCGCCGTACGGAACGCGTCCATTGGAGGGCTTGAAGCCATAGACCCCGTTACACATAGCAGGCACGCGGATGCTGCCACCAATATCGGTCCCGATGCCAATCATGGAACCCTTCATGGCCACGAGGACGCCCTCGCCGCCAGAGGATCCGCCGGCGGTGCACAGTCGGTTGATAGGATTCATGGTCCGGCCAAAAACGTTGTTGACGGAGTCCAGACTTCCGAGAGTTTGCGGAATGTTGGTCTTGGCGATGATGACGCACCCCAAAGAGAGCAGGAGATCAACCAGCGGCGCATTGGAGGCTGCGGGCTTGTGGCACAGGTATGCCAGCCCCATTGAGGTGTCGACGCCTGCAAAGTTGAATGTGTCTTTAACGGAGACGGGGAGGCCGTGGAGGGGGCCGAGGGGGGCGCCATGGTCGCTGAGATAGTCATCGAGAAATTGAGCCCGGTTCAAGGCGGTGTCGAATAATGGTTCCGTTAAACAGTTTGTGAGTTGCTGCGCTATGGCACTTCGGTGGCAGAAGGCCTCGGTGACTTGTCTAGCTGAGAGTTTTCGCGTCCCTATGGCCTTGAGCAGAGTTGAAATCGTGTAAGTTTCGGTAATTGAGATTTCTGATTGAGACAAGAACTGGCGCGGTATGTCAAGGACTTTCTGTGGCCCGTTACCTGGTTGAGGGGGATCATTTGGGATGGCCTTGAGTGGGATATGCCATTCTGATGGGATGCGCGCCGCTCTTTCAGCCTGTTTACGTCGCGCAATGGCCTTCCACGGGGCTTCCCGAGATTGAGCAGACATGCTTGTGCAAGCTTCGCGTTAAACACCTGGAATTTGACTCTGACTGATAACGTGGAGGCGGTCGACGGTTGGGTTGTGTATTGTTAGATTTGCTATCTCAGCATGCCCAACAGCTGGCGGGGTTCATAGTATATTGTCATCAGAACCTCGGCATTCTATTTACGCACAGAGGATGTTTCCAACCGGCACTTGTGTGAACCGTCAAGCTTATGTGCTGTGTTATGTATTAGTATACACAACGCGGGGAATGCTTAACAATTACCCCAACTTCGAGATCACTGTGCCAATTACACTATCCTGTCGCTGTTCACGGACCGAGCGGTCCTTGTGGGGTCCATAGCCCGAGGAAACGGAAACTCGCGTTGCCCGAAGCTCGCGGCCCTTACGGTACGGAACGAATCTAACACGGCATAGAGATCCTGCAGTGCATGGGTGTCATATTCAAGCAAACTATGCAAACAGTGTATCCATTAACCCGGTCTAGGTTACTTTCCGGGAATCTTGCGCAAGCAAACGATCTAGAAGTCCTCGGAGCACGATCCTTGAGGCCAGTGTATTTGCTGTTCATGTCTTCGGTGATTGGAACTGCAGTCTCCGCAGGTTATTCCCAGGGAGAAAATTGATAGATTCTTGTCCACAGTCTCAACTACACGACGTAGTTCGATCCAACGCTAGCAAGCACACAGGTCGTCTTGCTTGGTGTTCGATGGCCGATGAGTTCCCTGCCTGAGGTACTTTAGTATCGTCAACTTGAGAGGCCCTGAATCCCTGCGGATAAAGCCCGCTTTTCTGAAAGCCCCAGAACTTTTGCATATTGCTTCTATCGTTCTGTCTACCAGCTAGGCCAAGACTGCTGAGGATGAGCGGGGCCGCCGGGAGTAGTTTGGGCAGAAGACCATACTGTGCGAAAAGGGAACTATCTCCAATCTGCCAACATCAAACTGCTGGGCTTTTGAGCTACTTCCTCGCGAGCTTCGTGAATGGGCATTTTGTCCAATAATGCCCGCACAATGGTCCCGACCGCAACATGTGGTACAAGTGACCTGCGTTAGATCCAACAATCTTGTATTGTCCTACCGTCTCATCTACCAGGGTGACGAATCTGCAGATGGATACCGCACACCCAAAGGCGAACAAGAAGACTGGCAGCATGGCAGCATGGCTGCAAAGTCCCAAGTCATCACATCAAGCCACCCGTCTAGAAGAAACAATGTGTAACCCTCCTATCTGCTCGAAGATATCTGTCAAATATAGATGATGCCGCGGGAGTGGCGCCTGCAACCCATTGTCACCCGCGGACCGTGGTGGGCTGAGTTCAGCCAAGTGACTGCCTGCATGAGACTGTCACAGTACATCCATCCCGTGGGAGCATGGATGCTTCCTCACCTGCGGCAAAGCCAACCCGCTAGCCCAATCAAACTTATCGGTTCCTGAACGACCATATTGCCTCTTCCAACGACATTGAGCAAACAAAAATTCAGCCCAATCCCATGCGGCATCACAACGGAGTCCCATATATTGCCCTACCATTCCTGGGGGCCATCTCCGAAGCTGTGCGCAGAATCCCGACCCCCAAAACTCGGAGGCTCAGCGTTGGGGTTGGTGTCGTAGTCAAAAGCTCGCCATGTCTTTAGTGGTATTTATGTATGCTCGATTCCGAGTACACATGCAAGTCAAGTCACCGTCCGTCTCCATTGAATACCGGCGGTAGGCTCGGAGGTGCGGCGGCTCAGCGCCTGACGTTGCCTTCACCAAAACCACCTCACCAAGCAAACAGACCGGGCGTCCAATCGCGATCCACAATATCCTGGAGGACAAGTCAAAATGAGGTATCTCCAACTTGGACTTATGTCATGATTCAGTTGACAAACAAAATACACGGATCCCCCGAGTGCCGAGAAGCATGCAATCCGGGCCGCAAGCCACCTTGGAGTCGAAGAAGCGCCATGACAAGTGATACATCTCTTTCTGCGGCGGTCGTGCCGTAAAGATGAACATTGTTTGCTGAAGAGTTGCCAAAAGAAGGTATCACCCGCGGCAAGGGTATTCTGCCACAATCCTTTCAGCCAAGTCTTCATGTTCACAACCAACACGAAACAAACACGACCTACGTGACTAGGGGCCAAAATCAAGGCAGCGGGTAATACTGGCCCCCAATGGCACCTTGAAAGCTCCTGCGATCATGTAAATAGATAACTACTCGCGCGATTACCAGCTGTTGTTTGATCTGTCAAAAATCCCATGTGATTATGGGTCCTTGGGTCTTTGGGGCATCGAATGATGTTATAAAGAAAACCAAAGATCCTCTTGACCGTGAATGTTCTCAATCCTCCTTTTGAATGATGTGAACATTTTGGTTTGATACTCATCGGGGCTCTGATCATGTTCACCTCAGGGTTTGTAGAAGCCTACTTGAGTGGTAAGGTACGAGATGTCCTCATTAAGTCCGCATGCTCTGCGTTCATCTTGAGCACTCCCTTCCTCCTCACTTATCTTTTCACCTCCATCCGCTTTCTTTGGCAAAAACAACGTCACGAGAAGTCAGGAAATAGGCGGCCTGTCATACCTGCATACTTTATCCCAGGACTTGGCCATGCCCATTCGATTCTCTTCAACGCTGAGAGATTCCTTCGTCCTCTGCAGTACGTGAATATGGTAGAAGTCCACCTCAACGTCACTTTCGCTCATACCAGTCCCAGGTCTCGCCTCCATGGCACCCTCATATCTCTCTCAGCACCCGCGAGTTCACTTTGCTATGTCCTTCCCGGCGATGGCGTGCGGTCGCTCTTCAAGGGACCTCGAGACCTCGTCCCAGTCCCTGGTATCTTCGATGCCTTGACGATATTCTTTGGCTTAGAAGCGGTGGACTATCATGTGTTCAAACATGACCACGTCTCGGCATTCGAGAGGCGTGACGGCGCAGGATTCTCGACTTCTCATCCGGACGCATCCCGAAGAATCATGGAACATCAACGAAAAGACTTCATCACCTTCTTGAACGGGGATAACCTGAGGCTTGTCATGGACAGATTCTCTTCCAACCTCAGTCAACGACTCTGGCCACAAGATACTTCTGTTCCGAACCAAAAATCCGTCGCCCTCCCTGATTTGTACAAATTCGTACGCGACGTCATTTTCCGTGCGGAAGTCGAGGCGCTGTATGGGAAGCACATTTTTAGGCTTTGCCCATCATTTTGTGAGGACTTTTGGGCTTTTTACGACGCATTCCCTATTATCTCACGTGGGAGCCCACGGTGGATGTATCCCTCCCAATACCGTACGCGCGACCGGATAATCAGGAGTTTGGGCAAGTGGAGGAGCTGGTGCAATTCTAACAGCCACAATGATGATGCGGAACCGGGAGATGCTGAGTCTGATCCTATCTGGGGCACCCGCTACGTGAGGAACATGGTCCGGCGATATGAGGATCTCGGGTTTTCGGATGCCGGGACCTCAAGCGTTATCCTTGGTTTCTTGTTCGTGTAAGTCTAGCTACTCCCAGTCTTTCAAGTCGGAAGTGGACTTTTCCTAATTTCCCTTTACAGAACAACTGCAAACACGATTCCAGCTGCCTGCTGGATGGTGCTGCACGCTCTTCTGGACCCAACTCTTACGTCCAGGTTAAGACACGAGTCAGGCATTAGAGATAACAGCGAGGAAACATTACTAGACTGCACGGCATTATCATCGGCCCCGCTGCTAAACTCAGTCTGCCGAGAAACATTACGACTTCACGTTGCCGGCGCTATCGGTCGCAAATCGGTCGGTGCCGGTCTCCGTCTCCACGGAGATTCCCTCTCCACTTTACCATCGGGGACCACCGCCTTATCAGCAAACTGGCTCGGTGGCCTCGACGGAGCCATCTGGAACACGGGCCGGACCATCAACGGGGTCGTGGAGCACTCTCTCGAGTCCTTCTGGGCAGAGCGGTTCCTCGAGTACCCCGATGATCCGACAAGCGGCCCTCTTCGGAAACCTGACCCGGTTAGGCACAACTACAATGTATCGGAGAAGTACGTGCGCGATGATTCCAAAGCCAAACTGTCGAATCCATCAGCGTTGCGAGGACACTTTTTCCCCTTTGGAGGAGGCGCTTGGAGATGTCCGGGCGAGACTTTGGCGAAGAACACCATTCTCGTCTCCGTTTTTCTCATTTTAAGAGACTTTGACGTGGAGATTCTGGACCCGGCGGATGCGGCCAAGGCCCGGTCACATCATCGAGCTATGCCCTTTGGATCGCATGCATTTGATAGAGAGGTACCGGCGAAGATTCGCCCGCGATGTTGAGGAAAACACATTTTAGAACATGAGTGGAGTGTGGCATTTTCTTGGTTCAAGTTGGCGCTCAAATACCACAAGATAGATGTACACATAATACAAGTGAAGGAGAAATAGTTTAGTCTCGTGATTGATACGACACAATGTCCTCTCACTGTTTGCTGCATGCCGATTGCTGGTCTGCTTCGAATTCGGGTCTCCAAGGGTTTGGTCAACGTCGCAATCTCAAGAGATTTCCTTATCAGTTCACCTCTCACCGAAGCTGACTCTTCAACGTTGAACCTTGATAATGAGGATTTTTCCCGTGGCAAATCCCCTTCAAATTGAATTAAAAGCTCCACTCATCTCCTAAAATCGGAGTCTACCCCTGGCAGGAAGAGTTCTATTTCCCCTCATACTACCGAGTCAAGATAAGGGTTCTGCCCAAAAAGATTACAAACATCAGTTCATCCGATGTTTCCCAACCCACCGTTCACTCATGAACTTGGCTCGAGACATTTTCTGAGTGGAAAGCCTCATCGGCCATGGTCTCAGCGTTCATCGTAAGAGTCGCTGCCGCCGTGCTGGCCATACAGCCGGCGTTGGCAGCACGCAAGAACCTCATCATCGACACTGACATCTTCAGTGACTGCGAGTCAGTGCCACCCATGTCCCCCAATCATCACCAAATAGGTACCCAGGGTCTAATATCGCAACAGTGATACTGGCGCCCTCCTTCTCGCAGCAACCTCACCAAACGTGAACCTCCTCGGTGTCAACATCAACTACCCTTCAACATACTCCGTCACGGCAACTTCGGCAATCCTCGCCCACTATGGCCTTGCAGATGTTCCCATCGGCGCGCGCAGACCAATGACAGATGAGCCTTTCTTCGACACTTTCGCCTACGACCTAGGCGAGTACGCAAGCAAGATCTCGTACCAGTACTCGGGCGGCTCGCTCCCCTTTGGCCAGGCCGAGAACGCCTCCGACGCGGTGACGCTCTACCGCAAGATCCTCGCCGAGGCCAACGAGCCGGTGACAATTGTCTCCATCGGCTTCTTCGAGAACCTCTCCGCGCTCCTGAACTCCACAGCCGACGCTGTCTCTAACCTCACGGGCCCCGCGCTGATTGCAAGCAAGGTCTCGGAACTGGTGGTCATGGGCGGGGGTTACCCGTCCGGTCGGGAGTTCAACTTCTTTGGCGATAACCCTTCGCACACGGCGCATGTCGTGAACAACTGGAAGGGTCGCATGGTTTTCTGCGGCACTGAGGTCGGCTCGATCGTGCTGTCCGGAGCGAAGCTGCTCGCCGAGGGCCCCATATCGGATCCGGTCCGGCAGGCTTACATTTACTACAACTTTTACCGGCCCCGGCAGTCGTGGGATCCACTCACGGTATTGTATGCCATGCAAGGCCTCGGAGACATCTTTAAATACGGCAACATGTACGGGCGCAACTTTGTCTATGCCAATGGGTCGAATGAGTGGGTCTATGACCGGAATGTCACTAATCAGCACTGGTTAAACCTCAAGGTTGACAATGTTACGGCGGCGGCGGCGCTGGACAAGTTGTACTTGGAGGGAGCATGGTCGATGGTGAACGGGACGTCGGCTTGAAGGACCTCTAGCCTTGCTCTTACTTTGGAAGGCCGACTATCCGAGTGAATGTAAGCTTAATATTTGATGTCGATAACGTTGCATGTCGGCTCTTACATGTGCGCTTCGTGTGCCGAGTTTCGACGGACTCTAGTAGTCAACCCCTCGACCGAATGCAAGCTTTGGTAATCCTCCCGATATCTCACCACACCTTGATCGCCGTGAAATCTCCTCCTTGAGTACTCTCCGAATCGGCCACCATCCCGGTCACGCCAACTGAAGCAACTCTGTACACAGTAGGCGCCAAGATCACGTTGCATTCGCGCCGGCGATGGTAACAAGGGGGTCGTGCAAAATACCACCTTCCTTATGCCCCTCGTTCCCCGTTGACGGATTTCCGGATTTCCCTGTTGATGCCATCTGAACAGCTGCAACAAGACCGTTGAATGCTGCGGCACAGACAAACTTCCTCGCCGGAATCGACAGGATCTGAGCTTGTGACGAAAGGATCCCTCCACTGCAACCGCGAGAAGACCACAAAATCGCCCTCTACCTATTGCGCTCTTATCTTGCTCAATTGCTCTCAATAAGCTCGTGTTGCCCCGCACTTTTGAGTCGCTTCATCTATCCAAATGTCAGTTTTAGGCGATTTTTGGTGGAGAACGTGCCCCTCAACACCACATGGCGATAGTGTCAAATGCGACGTTGATGACCACGGACATGGGGTTTCGAAGCGCGCCCATCATATCATTCGAAACTTAGACGTATAAATAAGCATATAATGTAGGTATAATAGCTCTTGGTTTCCTCGTAGCTCTCAGCTACAGGACTTTGAGGTTCTTTCGTTCCAGAGAAACCAGCTCACCATGGTCGCTTTGAGAGCATCGCTTGCGGCATTGGCCGGCATCGCGGTCTTATCCTCTGCATCGGCGGTGAAGAGAGATGTGACGCCAGTCTTTGAGAAGACACATATTCCTGGCGCATTCATCGTCGAGTTCACCGACGATCAAGTCAGTTCACAAACTTCACCTGTACCTAGTGGCGATGCTCTAACACACTGCAGGATGGCTCTGGATTCCTCAGTCAGCTCAAGACAGAAACCGGCGCGACCAAAATATCCCAGCGTCTCAACCTGCAGTCTAGGATCTTCAAGGGCGTCTCCGTTCACGTCGAAGACTCCAACAATGAGACAGCCTCGAAGATCGCCGGCCTCCCGCAGGTCAAGAATCTCTGGCCCGTCCCCTTGATCAGCGTTCCGAAGCTAGACATCACCTGGACCGGCAAAGACAAGACCTCATCCAAATACAAACGTCAAACAAACTCCACGGACAACTGGCCTCCCCATGTCATGACGCAAGTCGACAAGCTCCGCGCAAAGGGCTTCATTGGAACAGGTCTCAAGATCGGCATCGTCGACACGGGTATCGACTACACCCATCCCGCCCTAGGCGGCTGCTTTGGTCCAGGATGTCTCGTCGAGTTCGGATCCGATATCGTGGGTGACGCTTACGACGGCACGAACGCGCCTGTTCCCGATGCGGATCCCTTTGAGAACTGTCTCGGCCACGGGACCCACGTCGCCGGTATCATTGCTGCAATGGAGAACCCAATGGGCTTCACCGGTGCGGCGCCTGGGGTGAAGCTGGGCATGTACCGGACCTTTGCCTGTAACGGCCAGACGACTGGCGATGTTTTACTTGCAGGTGTGATCAAGGCCTTCGAGGATGGTAGCGATATCATCACTGGATCCATTGGCGGTCCTAATGGTTGGGCTGGAGAAGCGTTTGCCGTTACTGTTTCGAGGATTGTGGATGCCGGCGTCCCTTGCACTTTTGCCGCTGGGAACGAGGTCGGCGGCACGGAAGGTCTGTTCGGAATTAGCACGCCGAGCACCGGCGACGGGGTGATGTCCGTCTCATCCTACCAGAGTCAAGGAGCGGATAGTGAGGGAAAGGTGTCTGCTTTCACGAGCTGGGGTCCGACCTTTGAGCTCAAACTTGCGCCGAGTTTTGGGGCTCCCGGTGCCGGTATCTTGAGCACATGGCCTGTTGCTCTTGGTGAGTATGCTGAGGCATCTGGTACTTCCATGGCAACTCCTCTGGTTGCCAGTATTGTAGCTCTTGTATCTCAGGTAGGTTCTTGCGCCGAGCACGATGTCTTTCTTTTCAGAATGACCAGACTAATACCGAGCAGGCACGGGGAACCAGAGATCCCGATTTAATCAAAAGACTGCTTGCCTCAACCGCAAAGCCAAACCTCTCACAAAATTACGGGGTCGACAACATCGAAGCCGGTCTCGGTCCTGTACCACAACAAGGAGCCGGCATGGTACAGGCCTACGACGCAGCGTACACGACATCAGTTCTCAGCATAGCTAGTCTCTCGTTCAACGATACCGACAACTTAATCTCCGATACCGCATTCAGTGTAACTAACTTCGGAGACACAACGGCAACATACAACGTGTCCAACATTCCTGCCTTGACCGCCACCACCCTGACCGACATTTATCGGCAAAGCTCCCCCGAGCTCTTCACGACGTACGCCACTCTAACCTTTGAACCGTCTAGTTTTAGCTTGGAACCCAATACTACCGGGGAAGTTCGCATTACCGTGGTTCCTCCGAAGGGTTTGGACGCCGCAGCTCTCCCACTGTATTCCGGATGGGTCGCTCTCAACGGTACCAATGGCGACGGCGAGATTGCGCTATCGGTCCCCTACATCGGTGCTGCTACATCCATGAAGAACATAACAGTCCTGGCTGCAAAGCGGCTCATCTTCACTCGCAGCGACGACCCAAGGAGTCCAGATGTACCCGCGAACACCACATTCCAGCTTCCGGCTCCTGCTGCGCATCCTGACTGGGCCTTACCCTTGGCCAACACCTCGGACCTTATTCTCCCACTTGGAGCATTGCCTGACCAATCCTTGTGGCTGGTGATGGGAAGCTCTGAGGTTCGTCTCGAAGCCGTGCCAGTCGCGTCGCCGGCGTCTGAGCCCAATGCAGATGCCAAAGACAACGGTCTCGGTGTGATGACCCTCGGAAACGTAGCTGGATACCCCATGACATATGTAAGGCCGATTGGCTGGATGAGCCCTTGGGATGGAAGCTTAGCGGATGGCTCTTGGGCGCCGGCTGGCAGATATCAGCTCAGCATCTTTGCTCTGAAGATCATGGCGGATAGAAGCTTGCCGGAGAGCTGGGACCGGTATGATTCCCCAGAGTTCATCATTCGTTACGTAGATGCGTGATAGACAACCTCTCAGTACACATGAGCGAGGTAAGCAGAACAGCTTTATGCGGTCATGAAAGTTTGGGAGGCTCTTGAAGCCATTTGATCATATCATCTGATTCCTCATTCCGTCTATCTTGAAGTCTTGTAAAACTGGTTCAGCGCCAACTCTTCGAATGCAATAGCTTCGAGTGCCATCTTTTGTACAAATCCAGGATCAAAGTTCTTGTTCAAGTACGTGATGATCATCGAAAGGCCTAGAGTCATGTAAGCATCAACAATCGGTAGAGTGTGAGTGGAACAAGTCTTACCAGCGCCGGCCCCACCTCCAGTCCACAGTTCGCCCTTCTCTTCGCCCTCATACTCCTTCTCCTCAACAACCCATCTCTGGTCAAGCCACTCAGTCTCGGGGTGGACCTGCCTCACGAACGGCAAGAATTCGCGGTTCGTCGTGCATTTCTTCCCCTTCAGCACCCCAGCGCTGGCCAACCAAGGGCTACCGATGCACGTGGTCAACCAGACCTTGGTCTTCGGGTAGGCTTCCTTCATGAAGCGGTCGGCAGCAGGAGGGCGGTGGCTGGGGAGTGGGCCACCGATGAGGACGAGGTCCAGATCTCGAGGGCAGTCGTCGTAGGTGATGTTGGGGACGAACTTAAGACCGGGGGTCATCTCGGCGGGTTCTAGCGAGGACGAGATGAAGTAGAACTTGATGTCGACTGGGTGATCCTCCCACTCTGTAAACTCGGGATCAAAGTCCTTGACTTTGTTGTAATATTCTCGAGATAGATTGCCGAAGAGATCGATGCCCATGATGTCGCTCAGCTGCACGGCTTCCAACATTACGCCGATGCGAATTGATTTTTTCGATCCCAGAGTTGTCGCCATCTTGCCTATTTCAAGACTGCTTTCTTGAACGGAATTGGTGAGTAAAGTCTAGTGTAAAATGGTTGAAAATACGATGGTAAACTAAGGTAGATATCAAGACGAACAGCAACGGCGATGCATCAGCCGTAAGAGGGAATAGTTTTATACTTCTACACAAGAAACAGAAACCTGTTGTCTTCGCACTGATGGAGTGTGCATCCACCTCCCTCCGACTTCCCCCATCAACGCCTTACTCAGCCGCCCTTGCACGCCTTCAAACGTGGTACTCGAATCGCTGTAGGGTTACCTTGGTCTCCATTTTCCCCTTACGCTAGACCCTAAGCCCGTCCGTCGTCCGATCGTTGAGCCCAATCCCCATCCCCCATCCCCCATCCCCCGAGCCGAGTGGCTTCGGGGCAGTCCTCACCTAAAGCAAGCACACCGCTTGCGTGATCATTAGCGGCCGCCGCACCGTGCGCTAGGAGAAGGGCAAACGGGTCCAGTGAGCAACTCCGCCGGCCCCGATCCGCGATTAGCTCCGAAGGGCATCGGAACTTAACAAGCATTCGCTCATGCGGGCTAGGGAAGTGGTTGTGTCCCGCAGTTCAATGACCAAGCATCGCCCGGACGCCAAGATAATGGTCTCACAGGCTGCATCGCCGGATGCTGCCGGATTTGGCGTGCTCGTATCCAGACTACTTCTTCTGCCTTGAGTTGTTAGTTGACATCCTTCTTCTGAGGCGGCATGGCTACTTACTGCTACGATCTGAAAAGATCGGACGTGTCGTGGTCCCACGCCGTAGTCGGTTGGCCGGCAATACGGATATGTCGTCCCTTCCCCCGGAGTTCTCTCCTGTCTGCTGCGCTCGCTGCCTGACAGTGTACGTATCTCGGAGCTGCAACGTCGACGGGCAGGCACGGCGGCGAAAGTGGGGCCTCCGGGAGCCCGGAGGAACTTTGGAACGACACCCGCAGCCCGACTTCCGTCCTGAGGCAGGCAGGACGACAGTGAAAGACCTTCCTTGCTACAGACACTCGTGCAAATCGCACAAAAAATATCTCCAAGTCGTGTTGCGAGTGTTTTGATTCTCAAATCGCCAAAAGCCCGCATCGTCAGGGTGAGACCACCGCAGCCTTCTCCGCATATAAGGTTGAGGCCAGGCTTCATCTTCTTCTTTGATGTTGGCATTTTCGCATCTACGGCCACTGCACTAATAGACCGAGTTCCAACTTCTTGCCCGAGACATAAGCATCATCGTGCAACATGTCCACCGAAGCAGTCGGGCCAGCCGAATACGCCTTGATACAAGAGTTGTTCATCAACCCCAAGATCTATATGCCTACGCACCCGAAGCACCTCGCCAAGCGCCTGCAAGAATCGAGGTTTGTCGAATGTACCAATAATCTCGACGATACGCCTGATATCCAGTCCTTTTCAATTCCAGAGCCTGTCTTCCCTTCCGAAATCAATTTCCAAGACGAGGAAGCTGACAATGTCCTCGCAAAGTCCATCAAAGTATTTCCTCCGGGAGACATACTCAAGCTTTCCATAGAGGCCACCATACCCCACATACGATTCTCGCACGCAGTCTCGAAGCTGGAGCTGCCGTCCCTAAGAAGTGACCCGAGACACGACCTCAAAGCTCTCGGTCGAGCAATAGGCGAAGCCGAGTGTCTGGACTTTTTCCGTAAGCCTAACACATTACCTCGCGAGCCTGTCGATGATGCGAAGGATGAAGGTCTCGGTCTTCCGCTCTCTGCGGCACACTTTCACGATCTGCTTGCGAGGGGACCCGAGCTCGATGAGCTTGACTATACCGAGGAAGACCTGGCATACGTTGCAGAGTCAACGTACGTTGGTTGGTCGAAGAGAGACTTTGACCAATTGATCGAACTGGAGATGGCTCCAACTATGGTGGGCATACATGGTCTGTCATCGTGTGAAGAATATCGCTAACATTCCGTCTAGGACAGAGTCAAAACCATGACTCCACCACTAATCGCAATACCCTTCGACGATACCGAGGATGCAGAGCTGTTTATACCGGACGCCGATGTCTGCGAGATTCCTCAGTTTTCAGATCCGGCCAGCCTTCTCGAGGAAGATCTTGAGAAATCCTTACGCAACCTAGCCGAGACCTATGATGACTTCGAGCACCTCGATATCTCAACGCCGGACATTCTCGGCATTACCTCAGACACCCCCAGCTTCGACATCTCCACTCCTCAACGAAAAGGCACAGCACCACCCATGGAGGTTCCGATTCTGCCTATGTCCGACGACTCTGCGTCCAGCAACGAAGATGAAGACGTTTTTCGGGCAATCCTACACGGCACTGCAGAATTCAACTCTATTAGCCTTCCAGGGGCTTCAATTTCAAGCCCTTGCTCGGAAGAAGAGTCCAGATTCAACGAGCAATTCAACCTCTTCTTAACAGAGAAAGCAAACGCCATGGCACAGAAGCTTGAACAAGAGCAGGTCGAGGTCATTGATGCCACTGCCAGAATGCAGCCTCCAATCCTCGATTTTAGCGCACCTAAACCAGATTGGGAAGGAGCTGTCCAAGGCCCAGAAGAGATGTTTCTTTGGGTCCGCTGCCGGGAATCTGAGCAATTCACATCACCGCCGTGGCCACGCAATCGGCAAGAACAGAAGGAGCTGCGATGGATCCCTTTCCCATCTTCCCTGGGTCTGGTGGAAGTCGGGGAGTCCGTGGGAGATGGTAAAGTGTTGCAACGTCTCCTCGATGGGCGACGATCTACGACACTACCGACGAGCGCCGATTACGTTCGGCAAACACACACGCTCAAGGCGATACTTCCCGACGGCGACGACGAAGAGATCGCGATGCCTTATGATGAACACCAAGCTCAGAGTAGCTCACCTCCCTGTGGAGAGGACTTCATGCTGCTTATTCGAAAACGCAAACAAGAACAAGCTGTCAAAGATGATCACGTGGGCCAGGAGTCGCCGACTGTGGGCGTCAAGCACCGTCGCACAACAACACAGTCGAAGCCAATAAACAATTTACGACAAGGGTTGCTCCTCGGCGAAAATGAGAGCAATGCTGCGGGAAAGCTGCTCGCGAACTACATGGACCTACGGGGTGCGAAACGAGTCACAAGCCCATTCGAGCCGTTATTCCCAATTACAAAGCGCCGGGCCGCTCAAGCTCCGTCGCCGGTCGTCGGACAGGTATCATCAAAGCCGAATACACAGAAGGCCCCCATCGATGCTCCAGTCCCAACCATTGAGCACACAAACAGCCACTCGCGCATCATAATCTCTACCGCCATCCCGCGGGGAATTATATCGGCCCTCCAAGCTAACCTACCAGGCATCGATCTCGTAGACCGTGACTTCTCACGACACAACAAACGCGTATGGTCCCCCGGAAGCGTAAAGACCGTAGAAAAGCCATCCCCGCTATCCTACGAAGCCGACATCATCCCTTCCCCAACATCAGGAGTCATCATCACAACAAACCTCAAAGTCCGACAGAAGCCCCTCCCAGGATCCCACACGCAGCTCTCACAACTCCGCGACCGCGTAGCAAGAGTCGCACCGCTCTACGAACAACTGAGTATCCTCGTGTCAGAAGACAATCCCATCGCAGAGCACATCGGACCGCTCAGCGCAGCCGACGCCGCATCGTACGCCTGCTTTGTCGCTTTCGCATGCTCTCTCAGCAACAGCAGCGGCTGCACCATCGACGTAGTCTACGTGGCCGGCGGCCAAAAGACACTAGCCCACTGGACGTGCGCCGTCGTGTCGACACACCTCAAAAAGGCATCCCACGACGTGCAGCAAGTCATCATGTCGGAAGAGACGGAATGGGAAGTCTTTCTCCGACGCGCCGGCTTCAACATGTACGCGGCCCAGGTCGCTCTCGCAGTCGTCAAGGGGAATTCTCCAGTTGTAAACGTCGACAGCGACAGCAACGGCAACAATACCCAAGACCAGACGCTCGTGCGGTTCCTGAAAATGAGCCCCTCGGAGAGAGCGAAGGCGCTCAAGGGCTTTCTTGGTGGTGGAAGTCTGGTGGACAGAGTCAATGCGCGTCTGGGCTGAAAAGCTGCAAAGGCTAGCTACGAGTGGAAGGCGTTCGGAAGCTGGCGAACCCATCTGCACAGAGTTCGGATGGATTTAAGAGGGTTGTGAAATAAGGTGTAGGTGCGTGTATGCAGGTGGAGTCCTACGTACCTTGCGTTGAACCCGCGTGATGTGTGCGATTAAGCTTCGCTGCAGACGAGGATCGGTTGGCTCGGGCGAAGGTTTCGTGCGCGTGTTGGGGCCACCAGGCGATCTGAATAGTACATAAACGTCTCATCATCGGCCTGCCGAGACGGCGATGTCCACTTGCCCAGAGAGAGAACCGTGTCAGGCAGGCACCTATACTTGTTCTTTGCAGGTGGTCTTGCAGGTTCTTGTGATGCCGAGGAGACCAAGAGCCAAGGCATGTTGTGAGCAACTCTGCTGAAATTCTAGCGCTGTTTATTCTGAGATTTGATGAAACACAGTCGAAAAGAATGTTGAGATTACAAGTAAGAATAACAAAGAATATACTTCCTGAACTTCGCCTCCTGTTCCAACAATCTTGGTCCACGCCATGTTGAGGCCAGCCTCGGCCCATGTAAGTCGTGACTCTTTTTGGTGGTCTATGCATGCAACTCCGAGAACGCCTTGGTCCTATTTTACATGTAATGGTATGGTACAAATGGGTGGTACAGAGAAAGGAAAACGGATGAAAACAGTATGTACGCTACAAAGAAAACCAATCCCTCGTTGTCTATATGGCATTGGGAGGAATCTTGTCACCCTTTTCGAGGGCCTGCTTAATGGCGTCAGAGTTGATGACGCTTCCCATGACCTTAGTCAACAGGTCTTCATCAGGCTGCTGGAAGCCCGGGCGGAAAGGCGGCAGGGCCTTGGTGCATTCGGTCAAGTCGTTGATATTGTTAACGCCGAGCAGAGACATGCGAACGTATTCTGTCGCATACGCCTAAGGTTTAGGTTGTTAGCCTCGGGAAGTCTATTAAGTTGGGACGAACGTGTGACGCCGTCAGGTAAAGTCTTACCTCGTTCCACATGAACTGACCGCGCGGCCCCGCTGCGAATGCCTTCCAGACCCCATTGGTGCGCGGATCCTGGGAAACGTTGATGTCGCTCTGGAACTTGAAGACAGCAGGGGGGGCATTGGGGTTGAGCGTCTGCTGGTAGTAGGCGATATCCCAAGTTCCTGGCGTACTGTCTTGGGGCGAGTCGGCCCGCGAGGGATCAACGAAGCGTTGCTGGCTGGTGCTGTGCGCGCCCATCAGGGCGACGAGGCCCGCTGGCGTGAAGGATTTGTCTGCAAAGAGCTTGAACAGCTTGGCTGAGCTGTCGGATGGATCCGGCAAGAGCTTCTTCACCGCGGGCGTCGTTGAGTCTTTGCGACCAACAAAGGTGCGGACTCGGGGTCCCAGGGGACAGGAGACGGTGGCAACGTTGGAGGCAGTCTGGATCAAATCGGCCATGGAGATCTTGTACTTTTTGTACTTGGCAAACCAGCGCTCCATGATATCGCAGATCTCCTCCAGACCTTTATTGTCGGAACGCGTCTTGCACTCGTTGGCAAGGATGATGGAGCCATCGGCGCCAGTGCCGCCGGTAGATTTGGACCAAGACGCCGCGTCGTGGAAACCCAGGCGAATAGCACCACGAGCGACATTGTTGCAACGGCCGGCATTGCCCACCATCTGTGCGGCCATATCGTCGGCAATGTACTTCCAGATGCAGCAATCGTCTTCTCTGCACTCCGCCGAGTTCTTTGGCGGAAGATCGGAGTCATCGTAAAAACTCTTCAGGTCCTGGCCTGGAGCCTCGGCAGTCAAGATATCCTTGATTGCCTGACCGGTCGCAGTGAGTTCGCGGCCTCGGAGCGTGGCAAGATCGCCAATGAGCTCTGTCGAAGGGCCGCCACCGTCCGCTTGGCGAGCCTCGAGCTTGGCATCGGCCATCATCTTATTGATATCCATACCAGGACGAGCAACCACAACGCCGGCTAAGGCTGCAGTGATGAGGGATGTGGTCTTCATGATTGCAATGGTCCAAGTCCTGCAACAACAAACAAAGAATAAGGGATACAAACGACTGTAACGAATCGAACACCGCCCGAAGGTCAGGACTGCTGAAAGTCGAAGCGAGAGGTGATAGAGCTAAAAGCGAGAGATGCAGTGCTGGCTCGGAATACCGTAACGAAAGCGATTGCCATCCTCAATTATATTTATGGCAGTAATCTTAGTCGGAGTGCGTTACGGAATGTTCTAAAAAGCTTCTTTGACTTCCGGCTCATGGACAGCCGGCCGCTAGGACAGCGAAATCCCAAGTCTGATTCCTGACATGAAGGGATGCAGATGGAGCAGCTGCACACTTGGTCATTCAAGTCCGTCCATGTTACATGTCTCTGAGACAGGCCCCGCGGCAGCGGCGATCCAAGCAATCTTCTCGTTCAACGTTTTGCTTTCGGCCGGTACCGTCGTCAGCTCTAGGCATCGAAATTGAACAGTGGTTCCGAAAAATCGCCCAGATTATCCCTGTTGATGGCGTGAAGAGCATACGCGCCATAGATGCCACCGATGCTGGTGATTGTGTCCAATCAATCGGCGGGGTGGTTTCGTTCAATGCCCCGCCACGAGTAGATAGACCACGACCTTATTTTGTGGGATCTGATGCCGATCGGAATGCGACCGTTGCTTCTTGTCGTGGCACAATGGAGCCAGGGGGAGGGAAGTCTGCACGGCCATTGTTAGGCGGTCGAAGCGAAAAGTCAACGGGGAGCCTCGCGATTCCAACCAAAGAGGACATGAACAGTGGGAACCAGTCGCTCGTCTGAAGATTCTGGTGGTTGTCGGGCTAAGGCTGCAACGTGGGGCATGCTAGTCAGGAACGACAGTGTCTGTCCAGGACGGGAAATAGTCTAATGGCGAGAACGCTTGGTCGTGGCGCCGTTCAAGTCAGACAGAGAAAGTTGTGTTTGAAGGCCTCGCCGGCGGTCCGTGTGACGGAACCAGCGAGGAACTGGCGAGGCTTTCCAATATGGAGAGAAAGGCGACATGGTGATGGTGGCTGGCAGAACTCAGCTGAAATGTTGTTTGCTCAGTTTCTGTATCGGCCGCCCAAGTCGGCGATGACGACACCTGCTGAGTCGGATGCGCTGATGTTGCCCGTTCGGCCGAAGAGACTTTGCATAGGCAAGAATACGATGGCATGTGAAGCCTATACTTCGGTCTCCCCATGCGTATGGTCTTGATATCCGCTGACATGAGCTCGGGTATGCGAGGCACAAGCTGCCCTCTCAGTCTCTGCAGTTGACATTTGCTGCCAGCACCTGCGGCTGGCCTTTCGGTTCCTCCCACAACGGCCTGAGCCAGTTTCCGCGTCCTCACGCCACTTGCCGAGTTCCATCTGATCAGCCGGGCAATTCTTGATCCGTGTGGCTTAACAGTCCGGAGAGGCAGAATAGCTCGGATGACTCTGGGACTCGACGCTCCTAACTGATCGTCGGCGGAACCGAATCTGCACAGGGCGACGGGGATATGGATTGGCAATAGGAATCTTGGTTTCTCTTCAGCGATTTTAGGCCGCATCAATAACTGCAGCGTACCATGCAAAGGGATGCACTCTTTGGCTGTTCGTAGATCTTAGCTTTAGTCATCTGAAATCGTGTTGTCGTTAAGCTTGAGACCTCGGCCAGATTCAGATACACGCCAGGCTGTTAAGCTCGCCATTGCAACGGATGAATTAGGGCCGTATCACGGTAGCCGGAATCGTCGCAAGATGAGCACCTCTAGACTAGTGTTGTCAGACCAGAAACGCTATTATATTTCCAAGACAGAGCAAAATTCTTCTTGTGAAATACGTCTAGGGCGACTCACTTGCACGTAAAATTGCAAACCCTACAGTAGGACGAGGCTCTTGGCCAGCGGAAAGATCAGAAGACTCAGGGTTCGAAATGTCGTTTCGAGAGCATCGATGATATAATGCGTCTCTACGAGGCGCTTCGCCTGTTACAGACCGAAGAGACTCCAGAATTAGCTTGCTCAGGATGCCTTGGAGCCATCTGCCGGATGATCCAATGGACCTTGAGCCAAGGTCCAGACTTTGAGTGATGATTCGGAGCTGACGCATGTTGATGCTAGGCGGGGCTGACCGTCGTTGCCCGCGACACCCAGGCCATTGTCTAATTCCTCATCCCCGTGGCTGGTCCATCCGCCAGAGCAAGTGGCGATTACCGATCCTGTGGGGTGAACCCCTGAGCTCCCGACAGGTGATTGATGAGCAGCCCAGTCCCATGACTTGTCATGAACGCCCTCCGTGCAGCCAACGGCTTCATAGACGAGAACTTGGCCAGTCTCTGTTCCCGCCCATAGCTCGAAACCACCGGACGGTTCACCAGTACCAGGGAAGACGTCGCAGGCCAGCCTTTGTTGGCTGTTGGTGGTTCGGCCCACTAGGACGCTCAGAGGCTGGCCTGTCCCACGCACGTCGTATACGAGAATGCCGTTTGCCTGTCGCTCGTTGATGGCTAGATAGCGTCCACATGGGCTCCATATGGTTTGCACAATGCCGTTTCCTCCGATGTCTCGGCTGAAGTGAGACTTGTCAACGCCTTGGATGCTCCAGTTCGCAACGGCCTTGTTTGTCCGAGTCACGTCGTAGAGACCCATCCAACGGGACCAGGTGCCGGCGGCGACGATGCAAGCGCCAGACTCATCCGGGTATTGGCTTGACAGCGCAGAGACCATTCCCTTCATGCCAACGCCGCCACCTTTGAGGAGATGCCGCTTGGAAGGAATGGTAGGGATGGTCAAGATGGGACCATCAGAGCCAGTCCGTGATACGTCAAAGTGGTCGAGGCGATTTGTCGAGCCGGCTAGGAAATGGGTCCCGGGCCAGGACCACAAGAGGGACTCGGGGCAGATGTACTCTTCTGTCTCCCGTCGTATAAGCTTGTAGGAGCATAGTGGAGGCGAAGACTGAGAGTCTGCAAAGACGTGGTAGAGCTGGATAGGGTGGTCCTTGCAGCCGAGAAGTGCAAGCTGGGTTTGCGGGTCGGCTATGGAGAAGTAGGGTGATACGGCTGTCGAGTAGAAGGGTTCCGGTAGACGCAGCTGACCCTGCGGTGTCAATGTCCGGGGCCGGCCGTTAAGGTCGAGGAGATCTGCCGGCAGTACGTAGGCCGACAACCGGTTGTCGGACGTTGAAGCGATGAGCGTTGTGCCGTCAGGAGTCCATTGGACCCCGCGGAAGAAGCTCTTGTGGTTTTCTGGTGGATCGGAATCTCTAGCGGCTATCTCGGTGGAAGCTACGAGGTCCATAGAGGGGGCGGAGAGATGGGAGGGGCCCTTGACTGAGTTTGCTGGGTCGGAATGTTGCTGCATGGGGTCTGCATCCTTGTTTTCCGCCGCGGGATGCATTGTTGGTCACGGTTGGAGGGCAGGCGGGCGATAATGAAGATGCACTAGGATTACTCGGTGGCGGGTGTGATTGGCGATGGAAAGTGAGGCTGGATCACGCAGGGCGTTGAAGAATCAAGATTCTGCAGGCGTGAAGATCGCAGTGATATCGTCCAGGAAGCTAAACGGGGGTGCTATGTGCAGATACTTGCCATTGGGAAGGAGCCAAGGGAATGTGGAGGGAGGGATGGGATGCTCCCCGACTCGTATGGGCGCGTATGAAAGTGTCAGTGGTGATGGGGTAGATGCATCGTCTTCGCCTTGAACTTGAGGTCAAGTCGGAGTCGAGCAGTTGGCAAGAGGAAGATTGGAGCGTTGTGTCTGTATTTCTGCACTTTCAGTTGTGATCCTAGCAAGTGGGGAGACAGTTTCGGTGAGAGGCCCTGGTTTTTGCCTTCACCACCGGCCTAAACTAGCTCACCACCTTCTTCACCGACCAAGTGGAGAAGGTCGGGTCATCATGTGGTCCGTTTCCGCTGTCGGTGAGGAAGGCAGTACCTAGCTAGGTACCTTACCGGGCATGAGTAGATAGATGTTGGGGAGGGCAGGCACGTTGATCGGCAGTAGAGCCCCGGAACTCAAACGTCTTCCTTCCTGAAGCACCAAAGTAAGGTAAGGCGAGGTGAGGTGCCTCACGTGCTTACCCAGGCAGGTACGCCACGGTCCTTGGGAGGTTTTTTGTTGCAAAGCCCAAAAGATACCGCGACTCGCGAGTGCCTTCCTTCTATGATGTTAGGTAAGCAACTGAGCGCTCTTGCGTTTCAGCCAGGGCAGATTCAGGTACGCAGGTACGGATCCGACGCCAATGCGGGCAGGTGCACAGCGAATTAGTGGAGGTCACTGAGGCAGCGACGTCATGGGGGAAGCTAGCGATGCATGTTCCTGGTCCTAGCGCTGATTGGGGAGGGACTTGCCGCCTGCAACGCCGCACCGCGCTGATACTCCAGTGACCCTACCAGCGGAAGGTACCTACGAATAGGTACTTCTCTCTCCACTGGCTGGGGTGCTTTGGCCTGCCCGCTGTGAGCCTGTGACATGAAATTTGCAAGTTACACTGCGCCGTCCCGTCCACCTCACTGTTTCCCCGTGCTCCGTGCCTCTCCCGTCCTCAGCCTAAGGCAAGATAGGCCACCCGTATGGCTATCCTTCGACTCTGACACCCAATCTCCAACCCCGCTGGTGCCGGACTTTATTCCTCCAAAGCACCACAACCAGTAGACCGACTCGACAGCTCGATTCACCTTGCAACACTAAAGAGTCCGTCTGCCTTGCCTTTGGTGCCCAGGGACTGTGGATCTCAGCAGGTGAGACATTCTCTCGACCCGTGGCTGGTCGACTCATCATCTCTGCAGTTTCCTCCGTATTACCTACACATTGATCTGAGCCAGGCAGGCCACCTTCAGTACTCCATCCACTACCACCGCAACTTCCAGCCAAGTCGCCGGGGGCCGGACTCTTTCGTGCCCATCTTCGCTATTACCGACTCTATCGTCCCGTCTCCTTCTCTTCTTCGTCTCTCGACGGCGGCTCCTCCACTTCAGCTTCATCCCCACCCAAATCACCGAACCACCGACAGGAGCGAAGCCAAGGCGAATCCAAAGTCCCGCGACTACTTATTCCTGCCCTTCCGACGATTACGCAATGCTCGCCTAGCTGCTGCTTCCTCTCCCATCTTGCCGCTTTGCTTTGGGTCTCCGGGACCCCGTCATCCTACCTCTGCGACGCGACGGATAAACCCGCCTGTGGTGATACTCGAGAAAGAGCTGGTGTCACTGCCCACCAAGACAGCCGAGGCTGTCCATTGCAACCCACTTTCGAGACCAACGCCTGCACATTGCCATACTCCGGACGACCTTTCTACCAAGCATGGTGGTGACAATCTTCGACGACCGCTGCGCCGAGCTTCGCGCTCCTGGCTTCCTCAATCTGACGATTTCCATGTGAGTCCAGCGCTACGAAGAGCAACTGCAACATGCAGAGCATTGGCTAATTCCTTCCGCACAGTATCATCCTCATCGGTCTCATCGTCTCCTACCTGCCACAGCATTATCGTATTATCGCTAGAGGTACCTCGGAAGGCATCTCGCCATGGTTCGTCTTGCTGGGAGTCACGTCCGCCACTGCCGGCTTCGCCAACATTCTGACCGTTCCGCCCTCGAGACGCGACATTGCCTGCTGTAGCGAATTGGGTACTTTCGAATGTGCTGCTGGGCTACTCGGAATTGCCCAGCTGGGCATGCAATGGATCTCCTTTGCGCTAATGTGAGTTTTTCCCTCCCGTGTTTGTTCGCCAATGGCACATACACACACTAACTCGTGCCTGTTGCAGCCTTGTCCTGTTCCTCATCTTCTTCCGATACGACAATGCGACTGTTCCCGAGGATGAGCTTGTCGACAAGCCACCCTCGTGGCACACTGCCATAATGGTCGGCTCCGTCAGCTTGATTCACGGCCTGCTCGTCATCATCCTGACTGTGGTCTTCACTACCGCGCTCAGGGAACACCTTGACTTGTGGGCAAATTTCCTCGGCGTCATGGCCGCCGCTCTTGCCGCGGTCCAGTACATTCCGCAGATCTGGACAACCTACCATATCAAGCACGTCGGCAGCTTGAGCATCCCCATGATGTGCATCCAGACCCCCGGCGGCTTCCTCTTCGCTGGAAGCCTGTTTGCCCGCCTCGGCTGGGAAGGATGGAGCACGTGGGGCGTTTTCGTCCTTACTGCCTCAATACAGGGCGTCCTTCTTGCCATGGCCATTTACTACGAATTCCAGGAGCACCACGGAGAGCCGCAGTCTCCAACCCTCGTCGACGAGCCCAGACGTCCCAACCCGACCAGAACATACTCGGAAGGTTGGGAGCAAGGCCTTCCTGGCCCTTACACCGCCCATCCCGAACGGTACGCCGACACGGAGGAGGAGTTGGAGCGGTTACAAGACAGGGAAGAGCGGCAGGTTGAGCGAGAGACGAGACCTCTGCTGCGTCCAGGCGGCATCGGTGACCCGCATAAGAACTACAATGCCACGGACGATTGAGTGCCCCCAATGAGACCGCTCTTCACTGTGTTTTAGCCTGGCATCGTAGGTTGTAGCAGTACTTATTTTAATAACGGGCAGACCTTGCAAATACTATTCTTCTTTTCCCCTTCTCTAGGCTAAAATACATCCCATTCGCGAAACGTTTCCACAGTGACCTAACCATCGGCGTGTCTTTTCTGACGGTCATGCTACACCTACCTTTGACCTCGAGATACTCTCCCACTAAGGTAGGTACCGAGCACGTGAAGCATATGCAAACCGACATCTCCGCCGTGGAATAACCGCCAAAACACCCAAAAGTGATCGCGAAAACGACCAAAACGAAAGCGAGCAATACGACCGAACCTTAATTCTGCAAGGTGTTCTATCCATCATGTCCCTCGTGGATGTTTGCACCGCGGGGTTCTCCTGCGTTCCCGTGACCATCGAGTATTCATTGACATGGAAGCTAGCTCCCGTGGAATGAAGTTCGGTTAAATATCGCAATGTATGCATAGTGGCCCAGTGGGCTGCCAACGAGGCAAACAAGCCAAGCCGGGCTCCGATGGAGTGAAGTCATCCTTGAACATCGTGTTGGAAACCAAGCCCACGGGGTAATGCTCCATCCTCAATTCCAGCACTTGCCACCACTCTGCATTTGACATCTCTGGCCTCCTCAAATTCGCGACTGACTATTCTGCAGCCGGAAGGAGGCTTGTGAAGCCGGGCTGTTTGATTGGAAATTCCGTGTTGTAGTCCCTCGAGCGTTGGAGATCACCTCGTGCGGGTTTAGACCTCACTGACTTGTGCAATATTCGTACCGAATACTCCGACTTGGCTACCAAATTAATCGCCGAGGGTACATTGTGCGTCGAAAGATGTTCGATCACGTTGCAGCTCATTTTTAAATATCTGCAATCCAACCGCGCGAGCTTTGCCATCACCCTCACCAACCAAAGCTAGGTGACAGGCATCCAAGGTTTGAAGGTCTGCGGTTTGAGTACCAAACGGATCTCCATACCATGATGATAGCCTGTCCGAGATCTCGATGCATAAATCACCGTAGTTTGTCTACTCCCAATGCCACATGCGTGGGCATGCTCTATACTTTAAGCGTCTCAAACGTATCTAACCAACAGATCCCTTTCCCCTTCAAGCTTCGTAGACCTCTGCTCCCAAGCGAAGTCTGCAGGTGCGTTGGAGTGATCCGGTTTGCAACAAAAAGAGTGATGCTGCGGAAGGCGGCAAAATGCTCAGCACATCTCCCACAAGGGCCGAGGTAAGACTGTATGCTTCTTCGGACTCGACCGCTTGCCTTGCTCCCGTACCGTCACGTACACCACCCGGCGGGCAGGCTCGCCTGTAGTGACGGAGTGAGATTGTAGACCGTAGTAATCCGAGATGGAATGCGTCAACCATCGCCTGTAAAACACCAAGGTCAATAAACATCGCAAAGGGAAGGGAGCAGGGCCATACTTGAAAGAAGCACTCTCATCATCCCCTAACGAGTCGAAAACCATGCCGTCATCAACCTTCTCGCTCCCCACCTCCCGCCTAGCCTTCTTCCACCCTTTGCCCGCAGAAGTCATCCCTTTCCTGCCGACAAATACGATCTCCTCGTCCTCGCTATCCCCCTCCGCATCGCTCGCCTCGCTCCGCTCCTTCAAGAAACTCCGCACAGGTTCTTCGAGTACGCGCACCCACCCGCGCACAGCGGGCGTCCGCTTTGCCGTGTCGCGCAGGTCGCGCGGCACCTCGCCGACAGACAATCCTGTCGCGGACCCGTCTTTGCGTTGCTGCTTCTTGCGCTGAGCCTGAAGCTTGGCGGTCTTCTCTTCGATGCGCTGGCGGAGACCGGTATCCCAGTATTGGGCGACTTGGTAGGGGACGACTTGGACCGGGTAGGTTGGATGGACTTCCCAGTCGCTTGGAAGGGGCGGCTGCGCGTTTGGTACGCCGATGAGGCGATCTGTGAGAGGGGAACAATGTGGTTAGCTGCTGAAAGACAAAGGAAGACCACGGGGATGTTTCCATCATGTCAAGGACTCCTGTGCTCAAAAGAAGGGGAAGCCCACCATTCTCCCATCGCCGACGCGCCCTGCTCCCCTCATTCCCCTTCAGAAGCTGTTCCCTTTTCTTCTGACTATCCCGCCTGCTCAACGGCCGCCGGATAGGTGTCTGCTGTACAGTCGTTGTCGTTGTCTTGTCGGTGGCAATCGTGACGGCGGCAGTAGAGGCCTTCTTGACCTGCTCATCGAGGTTGATGGCCAGCGGCGTCCCTGTGCCGCGGGCAACGGGGCTGACGCTCAGGGACTCGAGGGCGGAGACAGTCCAGGCTTCGATATCGACGGAGCCGGCGGTCGCGCTCTGGGCTGCGATGTGGGCGGCGACCGGAGTCTGGGACTGGGGCGGCGGCGAGGAGACGGTGTTGGGGACCTCGTGGTCGATGGCCTCGGGGGGAGGGACGGCGCTGAAGATTGCCATGCTGGGCGGTCGGAGTGGTAATCGCGTGGAGGGATGGCTTTCGGCGGCAGCAGTTGAATCGGGAATTGAACAAGGTGGATGGATGGACGTATGGGTGCTGGGAACGAAACGCGGAGAGTAGAGTCGGAAGGGAGAGAGTTGACGGGAGGTAAGGTAGGGTTCAGGGCAGCCGATAAGGGGGCGATAAGGGCGGCGATCGCGGGGTGGATGCTGCAGATAACAGAGAGTCTAGGTACCTTAGGTGGTCGGGGCGAAGACAGGGCTTTGATGCTGAGAGGCGTCTACCGCAGGTTTAGGGGCTGTTCTAAAGGAGAGGGGTTCTAATAATGCGTAGGAGTCTTAGGTAGGTAGACCATACGTGTACGACGATGGTAGTTGGAATGAGGGCGGGTTGAAGTGGGAATGGCATTACTGGGGGAGATCGATGATGGCGACTGGGGTTGGATTAGCTCCGGGGGGGGAAGTGGTGCGCATTGGATGACACACTCGATTTCGGAGCTTCGGCCAATCACGATGCGAGCGCAAACCACGTCTTCTCTTTCGGCGTGATTCATGAGTTGCATTGCGGCTCTTGAATCACGTCGACCCATCTTTGCTCATTCAATTACCTCCCACAGAGGAACGATAATAAACAGTTCGAAGGCAACTACTATCACTGGAAATTGTAATATTTCGGGCTTTAGTGGCTCTCTCAGGCATTTGAGACCATCCAAAAGAGAAGGAGGAGAGCGATAAGAACCCTTAACGAAAGCCCGAAAAGCTCCTGCCGCCATTTAGAATTTTAAATGACACAGCCATGACTTTGAAGTGTCCGAGACGCCACTGGGAAAAGGTAATGATGAAGATATGGTAGGTACCCGTACCAAGTGACGATGAATTGAATCGGGCTTGCCCTTTTTGATGTCTGGGCCCATGACTATGGATTCAGGAGGGGGTGTGGGCCGGGCAACCGACCCTTCTGCCTGCGCAAGCCTCTTAAGCTTTCGGAGGAATCGTGGGCGCGGTGACCTCACGCCCGTTTCCCCTTTTCCCAGATTCCGAATACGCAGTTCGATATATGAGAATTTACCCTCGTTTGTCCGAGATGGCCTCAATTCCTTGTCGACTGAGCATTTATAAACAGTCATCCGTAGCTTAGTAGTACTTGAGATCCTTTCGCAGCGGCCAACGGTCTGGCAGCTAGCTACCCTACGGAGAGCTTTTCGGGATTTTATTCGGCACGTAGAAGAAGATGCTTATTGGCCTCTCAGTTATGAAGCATTATGGGCTCCAGCTTACGCGAAAATATCAGGTCTTGATGGCGCACTACTCTTCTCCAGCGCTCAGCGACATGGTAGTCTGGTGGCTTGTCCAAGTGGCCCTTTCTAGGAGGAAGGGTGTTGAAGGGGCTTCCTTATCCGCGAGGACACTTTCTCCCAGAAACTTTAGTTTGGTTCGCAGGTTACCTATTGCCCCAGCGGTTGCCGCCGAGAGCTTGCAGTGGTAATCCCTCACACCCGCAGCGAAAGCGACTCTGGCAAAAGAGAGATTCAGTCCGCGCAGGAACCGAGTCTATCTGTCGATAGTAGGACAGTAGAGAAGAACTCAGTGAATTGAAGAGGGCTTGCGATTCGTTCGATATTACCATCCAGTTCATCATATCCTGGCTGAGGTATGGTATTCTCGTAGTTATGACTCACATATAATTCATTCTCTTCGACAACAATGTACTTAGAGGTATGGAGCCAAAAGCCCGACTTTCCATTTTGAAAGTTGGGTATAGTGTAAGCTTCGCGGCATACCATGGGCTCGGGAAGCCATGTGTGGCCGGTGTACTTGTGGACCAATAGGTCAGCCTGTTGTTCCGTATAAATCTTGATGCCAAACTGTGGGACCCAATTTGACACTTCATGTATCAGCACAGACCTCAAGGTTCGTGGATGTCCGACCTTTGGGACCAGAAGTAATTTTGGAATAAGGTTTGAGGTCTCGAGCACCATAACGGAGATAGATGGTATTGGCAGACATATAAAAAGGAGGATATCTCCCAGAGAAGCACGATAGAATGCTCAGACAGAAGCAATTCCTCAACTTCGACGGCTTGAATCCCAAGGAATTCGACCTCCACAAGCTTCATCCCTCATCTACAAGCATCTATCATTCACAAGCTTCATCACTCATTCACGTCTCTTCTATCAACCAAACCTCTACCCTCACTCAGCCTCACTTCTCAGTCAAGCTTCGCATTCTACCCAAGCTTCTTGGCAAAGCAGACGCAAACTACATCACAAGAGACACCACTTCACAACACAACAACCAACCACCAAGATGAAGCCTACCACTGCCATTTTCGCCATTCTCTCCAGCGTCTCCCTTGCAGTCGCAGGAGAAATTGGAGGGCCAAAGGAGGACGAAAAGCTTTCAAGGGGACCACTTCCCCTTCATCAGCTCCCCGAATGCTGGCAAGGCTGTCTGCAAAGCGAGAATCACTGGTATCGACCCGACATTAACAAAGTCAGTGTCTACTACTTCTGCGTGGACCCGCTATTCGATACTCGCTTCTGGTCTCTGCATGCCCTTGCTACATGCACGTATGGCGCTTGCAGTAAAGCAGAGCACTACGTAGCGCAAGACTGGTACTTTGAGATCTGCCAAATGAACTAAGCTTCAACCCAGGCCAAGGATATCCAGTAAAAGTACCCAGAATCTTCCAAGGAGAAAAGCAGCCACCGAGGCACTTACTCTCTTCAATCAAAACACACTCGCAAATTGCGATTCATTCACAAATGCCCCGGCGCTGCTACTACGCAAACCTAGCAGAATGGAAACATTGCAGGAGTACAGGACAGGAATTGACGGGAAGATTAAGAGTAGATGGGAATATTGTGAGATGATGAGGGGAGGGGGGGGGGGTGTTTAATTCTGAGCACGATGGTTCGCGGCGTTTTGGTAATTACTCACTCACTGTAAGGAGTGAATCAAAATACAAACAACTTCACTATGGAAGCAAGATGACCCTGGAGACTGTCTGCTTACGCCCAGAAGTGACCTGACCAGGGTGGATGCGAGAAACTGAGACGGGCGAGGTCTTATTACTACCTACCTTAGGTATCAAGAAGTCTTCCAGAGTGGCAATCTGTGTCTGGGTACCTTACCTAGCTTATTCGCCTTAGTGAAATTTCAAGCGCACAACGGCTGGAGTGGTCAGGGAGCATTGCGCCCTGCCGCTCACCAGTCGGCGGCCCATTCCATGGAAGGTGGGACGGGAGTGGGTCAAACCCTCCTGGCCAATCACAGCAGCTTGTTTTGACCACCAACGTACCTGCCTTCCTTGAGCTACCTATCTTACCTTAGTGAGGCGACGGGTACCTCGCGTCCAGTCGTCGTGCAATGGGAAAGACCGCGGGATCGTGGCTCCTTACTCTTTGAAATCTTCCAGTCGTCGATTCCATCAAGCCAACTGCGTCATTGTTGCGTGACTGCTCTTCGAAAGGGAGGTGAAGATCGGATTCTCCAGGAAAGTGCGAGTCCAGTGCCTTGAGGGAAGGCATCCCGCCGAAATGACTGTCGGGCAATGGTAAGTTTTGTTCTTGATGCTTCTTGCAAAACTTCGACTTCTTGTCTCTGCAGTCCCCGGCCTTCCATGTCTGTCAGATTGGATGCCTAATCCTGTACATTCGAATTTCTAATTACGTTTCATAGTTGTAGTTGTTGCAGAGATCTCCAGTCTCCGGTTCGTCCCTTGGCGGCGACTAGCGAGGTCGCTGCGTTAGATTAAGGTAGATGGGAGAGTCCCTTCCGTCTTGTATAAGTAGGTTAGGTATCTTGCTCCCACGGGTCTTACTTCCTCTGTTCTTGTAAGCTCTAGTCACATGCATCCTGCCGCCTCTTAATATTCCGAGTCCCGCCGCCTTCATCGTTCCTTCCTGTCGTCAAGACCCCTGCCAGTCTGCAAGAGACAAAAACATGCCTGATTCCGTCAGTACAGACGGGTTATGCGGGCATGCTGAAGCATGTGTGGGTGTGGAAAGAACGAAGAATGAAAGGATCTCTGGTAACTGTCATCTCAGACCTTAATGCGTCTTTCCTCATGATGGGTAAGGTATCTGAAGGAAGTCTGGTTACATGCCTTATGGAGGAGACATGGTCTGCCAGTGATTGCCATTTGTTGCTCATGACGGATCAAGCTTGGTTGATAGCTGGTGCAATTGCTCAGTCCTGCCAAGCAGGGTGAACTTCCTTCCTACCTTGAAGTTCAAGATTCCTTGGAGGTGCTTTCCGCCCCTCGAGATGGCGTTCCTTCCCTCGTTGTCCCTTACGCCCGTGTCGTCATTGTGGTGCCTTTATGCCTAACGAACCTGCTGTTTCTTGAGAAGGAGGAAGGTACTGGGTCTCCAGGTCAAGCCAGAGAAGGAAGGAAGCCCGGAGAGACTCCCTCGTGGGTGTTCTACTTAAACCTCTTCTCGCCCCGCTCCCCTCTTCTGAACTTCTTCTCTTCTTCGGACCACGAGTAACGTACGTTGATCACCCCCAAAGGACGAGCTTTCGGTTTCGGTCCAATTTTGCTGACTTGACTACAGACGAATTTCAAGCTGAACTGCCTTCTCGTCTTTTTTTTCGTCTGCTCTTCGTCCTCTCATCTGAATCTGCCGCCATCTGCTCTCTGCCGCCGCCGCCGCCATCTGATTGCCGCCGCCGCCGCAGCCATGGAATCCGTCGTTGGGACCGTTTCCTCCTCCGCCGCCTGGGTTGTGGGCGTGGGCATTGCCCTCGCCGACGCCACATTCTCCTGGATCTCGTCGTGGATTCCGGTTTTGTTGGTTTTCGACATCTTCGGGACCTCCTGGCTGGTGTGCCATACTTTGGGTTCGTCCGATATCCATCCCGTCATCCCATCCCATCATCCCGTCCCATCATCTCATTCCATCATCTCATTCCATCATTCTATCATAACATCCGTTCTTTACTAATCTGTTATAGTCAATCACCACCTCATCCCCGCCGCCCGCGAAGTTCCCTTCTGGATCCTCCGCCCGTCCTCAGACCTCGCCACCGCCTCTGCCCTCTTGGGTGTTTACGTCTTCGTCCTCTTCCACACTGCCGGCTGCCTGGTGTCCCTTTGGTGGTATTCGTACCGTATACTCCGACGAGGGTACCGGATCCCGAAAGGGGCAGTCACCCGCCGAAAGATGATTATGCAGACCCTGGCCGACGCCGACGATTCCCGGTACTGGTTCGACCTGGGGTTCCGACCCAACCTCTGCCTCCGCTGCTCCCGTAACGCCGACCTGGAAGGTGGGGAGGGCCCTGGGTCGATACTGGACCGGATGTACCACGGCACGACGAACAAGGGGGTGGACTTGGGGTGCATCGCGCTCTTTGACCACTATGTAAGTTATCCTCCTTCTCCCTCGTGTTGGCAGAACTCGGCTAATTCTGATCTAGTGCTGGTGGCTTTGGTGCCCGGTCTCCTTGGAGACTCAGAAGCCATACCTACTCTTTATGGGTTGGGTTGTGGTCTTCCACCTTTACTCTTTGGGGATTCTCTGCTTCTCACTGGCGTCCTTTGGAACCAGGTGGTCGCTGTCCCCAGTTGTCGTGGCTGCCGGAGCCCTTCCCTTCGTTTTTCTCTGGGTGAAGAAGGCGCCATTCCGGGGTCAATGGGTTAACCAGGGACTTCGGAACCAAACGCACAAAGAGACGACGGCGTATATCCGGAACCTCCCCCAGCAGGCATGGCCGATGGGGATTGCCGGGCCTAACGGCTTGGAGCATGTGACGGTTGGATTTAACCCGTGGGATCTCGGCGCAATGGGAAACCTGCGCGCGGTGCTAGGCGACAGCATCTGGGAGTGGCCTTTCTTCTGGCGTACCCCTCGCAGGGTGCGGGAATTCGGTGTTCACCCCGATTGGGATCTCCCTTTCGGACCTCGGTGGGACCAATTCATGGAGGATCGTGCTCTGGTTGTACCAGTTGGGGGTCTACCGGATGGCATTAGCCTCACTCCTCTCCCTCCCGCCCTCCGTAACGACATTTCGCGGCGCCGACGCATTTGGAGTTCGGAGGATTAGGCTGGCCGGGGGCCGGCGGCTGAGGTCGGTTACTCGCCTCGTCGCGCCCTGGCACACGGTTGGCGGTCGGTTACGCGCCCCACTGTGACGGCTTGAGGTCGGATTTACTCGCCTCGCCCAGTCTACTCTCGACAAGACATGCAGCCTGCCGTGCAAACAGGTACACCAATATGTCTTACGCCTTCTCAGGACTGATGATCCTGACAGGCCTCGCCCATCCATTCGAAATTTCGTTTGGACTTGGAGGATGACAACCTCTTTAAAAAACAAGGCCGACAATGTCGCACCTTCACGCTGGTGTCGGCTGTCAGTAGTCGGAATTGCGATCGGGCGATCGAAGACGACGAAGCTAACGCGACGGCGGGTCACTGTTCTGTCATTGGAACACAACCTGCCACCCCTGGGTTCCTCAAACTCTCGACAAGTCACACACTCACCCTCAACTTCAACGGATACACATTGTGACTTCGAACTTTTGCCTACCATCAAACATACGCCAGGCATTGTTCATCCCAGGGTTCCTTGCAGTCTCAACACTCAACACTCATCTCATCACTCCGGACCCATTGCACATCCATCATCTCATCGGCAATGTGGCTTTGGCACAGGAAGTTTGCACAGCTACCTGCGAGACTGCAATCAATGGAGACTCATCACCTCCGTCATCAACCTCGGCAATCATCCACACCTAGCCTTGAGGTTCGACCACTCTTCACTCAACAACATTGTCTTTCGACACTGTCTCCACAGACTCTTGACACAATTCACTTCCGACGCTATCACGGGCATCGGATGAATCATCAGTTGATCGAGACATCAGTTGAGCGACACATCGCTTGAACAACACATCAGTTCAACGGCACATCAGCTGACTGACATATCTGTCAATCAACATGGACAGCGCCTTCGCTTCTCCATCATCAACATCCCCTGGACTCCGCTTCAGGTCGGCACATGGATGGTTTCTTCCTCATCCACGACTCACCTTGATCCATCTCTGGTCAAGTTTGGTTCTCCATGCACTCGGACCATCCCCACACATGTTTTCGGAGTAGCAGAAACTCGACCTTTTGACCTCATCCCATTCTCACCAATCGAGGACCTTTGGTTGACACTCCAACATCCTAAAGACGTAACAATCTTGAGACGTAACAATCCCACATCACGTCTCTCACCCGAACATTCTCGTTTCTGGGGCAGCAGAAACTCGGCAGACTGTTTTCACTTGGCAGTTCTCACACTTTTGACTTCAAGCTCTTGGCTCTCGATTCACTTCATGTTTCTTGGGCCACAGACACTCGGCATTGCACTTTCAACCAACTCTTTTGTCTTCTTCGACTTTGGTCTTGGCATAGTGTTTCTGGGGCAGCAGGAATACGACACACTCCTTTCACTTACACTCTTGGTTCATGATGCAATCATCAACTTTTCATGCGATCAATCATCAACCTTTCTCCATCTAATGTTTCTGGGGCAGCAGGAACATTCAACACTTTTCTCTCATCCACACTCTCGGCTCGCGACTTGGCACTCGCGAACTCAGCCTTCTTCTCTCATCTTGTTTCTGGGGCAGCAGGAACATTCAACACTCTTCTCTCATCCACACTCTCGGCTCGCGACTTGGCACTCGCGAACTCAACCTTCTCTCATTTTGTTTCTGGGGCAGCAGAAACGCGTCACTCCACTTTGACGCAACACTACATTCGGAGTCATCATTTCATTCCCTTCAGTTAAAGTTCCTTTGGCAAAGGAACTTGGCAACTCATTTACCTTTCTTCAAATCTTCCGGCAACTCTTGTCTTCATTTCGTGTTTCTGGGGCAGCAGAAACCCGATAACTCACTTTATTCAACACCTCTAAATTTCACTTCACTTTGCTCTGGCGGGAGCAATCAACACTTCACACATCTTTTTCTAGCCATTCCTGGCTATTCTTCACGTTTCTGGGGCAGCAGAAACTCGGCACTTCACTCCGATTCGACAACTTGGACCGGTTCGGCCTTCACTTCATGTTCTTGGCCATCGGGAGCGTGACACACACACATGTCCTTCAACTTATTTGGCACTTTCTTGCCTTCACCTTCTGTTTCTGAGGCAGCAGAAACTTGGCATCTCGCCTTATCCAACAACTTTGAACTTCACTTCACTTTCCTCTGGCGTAGGGAAGTCGACACCTCACACGGCACTTTCTCAAATTCCGATACTTTTCACTTTCACTCGGCATTTCTGGGGCAGCAGTAATGCTTTTTCTTCGCTTCGTTCTCTTGGCAACTTGAGCTCGGTACTCGACACGTCAATCACCTTGTTTGGAATTTTCTCTTTTCCTCTTTTCCTGGTCTTCTTCTGGGGCAGCAGAAGCAAACATACGACTCAGCATATCTCATCCTTCACACCTTCTGTTGTTTTGCTCACTCTCCCCATGTGTCTGGGGCAGCAAAACTCCTTACCTCATACGACAACGACCCCTCTGGTCCATCTTATTTCCAATATCACAGGAGACCGGCACTCCTCGCACCCTCAAATCCCTTGAACAAGCTTCTATCCTTCAAATAGCTTCTGAGGCAGCAGACGCACAACACTGAACTACTATTCGATCTCTTTTGGGCACCGCCGGGCACATATCTCATTTCGTTCCTGGAAAATCAGGGGAGACACACAACTCGATCATCCAGCTCTTGGGCACTCTTCTCTCGGCTTTGCGTCGGCACTCTTGGAGTCGGCTTCATTCGCTGGCGACCATCTTCGGGGCCTGCGGCGGACATATTACGACACTCAGATGGCAAAGCGTCACTCATCAATGCTTTCTGATGCGACTTCATCACTGAGAACCTTTCACGTCAGAGATGCTCTTCGACAGACGGAAGTGAGTCAGCCTTGTGCCGAGCTGAGAAGTGTTCTTCACAGAACATTTCTTGCAAGGGGCACTTGCATGCTCAGCCATTCTTCTCAGCAGATGGATCAATTGCACGCAACTGGACGATCTGTTTTTCTTTTCCACGTATCCGAGTCGTGGATTCTACGGCGGTAGAAGTATGTGGCCTACCCGTGCTCACCCAAAGGCTTGTCCTTTCGTCACGATCCAACGTTGCAGCTGCTGATCAGCATAGGTACCAAATCGACACATCTCGCAGCCCTGGCGTCTTGCTACTCCAGTCACTTGGAGCTTTCAGGCACCGAGCTCAAAGTTGCAGTCGAGCGTTGTAATGAGACGTTGCAAACCATCACCGTTCAACGCCATAGACACCGGTACTCAGTCAGGATCAAGTACGTCACATCTTGATGCTTATTCCATGATGAAAAGGTACTGATGTTTTGGTACAGGTGACGACGGATTTATTGCTCTGCGAGCCAACAAGTATTTGGGGTTCTGCTCATGGGATGGTCTAGTATCACTGACTTGTGCTTCAGTTTCTTGACTGGAAGCCTGGCCGCGCTCGTGGCTGTGTCGAAGCTCCTACTCTGACGGCGCGGAATGGCTCAACAGAGGCACAAAGATGTGTTGCCGTGTCGCATATCAATTGTTCACCGAAGGGTATGTCTCGATTCAATCACTCGGTGCTCCAGCTTGACCACTGACCACAAGTCTTCGTTCAGTTCCCTGACGATTGCCACGTCCAGACAGAGTGCCAACTTTGAGGGTCAAATAGGGCATTGGTGGAACAAGACGTAGTGAGCGGCTCGGAAAAGCTAGAGGATCGCTTCATTTGAGTGGGATTTGCTACATGGAGGATTATCTGGAGAGCAAAGCGAGATGGCCGAGGGATGGAACGCGGAACACCAGGGCATACTTGAAGCGGAAGCCATCCGGGACCCATGCACTTGGAGGCGATGGAGGATGCCCCACGCAGCAAGAGCAACGCGTTTAGATCCGTCGTTTGCCAAGCAATCTCCGATAGGCCAAGGTCCGCAGTCTTTGAACGTTGGGTTGACTCGGCTCGGACTGCAGTGGATAGGTTCCTTGTGTTGCAACCTCGGGGGCAGATGTATCACCTTAGTTGTGAGAAGTCACAGGCCTTGATCTGGGAACCAAGAACATGGAGAATTCGCCCCAGTCTGGGAACGGACCTTGAGCAAATACATGTAGCGACTCCCTTCTTGATAGTAATCCCTAGAGGATGTCAATGAACACGTGTCTTTTCTAGGGCACCTCACTTCACGAATCAAGTCTCTGCGAGTCGCGAATCTTCCAATTACAGCTTGTAGCCAGGTGGGAGGTTCCAATCTAAGGTATTCTTCGCACTGTCTTGGGCCTTCCTTTGACAAACGTCCAGTGCCTCGACAGATGAAAGGTACCGACCTTGTACTTTGTTCGGGCGTTCAGGCGACCTCCAGCCGCTTCAGCCGCTTGACGCTCTTTAGGTTCACCCACTTTCACCTTTTCGAAGGGGAGTGCCAGCGCTCTCTTCAACTCCTGCCTACCATCCCAATGGCAAAAGCAAAGATGACGCAGACACCACTCATCGGGCACTCGAGCAGCAGAGTCCGAGTGGTGAATCTTCCAGCGGATGTGCCAGACTGTTGGGCCTCACCTTCGATAGGTAGTACAGACCCGTTTGGAGCGAAATGATGCTGCTAGGCTGTCCCCTGCCATTTTGAATACTGTATCTGATGGAGTCAAGTAATGAAGGTTTTTGGTTTCAAGTCTTACATGGCTGGCAATGACTGTTGAAGGGCCGCCAGTCAATAGGGGAACACGTCTTGATGAGGTATATGCCAATGGTAACTTCGGTGTTTTCGCCGGGTCTATGCAGGGATACTGATTTTGTTTCTACGCGCTCCTGTTTGCAAATGTTGCAGGTTCCCTCTGTTGGAAATCGATGCCAGGAGCAACTCGCCTGGGAATCACTGAGGTAAAACATGTTAAGAAAGGAGACGAATGTTATGCAACAAGGGTCATCTGACTGGAATCAAAATCGCCCTTTAGGCTTGCAGATTGATCTATAGCATCATGATTGATGGTTCCGCCGCTGCGTCTTGGTGTTTCCTGGTGGTCAGGGCAAGGAAAGCGACCCCGCTCAAAAAACGGCAATGCACCGTTGCCGTCCGAGGAGACAAAGGACCTGTTCAGGTTGCGGTGAACCTCGCCGTGAATAGCTTCTTTGTTCATTGCGAACACAGTCAAAAATCAAAGATTTGATTCTTCTCGAGTACCGCGTCCTGTTTGTACAATCAAAATTCGTAGATAAAGCTGCCCGCCTCTAATTCTACGATGATGGCCGCTGATGAGGGCGAAAAGCTTGTTCCGTACCAAATCAGTTTTTCATTTCTTCATCTACCATACTGAACAAATCGTCTCAAGTCAGGATGACCTGCTTTCAATCTCTACCACCCGAGACTATCTTGCAAATTGCAGCTTGTTCAGACCTCGGTTTCTCATGCCTTCGCCATCTCCTACTCACCTGTCGCCGTCTTGCCGTATATATCGCGCCGCTCTTGTATCGCAAAGCTGTTCGAGACCATGCTGTCCTCCTGCGACTGATGCGGGACGACCAAAGCGATATCATTCTGCGGGTTCTGAAATGCCAGATCGGGCCAGATTGTGTGGCACCTCAATACTACCTAGACAGCTGCCTCCACGACGCCCTTCTGGGAGGTCATCTCAAAGCTGCCAACGTCCTTCTCGGTAATGGAGCTGAACCTGTCTTCAGTATTGACGTTCTAAATCGCTCAGAGCATCGTGAGACCAGGGATTGGCTTCAAGTTCATGATGCAACGGGACTCGGGTCTCTCGCACTTGCAGCGAGAAGCCGCTATCACATGACGTTCTGGTATAAAGACTTTAAGCCTTATACATCCGAGGAAGAGTTCTGGATCTATAAGAAGAAGGCGATGGAGACTATCTTAGAGAAACTCAGGTCCCATTTTGGTCGGGATTCAGATCAGTATGGGTTGAAGATATCGGAGGCCCATTATTTGAAAAATAAACACGAGGATGAGGAGAAGGAACCAATGCTTCGACATCCGAAATACGCCAGAGAGCTTGACATGGCCCTCGCTGAGGCTGCAAATGCGGACGGGCACTCTATCGAACTGATGGACTTTCTATTCGGGTGCGGAGCAACTGTTACCTGCGAACTCACGCCGCAGCTTGCCGGGCATGCCTGGCACAATGCCCTGAACCAGGAAGTCCCGGCTCTTTTCGAGGCCAAGGTGGATCTGCTCCTACGTCGCGGTGTCGACCCGACAAGTGTTTGGACCTGGGAGGGCATGCGGACACCGATACAGTTTTTCCTCCGCAAGTTATACCGAAATTTTCAATACTTTGAAGAGCCCAACGCCTTCACAAACAAGGTCTTTGGTTATATGGAATACCTAGAGTCGCGTGGCTGCCTATGCTGGCCACGATCCACTCTCAGATCCTTTGTGCTCAGCGTCGGAACTGCTCAGATCGCCTGCACCATCGGCTATCCTCGAGCGGAGGAGCACGATGGTATGAGTACCTCTAGTTTTGTTGACGACGCCACAGATGGCAGGCGTGAGCTTGAGCTCATATTTGAAGAGCCGGACCAATCCCTGCTACCACTCCGAGTGGCTCTATCGAATCTAATTGCACTCAAGCACTTCCGGGATATGGGAACCCCGCCGTCGCCCACATTCAGAGAGTGGGTTGGCAAGGAGGCAATGTCCAATGCTATTCAAGATCTCGATAGAATGTTCAGGACTTTTTCGGTCTCGTCACATAGTGTGGAAAGCATTCGCGCTGTGGAGGAGCAAGCCTGCGCCAGTCAGCCTGAATCTGACTCATCTGGAGGAGATGACAGCCAGGTATAGCCAGAGTCAGCATTTCATTTCTATCAGCACAAAAGCAAGCAGATTTTTTATCCGGTCGCTCTAGTCATGGGGAATTGATTCGGCTATTTTGATGCTCAATAATGGTCTTCACACTCCAGAAATTCATCTTTTTTCCTCATTTTTTCTTCTAACACAGGTCACTGTCACAACTTAAGAATGCATCAGCTGATGTGGAAATGCAAATTAGCAGTCTGATGTGTGTCTCTTTCGATTATCCGACTACTCATTATTTGATGAAGTAGTATGAAGCATGAAGACAGCCCCTCGAATCCTCATCGTGATCAATCCTCAAGCAATCGACCAATCCCTGACAGCCCTCTGAAGCCTCATTGCGATCAATCCTCAAACAAACAACCAACCCCTAGCATCCCTATTTTCATGCCTGTGTATTGACAGGCCTGTACTGATGTGAAGCCTTATAGGTTTGCGCCGTTGCAAATCCGTTCACTGAAGACGATTCGAATGTCGGAAACCATGCTTGTAGAGGTGTGTAGGCTTTTAGGTTGCGGATATGAATAGCATTTCATATGTTAAATGCTTTTTGTACCGGGAAATGAACAGGCTTGTAAAGGGAAGCTCAGTTCAGGTGACATGTGTCGAAGTACCAGTCTTGCGATACATAGGCCTCTGCTTTAGTACAAGCGCTGTTTGTGCATGTTGCGAGGCTGTGTTGAGACCAGAAGCGGACGTGTAGGCCAGTATCTAGACAAAAGTCATAGACGCTGATCGTGTTGATATCTGGCGGAAACCAGCGATCCTCACTTTGAAGACAGCCCTGCCAGCATTCAGGGAGTTGGTGAAGTGGCAGTGGACCTCTTGAAAGACTGTCTGGATCCTTAGGGCCTCCGGGTTCTCCAGCCTGTACGATGGCAGGTAGAATAGCGAAAAGGACAGTCGAGGCCTTCATTTTGATTGTTGAAGATGCGCAGAGTAGAAGAGGCGTAAGTGGTAGGTGGAGAGATGGTGAGATGGAGCAAGGATCAGGACAACGTCTGTGAGGAGGATCTGGTATATTGAGACCCCTGATTTGAAGATAATGTAGTAGAAAGAGATGGATTTGTTTGTTTGTGGCTAATTGGATGACTTCTTGGGCTACAGATCGCCTCCCAAGGGGGAAGCGCTTCTTTATATATCTCATGTTCCTACCAAAGCACCCACCTAAATCACCATGCCGTGACCACAGCCCTACCCCCGCTCTCGGAATTATACTCACTGCAAACCACGGCTACGCCATACCTTAGCCACCCTTGCAGTTTGCAGACCCTGGATGTTCACGGTCCGAGCCGTAGAGGTTGATAGCTCTTTCTTGACCATGAGACGTTTAAGGGACCAATGTGGAAAATCGGCTGTACAAGGCCTTCAAGGTGTCTGGTCAGAACTCTGGCCGACAATCCGACATCACTAAAATATTGCTTGTACGCTTTATGGTGAACTATCTCCATCAAATGTCTGAACCCGAATTTAGACAGAAGCATTGACAATTAGACAGCCCTCCCAGATTTCCTATTGGTTGTCTCGAGTTTCCCACGAATAATCGCAGAAACAAGGTACGCAACCTTTTGTGAATGGACCTCGAATAGTGTGTGAGTGATAGATTAATGGCAGAGAGGCAGTGAGATCATTCGTCTAGAATTAAGTTTAGACAAATAGCCCATGGAAAGGATACCGTACCATGTGTCGAAGTAAGCCCGAGAGATTCGTCCCAGGTCTCTGAGTGATGGAGACAAGATCATACTCGAGGGTTCAGGGCCAGACCGATCGGAGATTGCATATTAAAAGGGTTAACGTACAAGGCCCTCACAATCAAGACCCTATCTCCAATCCCCCTTTCTCTGGACACAAACTCAAAGATAAGTTGATCCTGTAAATGGGAACGTTACTAATAGAGAACGTAGTTTGGCACTCGTAAAACTTGTCTTCCAATCCCCACAATGCTGGTATAGATATCAGGCAGTTTACCACACATACACATATACACACACATACAAGGACAACAGCAACCCATCAAACACACATCTCAGCACCAAATCAACCATCCAACTCCACTCTATCAAAATTATCATTCACGCAGTGGCCAAAATGAAGTTTATAACTATTCTTCTCGCCGTACTGCCCCTGATTGCCGCCGACGGAGGCCCCAAAGACCCAGATAGTCTCCCGAGGATACCACTTCCCCTTCACGAACTGCCTGAATGCTGGCAAGAGTGTCTGGAGCTGGAGAACAATCACTACCCTCTCGATATCAACAAGGTCAACGTGCACGACTTTTGCGTCGACAACGGCTACCACCTCCGATGGTGGTCTCTTCACTCTCTCGCAAGATGCGCAGCGGGCAAATGCAGTTGGGATGAAGGCATGCAGTCACAAAGATGGATCTTCGACCTCTGCAAAATGAATTAGTTTCAAACGCAGACATTGCGTGACGCACGCAGGTTGTTCGAACAATTCGCCTCCAAGTGGCATCGGATGACTACAACATTACTTCCATGGCCAATGTGTCAAGAAGAACTCGGACACTGGTACCTTACAGCAAGCTAAGCTCGAATGGTGTTGCAGGGCCACAAGCTACAACGTGACCATCAAGATGTATGCAATAGAGGCCGGCTATGCATTGGAAGTAAGAGACAGGAACGAGGCGCGCGCTGAAGTAGAGGGTGCGAGCGAACAAGAGCCTCGGTGATTATATAACCGAGGACCGGGGGAAGGGTGATGAGGCTATGGATGGTTGAAGTCAATCCGACAGATGCGTATTGGAGGAAGGCCTAGGCGCTGGAAGTTATCAGCACGACAACAGGCAACATGCAGCTGGCAGGATGGATAAAGATAGGAGGGCAAACAGAAGGCATTTGAGAATGCTTGGTGTGAGCTTCACTTGTCGAAGGCCAAGACCTAGCAACCTACCTACTCCCAGTACAGGCATTTGGCAGCAGTTGATAATGTTTCAATGACGACTACGCCTTTACTAGAAAATGAAAGTTGATGACTAGCAAGAATATGTTCCATGAATGATCGTCTGGACTTCCTGTGATAACAAGACGGCAGGCTCTTGACCCCACTCATAATGGCATATAGCGCTGCCCATCGGGTTCATGTCGCCATGAATGCACTGGCACACCACACTGGAAGTATGTACGAGCTCATATAGGTATTAAAGAATGGCACTGGCGCCAGAGGTCTACAGACATCAGGTCACCTGTCTAATGGACATGTCTGGCGTGGCTCATATGAGGCCCTGGGTGTGAACGAGGCCTAGAGGCCACGATGACAGGCCAGTCGTTCATTGGTTCATTATACACATACCCATGGTATGAAGATGAAGTCCCGAGAATCACTTGCTTCTTGCCGTCACCTTTGGCACTCATCTGTCATAATAACGGCGAATAAGATGGCACTGGAGCTACTGAGTGAACACCGAGAGAAGAAGAAACCATACAATAAGAGCAGGAAACGTGGATCTGTATTGTTTCGGAAAGGGTCGAGACACAACACACAGCTGCCCGCAAGATGTGTGGCTTCGCAGCCTGCTTGAACCATCAAACTAAGCTCGCAATGCTATCCGCGTATCCTCGGGAACCCACTGAGTCAACCCGAGACTTGATCTCAGGAGGTTGCCAGATTAGGCGAAGTGGATTCATCACAGACCCATCTAATTGGTTGAAAAGAGACATTGGCAATTTGAATCGTAAGTTTAAACCTCCAGGCGCATGAACTTGACCCAGAAATCACACCTGAGGCGGTATCGATCGAGAAGACCCATAGGGCAGTGTGTTTGTGCAGCTGACGAGTGAACAAAGGACAACCTTGTATTCACCGGTAACACAGAAACATGGTGTTTGCTACCTTACCTTGGTCCATGGTGAACGCAACGGATGTTTGGTTCCTTCAAAGCCGTCGTCTATTTGAAGTTCCGTCTCCACCATGACTCGCAGGCCTTAGCCTGTCACTTTCGTCTCATTGGCTGGCGACACGCCAAAGGATGCGGTGCAGCGGTGCAATGAGCACTAAGGACCTAGGCTGGCGGCCCGATGGGGCGCCTGCATGATGCAAGGCAGCGAGAAAGAAATTGTTGAGTAACCTTCGCAGTTCTTTCGAATTGATGTAGGTAGACGACGGCGGATTCAAGGCCTGTTGTTCAGTCGCGTCGTCGAAATGATGGTATTCTGGAGGGGCAGAAAATGCGAAAAGTCCGAGGTAGAACGCTGCTGTATGACGTAAGGCATCCTGTACGTATAGGTAAAAAAGTCCGTCCGGTGGCCGGGATCGTCGGGTTGACGGAGCCGGAGGCGGCGGATGATAAGGTAAGCTGACGGGTGACAAGGATTGGTCACAGGGGTTGGTTGAGAGACCTGCAGTGCACCAGGCACGCCGCACACCAGATTCTCCCGCTTACTCCCAGGTCGATTACCACATCAAAGAGAAATGGACTGGCACACTGGATCCATATGGGTTATGGATGGATCCCGCGTGCCCGCCCCATGCCGCTGTCCGCCCGTCATGCCGGGCTGACGCTCCAGACCCTTCCTCCGAGCGACTTCGCACCGTTACGCTGACGAGTAGAAGTTCTTCAAATCAAAAAAAGTGCGAATGCAACAAGAACCGCGTTCTTTGTAACACATCACTTGTTCCTGTCCGCGAAACCGACACCAGATAATACAGTAGTACACACATACAATGACGACCGATACCGCAGCTTCTGACCCCGCGGCCAAGGTCAAGTCCCACGCCTCGACGGTGTCTGACGTTGGGTATCCTCATGGCCACTTGGGTCACCTCAACGAGCACGAGGAAACGCAGCTCGCCGCCTTCAGAACGCTGCTCGAGGAGAAGGGGCTGTACAAGCCAGGCCCGCCAGCTTCCCACGACGACCCGACTCTGCTGTGAGTTATTCAGCAAGATCCTCTTTTTCTGCCGCAGTTCCTACTGCGCCGGAACATCCGGAAGCAGACAAGAAGGGCATTTTTGCTGACTTTTTCCCGCCTTATCATGCAGCCGATACCTTCGCGCACGAAGATGGGTCCCCGAAGACGCTCTCACGCAGTTCAAGGACACGGAAGCCTGGCGCGCCGCCAACGACATTGACGTCCTCTACCAGACCATCGAGCTCGATGCCTTTGAGCAGTCCCGTCGCCTGTACCCGCAATGGCTTGGCCGCCGCGACCGTCGCGGCATTCCCATCTACCTGTTCGAGGTCCAGAAGCTCGACAGCAAGACAGTCGCTACTTATGAGAAGCTGGGCAAGGAATCGACCTTTAGCAAAGCCAAGTTCGACGGCAAGACGCCCGCGGGCATGATGCGCCTGTTTGCGCTGTACGAGAACCTCACTCGCTTCACCCAGCCGCTGTCGACGCAGCTTAGAGACCGCGAGCACCGCGACGCTCCCATCACCCTGAGCACCAACATCGTTGATATCTCTGGGGTCAGCTTGAAGCAGTTTTGGAACTTGAAGGGACACATGCAGGCTGCTAGTCAGCTCGCAACGGCGCATTATCCAGAGACTCTCGATCGTAAGCAGACATCCATCATCGCCACATGACTGTACTGACAGAACATGACCAGGTATCTTCATCATCGGTGCCCCTGCATTCTTCTCAACAGTGTGGGCCTGGATCAAGCGTTGGTTCGACCCTATCACGGTCTCCAAGATCTTCATCCTCAGCCCCCACGAGGTCCGCCCGACACTCGAGCAGTTCATCGAACCCCGCAACATCCCGAAACAGTACGGCGGCGAGCTCGAGTTCAAGTTTGGCGACCAGCCAACCGTCGACTCCGCATGGGAGGGAATCGTGGAGTGGGCCCCCGGTCACGACCGCTTCACGTCACGCCCTGCTATCTGGCGCGAGACTGAAGATGGTACACGCGTTGAGTGCATTGGTATCGGCAGCGTCAAGGGCGTCGAGCAGAATGAGGTGATTTGCTCCGTACCCAAGACGTGGCCGCCCAAGGCTGAGGTACCTGCTGCCGAGCCGACACCGATTGCAACACCTGCGACTAAGGAAGGGAGCGTGACGGAAGAGGCCGCCGGCGCCAAGACGGAGACCGAGGAGCCTGTCAAGGCCGCCCATGCGCCAGAGGCTGGTATGCAGAAACTTTCCATTGCGGACGACAAGCAGGTCGCAGAGAAACACGTCGAGGGCAGCACGTCAACGCCCCCGCCGGGACTGGCATAGAGTAGTGGTAAATGGGCATGAGACTTAGAGACTGGGGTTTGCATATTTGGTATGGCAGGGTCGATCTGCTTGGTGATCTGGATATGGTTTGATCTAATACCCTGATGGTGATGGAGTAGGTCTGGCAAGGCAAGGCAACATTGGCTGGAGTTACATCTTTATCGATTCATATCGGACATCTATTTAATAACAAAGCATTTGGTATCGCGACGTTGTACCGTCCCATCTACCCAATGACCCTGGGACAAATGCACAGAAGGTAGATCTAGGTTTGGGTCATCCCGTCTCCCCATCCAATCTATCGGGTCTATCCTGTCCGTGTGCAAGTGCAACAGGAACCAAAGTTTATCATCCAACCCACCAAACGCCTTTTTGTGCAAAACCGGCCCGCCATCCAGTCGTACAGGAAACATCTATCCCGAGTATCCCCTCCTCTTGCGCCACTCCGCCACACCCTTCTCGATCTCGTTCCACGTCACACCATCCCTCACGAGCTGCATGGTGACGCCCAAGCTCTCCGTCTCCCGATTTCGACTCTCATCGTCAAAGAACAGCATGTCCGTAAATGGAATGCCCGTCTTCTTGAATATGGTCTCGAAATGTTTTATCTTGCTGCTAGGGTATATCTCCAACGGTGCGTCAAAGTACTCGAGCGCCCTCTTTGTCTTCTCCTTCTTGCCACTGCCTCCTTCCTCGGCACTCGGCGGCGGGACGTGCAGGAGCTTGAGCATATCCCGTGCTAGATCGGGGGCCGATGTCCGTGACGCGACTGCGATTTTGATGCCTGCCAGTGGCAGAGTATAGAGTATTCGCGGCACGTCCTGGTAGAAGGCGAAGGACTCGCCGTGACGATCTGTGACTGCCGAATGTGTCGCATTGGCTTTCAGCGGGCCGGAGACATGTGTGTCGACCCAAAAGGGCCAGAGGGTGTAATCGAGGTCAAAGACAATGAGCTTCGGAAGGGGGAGCTCGTCGGTCAGGATTCGAGGAAGGGAGAGGGAGGTGGAATTCGTTGTCGAGGTCGAGGGTGTCCCGAGGTTTGTGGTGCTCCCACCTTGGGGATTCTTCGAGAGTTTCTTCGGCATCAGGTCGATCGATGAGAAAGGAGCGATTGGGAAGCTCTGCAGTATATTTGAAGCAGTCAGAAAGGCGAAGAATAGCAGACGTAAGAAATTGTTCCAGGTTCAGAAGAAGCGACAGACGAGCTTCAAAGTGGGAGGAGGGGCAAAGTGCCTTCGATGCGACTGCCCGTCAGAACGTCCTGGCCGTCCATGGTGGGGAGCGAGGAAGGAGTACGTACCTGCCTGGCTCGTGCTTCTGTGGCGGGTGCCTGCTCATCCACACAGGACTCGGTAACTTAATGTACGTACCTGAGGCGGCATCGTGGCAGTTCCTTTGGGAAAGTGCGAAAAAATTGGAATGGTGAACTGGGATGAGAGAATCATGGAGATTCCAATTCCCATCCATCAACATTTCATACTAGGCCTTTTTTTCTTTTTACTTCTCGCCCACAAAGATGGAGAACATCGGATCGTGTACGAATAGAGGCATCCCAATATTCCATTCTACCGCGACATCTGCTATCGACTTTCCTCATGCCCACGGTAACTACCTCACCCAACAAGCAAAACACGAGCATTCTGTGAGCTCAAGACCGCCGTCCTAGCGAGCAAAAAGCATGTCTCGACGTTGGCCTGATTCGAACAGACGCTCCCGAAGGAACAAGATTTCTAGTCTTGCGCATTAGACCACTCTGCCACAACGCCAGATAACGAACCCGCTTTCAAGCGGGGATACTGGAGAGGGCTCCTCGATGAGCTCAAGGATGGGGCTCTGCGTTGTGTGCTGGATTGGGGCTTCTGTTGGAGAGGGCGGCGATACTCTCAATAGGGCGGTGAAGAAGTAACGCTCCGAATGAACCCTTGTCTCCTCCCCTACGCTGACTGGCGCCGGAGCTTAGTATCCTCTTTCGGCAGGACCGGCTTGAACTTCGGCTCCGACAGTTTCGAAGACTGGCGATTCGGCCGGCCGGTTGGCCCACTCCCGAACGTCTTGAACCGATCTCGACGGGGCCGGCCGGGCATCATCCTGCGACTATGACGGCCGGCGACGCAGCTTCGGTTAACAGGACTCCCGGGAGCCGCCCCTGTTTGTCCAAGCGAAACTTGACCCAGAAACCCGCGGATTTACGGACTTTCGGGTTTCTGTACCCCGCCGGCAACATGCCGACGATGCACCCCGCGATGGTAATACCCCACGTCCTGGTGATAGAAAGAGAACAATCGAATGTAGCCAGCAAACATAGGCTTGTTCAGCGAGTGACCAAGTCCCGGCAAAGTATAGGAACCTTATGTGTTGATTGTATCCGTTCGGAACTACTTTTTGGCCCCGAGAGCTATGGCCATCCGTCAGAAAGCATGTTTCGCCCATCCTTCACCGTGTGCCGAGGGAGCTCTGATTCGCGACAACTCATCCGGTAGGCTCATTCGGCACTTGGATTGAAGGAAAACGATACGGTTCGTTTTATCTCCAAGTCAATGTATGGTGATACTAAGAAGATGGGAGGCAGCTTCAGCCTTGGCGCGTCGGGCTTGTCAGGATTATCTTGAAAAACATCCTAGTGGAAGCCCAGGCTTTCTCCAAACGCCACGGGCCCCGAACCGCCGTCTGAGTTTCGGCACCGCGCCATCTGAAATTACACCATAAGAGCGCCCAAAATAGGGGACTAGCAGCCACCACAACTCCTTCTATACCGGACTCTGACGCCTCCAGCGCAAGTACCGAGCGTGCGTGACGTCCGATGGACTCTAGTGGGGTAGTGCGGGGGAACGAATATGGCCAAATCACCCATCCAACGGCATTTCCGCCGGTGAGATGTCAGCTCCAAGTCTAAATATAAGACGGCTCTGTCTCTGCGTGCTGTACAAGTGACACTCGACGCCAAAGCTTCGCGGCAGCAGCCAACCTTTCTTCTCAGTTCTTCACAGTCACAGCACCGACGAGCTACGCTCACCATGCCCGACCGGAAGATCCAGCTCGTCCGCCTGGCGCACGTCTTCTACAAGCACAAAAACATTGAAGAAGCTCGTAAGTTTTACGACGACTTTGGCTTTTATGAACTCGAGCGCAAGGGGAACAAGACATTCTATCGAGGCTATGGTACCGAGCCATTCGTGTTATGTGCCGAAGAGGCGGAGGAGGACGAGTTCGGAGGTCCGGCTTTCGTTGTGGAGTCCCTGGAGGACCTCGAGTACGCGTCCAAAACGTTGCCAAGCGCAACAGAAATCCATGATCTCGAAAACGTGCCGGGCGGCGGTAAATGTGTGACGTTCAAAGACCCCGTCGATGGCTGGCCACTGCATCTGGTGTACAACCAGACGCCAATCGAGAAGAGGGACCCGGGATTCCCGAATCTCAAGTTCAACTTCGTGAGCACAATATATAAAGACATTCAGGGAGCTCATGCTGATCAGAATACAGCCGGAAGAGAAGCATCGCGATGTTAACAAGAAGCAGCGTTTCACCAAGCGCCCGGCACCGGTTCACAAGCTGGGCCACTTTGGCGTGTGTCTGACGAACTTTGACAAGGCCTACGAGTTTTACACTAGCAACTTCAACCTGTACCCGAGTGAGGTGAGTATTCCAGGCGTGCGAAGCCAGATTGCAGTCATCCTGACATATATGATGTGCAGCTCGTCCACGCCCCTGACAATAAGGACAAGAGCGTCACCGTGTTTTTCCGCCTGGCACGTGGCAAGGAATTCGTCGACCATCACTGCTTCTTCTTCCTTGAGGGCCCCAAGTTCCACGTCCACCACTCCTCGTTCGAAACGCACGATTTTGACACCCAGGTCCTGGGCCACGACTGGCTGAGAGAACAGGGTCACAAGCTTTGTTGGGGCGTAGGCCGCCATATCATGGGAAGTCAAATCTTTGATTATTGGTGAGTTATTGTTGGGAGCCCCAGTGGCTTTCCGATACGTGGAAAACGGCGTGAAAAGCTGACAGGAGAACAGGTTCGACCCCTCCGGCTTCATCATGGAACACTACGTTGATGGCGACCTGCTCGACGACACGGAGAAGACGCACCACACTCCCGCAGCGCCGGATAACCTACACATCTGGGGTGAGTTAGAACCGTACCCGAGAAACATGGCCTATGCTAACAGATATCATACAGGTCCGGAGGTGCCTGCGACTTTCCTGGCGTGATAGCGGACATATTCTCAGTGTCTTTCTTGTAGCAAGAACATGTATCGTAGTGCATATAATTCGGCACAAACTTCCAGCAGAAGGTCAATTATATTTCAACCGCCTTGCGCCACTTCCAAATGTGACGGCATACAGTGGCTCACCCTCGATTCGGGGGATCTGCCGCATCATTGCGACCATTGAACAATTTTGGAGCGCAAAGTCCAGATTTCTACACATTCTGCCCGTGTCTTGCTTGATCATGGAGTTTACAAGCTCAGGCTTACCACACACAGACACCAGTACAGGGAACCGCTTCGCTCTGGCCGAACATCTCTTCGGTGAAGTACCAGTTTTACGTCACTCGGAGGAAGATGAGACGAGACGGGGAGTGGCTTTGCTGTGGCTTAGCCCCGATCGACCAGCCGACAAGCACAGGCCGAATGTAGAGCTGAGAGCTGGCTATTTGGGGGTGCTCTTTCTTTGCGGCTCCTCTTTTGAGGAAACCCAAAAGAAAGAGATTCCCGGTTCATGACGCATTGTCAAACATCGACAAAATAGAACCATACCGAAGACCTATGGCAATATCATCTCGGAAGTATTGGTCGATATCCGACCCTCGGACGAAATCCTTTCCAAGCAACTGTCACATACCATTTGACGCACGAAATTCGTAACCGAATCTGGGAATAATTAGACTTTCCGCACCTCCCCACGAACATCTAGAGACTCCGTACTGAAGTAATCGACGACCGAGGTGCCCTTAATGGCGGGGTCAATTTGACTGCACCTTGAAGCGACGACCATGTACCCCTGCACCACGATGCTAGCTTCTTTGGAGGAAGAGTGACTAACGAACCCTTGTCCTAGTCTTCCCGTTTAGCGTCGCATTCTCCATCGGCACTGCCTCCCTTTTGCGGCACCGGTCACCGGCGCAATGTCAAGATTCAACGGCCAAGAGGCCCACGTGTTCGAGCTTAAGCACTTCGACAGGTCTCCTGGCTTTCTGGCTGGCCGAAGAGGCCTACAACCAGGAGGGGCGATTGACGAGCTGCAGCTCTACTGGGGCGATGGTAAACAAGCTTCGGCTGTCTCGGTTGGCCCTTTGCCTCTTTGGGGCAGGTTTCACTGATTCAGGGGCGCATCGGCGCATTTGACAGCCATTGGTGTGCGGGGGTTAGGGTGATATTGCGGTCGATGATCATCTCGCCGCCTGCAGCTCCCGTCGGCCAGCTTCACATCGCAACCGGGGTATACGGAGAGCTGAAGCCTGAAAGGCCTCCCTCCCCCTCTTCGTCTGCGATCCAGTGGCACGTGTCAGATGTGGTTCGCACAAGATGTTCCTGAGTGGTCCAGGGGTGAGCCTTGGGCAATGAAGTCTTGGTTTGCCTCTTTACTTAAGGTTGGCGATTGCCACATCCATCACTACAAGTAGAAACATGGTCTTTTGATCCCGCATCCTCACGCATCCCGCCGCAAGCTGTTCGCTCTCCCACCCGCTCCGCACCTCCCTCTCACCCCGGGACAAGGACCACGAGCCACTCCGTGTGCCCATTTCACATCACCATGCGCGCTGACACCACATTTGTGCTGCTTGCACAGGCTCTCGCCGTCCAGGGCGTGCGGATCGTCCAGTCCAACGACGATGGGTGGGCAGAGCTCTACGTTCGTTCCTTCAACGATGCGCTGAAAGCCTCGGGCCATGACGTCCTTCTCTCGGCACCTGCTGAGAATAAGTCCGGCTCCAGTATGTACAATCAAACTCATCCGAAGGTTCATTCACACAAGAGACGTCCACTAACACTAGATCCATCACAGGTTCCCTCGACGTTGAGCCGAGCCCGCGCACCAGCGCTTGCCAGTACAACAGCTGCGCAGCCAACAGCGGACCGGTCGGCTTCAATGAGACCCGCAAGGACCTCCGCTGGGTCAACTCGTACCCGGTAACCTCCATGCGCTACGGTATCGAGCAGTTTGCTCCGGAGCAATTCAACGGTGCCGCCGTAGAACTCACCGTCTCTGGTCCAAACGTCGGCTCCAACCTCTGGCTCCAGGTCCCTTTCTCAGGCACTGTCGGAACCGCTGTCTACGCCTCAGGCACTAAGGGCATCCCCGCCATCGCCTTCTCCGGCTCTTCGGATGGCACTCTCGCGTGGAACACACAACCTGTGCCTGCGCGGAGTACGGTTTACGCTAAGCTCGCGACGCGGCTGGTTGATAAAATTGTGAGCGGAGGCGCTCCGTACCTGCCGGAGAAGACATGGTTAAATGTCAACTTCCCGAAGGTCAGCGATACGGAGTGTAACGACCCGGACCAGTTCAAGTGGGTCTTGAGCCGGATTAACCCGGGACTGCTGTCCGGTCCGGATGTGAGCACGTGCGGTGACGACGCGAGGTTGCCCGAGGAGAATACGGTTGTCGGCACGGCGGGATGCTACATCTCTGTGAGCGTGGGTGATTCCAATGACAAGACGACGGCGTCCAAGGAGAAGCAGCAGCCCGTGCTGGATCGGTTGTCTGGCTTTTTGTCTTGCCTGCCTTGAAACGATTGAGAAATTGTCTCTTCGACAAGATAGCTGCGTGTCAGTATGATCCTTCATAAACATATGAATGATACAGATCCATGAGTGTTTCAGGCTGCGGGTCGTCGACTGGTCCTTGAGAGGGTTAAGTTGCTTGCCCTCTAAGAGAAGAGTCTCGACAAGACTCAGTAGGCGTCACCTCTGCGTGAACATCTTCCGGCAGGGCAAGTCGCCACATACTATATAAGTCCGGTACTACCTAGTCAATACGGAAGCTTTATCCCCACACATCCGTGGCCACGCCTACAGCACTGAACGGGATATGCTCACATCAGGCACAGAGGTGCGATTGGATATTGTAGATGCGATTGCTAGGTGAGTGAGTAAGCTCCATGAGACCAATGGACGCTGTCTAGTGCACACGCTCAACGTACTGTTTATCATCATCCCCCATTCTGATGGTGATTGGGCGCAATAATGCTCGGGGGGCCGCATGATATGCTATGTCAATGTTCAGAGAGTAGTTTGGATATCGATGAGAAACTGGGACTTGTTAGCCTTAACAGATGTCGCCGCGCCGCACTCGCCCTCAGGCGTGAGCCACCTGATCTTTACGGGCTGGATTAGTATCCTCATGGGTGTCCTCTGTGGATTCATGCCCTGCTGCTCATCGACTTTGGTTCGAACATTGGTTCATTTAAATAGTCTTCTCCGCGGTCACTGTGGCCACTCCAGCAAGCTGCAAATCAGCGCCGAGCATTCGTGTCACATGACGGGATCTGCCAAGTGTCTGTCTTTCTAATATAGTCTCTACCTAAATAGAATTGGCCTGCAAGAGATGGACTTGGCGGATGTCGCCTCTGCGCCTCTACTAGTCCTAATTGGAGGGACATGACCATGGCTCGCCGCCGCATTCACTGGAAATTCGATTTCAGTGAGAAGTGAACTCTCTTCTCCGCATCTATAGTACCGGGGATCCTCGGCTTCGGGGATGGAAAAGTGCTATATCTAGTCGACCAGCAAAGTTGCCCAAAAAGATTACGTTTAACCAAACAATCTGCTGAGTAGTTTTGTCTCTTGTTGTAATAACTTTCTAGACGGAATACTGCGTCAGAAATGCTCAATATGATATAATACATGTATGGTGTTCATAGCTAATAGGCCTCGATAGGACTTGCCGCGCTCGGCATTAGGTATGTGTTATCTTCTCTTTATCATATAGATAGCTATTGTTGGAGGTTATGGTATCCATTCCTACTAGTGGTGTTAATGGACCGCATTGCTGCTTAACCTTTCCTCTTATTAGGTGGGCGGTGTGTGCTAACTTATATTAACTTCGGGAGCACAGTAACTGCCCTATACAAGAGCGTACTTTACAAAACACATCTTGACCCCTTTCTTTACAATCTCATTTTAGATAATCAAGATCTATGAGCTACATGTTGATCGCTTGTGACTTTGCCACTAAGTATTACTAATGCTAAGACAAGGCAAAATACCCTCAGCACTTATGAATATAGGATTTACTTTTTTAAGTTTATAGCCATAGCTATAATCAACTAATCATTCTCTTCTGTTGTCTATTATAGTAATATTCGCAAGTGGATATACCCTGGAGACTGACCGGTTTGGTTTGACAAGGTAGAGATATCGGTTTAATAACGTCGAGAACTGAATGCTAAGCTCACACACCCATGCTCTAGGTGTCAACTGCCTTTCGATCATTGGTGCTGGTGGCACTGCCCTCCAACCACTAGTGCTGGTGGTTATGATTCCTGCTTGTCCTTCTTCACAAATCAAGGCGGCGATACGCAACCTTTTATACTGAATCGGAGGCCCACTTTGGCTATGATGGGCTAGGTCCCCGCAGGTAAAACCTTATGACCCTGGCCATCGCGCCTAGGAAGCTTTCTTTGAAATTCTGCTACTTCGACCCGTTGCCACTTTATTCATCCTGAAATCGTTTCTTAGAATACTCTTGAGACCCATCCATGCCCTCCCAAACGCCGTGTAATTCCACGCCAGAAGCAACGTCCAGGCCGCAACACCCAGGGCAGTGGGTGAACAAAGCGACTCGCCACAAGTTGCTCGATACGTCTCTTTGCTTTGGGCGATTCATTGACCGATTCTCTTAATCCATCGCCTCAGCGAAGCCTCAGAAGTGGCGGGGTCCCGGCGTGGATGGACTTGATGGCGGAACGCATTGCTTCTTTTGAGCTCACAAGGAGGTCGGGGTTGCGTGGGTTGTTCGACTTGTGGCCCTGTGGTATATGAAGCCGTATTGCTTGTCATGGTTTTGGAATGCATCTGTATAGAAGGCTGTACGGCTTCTAAGTCAAATGAAATCTTGTGAGCGCAGGTACGTACTTACTTGGATGTTTGTGCACGGTATGTGTTGGAAGCGATTGTCCAGATGTATCTCTCTCTTCCAACTATCCGTTGCGGGCGATGATATATTGCTACTCCCGTCTATCTCCTATACCATGGAGGTAGGCAGTTTTGGTTCAATTCTCACTCAAGGTTGCCCACTTACCTCTATGGTTGCGAAGTCATCTCCGAAACGCGGGAACAGACCGACTGCAATTCATTGGTGACGGAAAGCTTGAGGCGAGTCATCGCTTTCAGCCTGAAAGATTCGTGGAATCATAGCCTCTTCCGAGCACTTGCCCTCTTGCTCATCCTAAGACCATAGGTTCTGAAGACCACTTGGCCCACTGGAGAGAGGATCATGTAGCGAAAACGTAAAATTGCTATCCGGTAAAGACAGCAAACTATATGTACATGTTAGGAAAGTAAAATCGCCTGTCCATGGCCGTCAGTCTGCAGCAATTGGTGGTGGAATTCGGGGCTCCTCCAGTACACAACCACGTCAGGTTCATTATCTCGGAATGTAAGCCAATCCTTTACACCGACGTATTTGATAATTTCTCAGTCTGTGGAAAAGGTTCAAACCTATGGCGTTCCCGAGCTGACTTCCTACTTCATGATAGGCTCGGAAGTTGTTTTTGGGATCGCTATGCATGTTTTAGTGCTGACGATGAACACCGCATTTGCTGACGCGCTTGGCGTCAGCGGCACCCGGAACCCGTGGACTAAGGTGAGTAGTAGCTCGGGTAAAGGCTTTCACTGTTCGATTTCCAATTTTTCTTTGCTTTATGTCCCTACTTTGATAGCTCTCAGGCAACCTTTTGTCCGAAATAACCTTCATCGGCGTTGCAAGACCATGTCGCGATACATCGATCGTCAGCGGGTGCATCCGAACCCTCGACCGATGAAGGTCGTTTTGTTAAGCTTTGGACGGTGAGTTCGTCGTCCCATACAATCAATTCCATTTCCAACGGGACTCATTGCTGTGATATGACGAGACTAAATGGGATCCCAATAGAAACGCGACTTTGGGATTCTACTACGCACTCAAGATTCTGGGCTACAAGCCATACCATCAGCTCGAAGTCTTCAAGAATGGCGTACCCCACGTTCGCATGATGAACGACGCAGTCCGCGCGAGCTCTCAAGGGATCGGCAAACCTTTCACCCGTGAGGACTTTGACAAGTTCCTGGGCGATTTCGATGCCATCACCGACATCCCCGCATGGTTCCTCGAGGACCTCGTCGCAGCCTACCCTGACGCCAAGTTTGTCCTCACTGAGCGTGATCCCGAGGCGTGGAGAAAGTCCGTGGCCAAGACTTTCCAGCCACTGGGCGAGTTTTGGCTATCGCCTATGATTCGCCTGGTCGGATTGTTCGACTCGTATACGTACTACATCAGCAAACTGACCTACAGCTTCGTCTACGTTCTCTATGGGGGTTATCTAGGGCCCGACAAACAGAAAGCTCAGCGCAAGGCTGTCAAGGTCTATGAGAGACAGTGAGTGCGAAAAAGGATGGTGTTATTTCCGAGCACCTTGCTGACTACACTACTAGCAATAGGATGGTCAAGGAACTCATTCCAGCGGATAAGCTACTCGTGATTAAACTGGAGGAAGGACTTGGATGGGACAAACTTTGTCCTTTCCTCGGTCACGATATTCCAGATGTTCCTTATCCCAGAGTCAATGAAGCAGCAGAGTTCCAGGTCATGGTGATGAAAGACATGATAGCGTCGTGGAAGAAGACTGCGCTCAAGATTGGAAGCTTTCTCGTTCCCTTGATAGGGGCATCGATTTGGCTCTCAAGACAATCTTAGTTGTGCTCATGCCGCCACCTACTTAAGCTAGACGCCTCCACGCAATGATTACATTGGAGAAACCACTATACTACTGGTTGGCCCAAAGAATTATCCTGCTCGCGAACCTTTCTCAACTTAACCATGAATTTTGACTGCCTGACAAAGAATGAGTTCCAGGTTTTCCAGCTCCTTGCATCGTTGTCCAACTCGAACTAAATTCCCTCAGCATCAGCATAAATACCAGTATGCGCAGTGATGGGGCAGCCAAGTTTCAAATCCTGGGCAACGCACCTCATACGTGAGAAGAAGTGTGGGAATAGTCTTGTAGATCTCAAGCAAACTGATGTTTTTACCGATGCAGGTCCGCGGTCCAGCACCGAAAGTGAGAGATGCACTGATCATAAGAGATCTTCTGGTCTTGAAGTCGTCCTCAGACTCGTTGAATCTCTGGAGCCATCTCTCGGGGTCGAACGATTCCAAATTCTCACCAAATACTGGATGACGGTGTACCACCCATGCATTGGCGCCGACAATCGTATCAGATGAAAGGAAAGGCCCGTCTGGTAACTGAAGCCCTCTATCTGGGACAACCCGTTCCAGAAGAAGTCCGACAGGCGGGTGGAGACGGAAGGCCTCCTTGACTACCGCACTGAGATACAGCAACTGCTGGCTTTCTTTCCAGTTGACAGGAAGAGAAAGAGCGCCTTTCTCTCGAGCGAGAAATAGTTCATTCTGAAGGAGGGTCATGCAATGAGGGTTTCTTAGCAGAAAGTACAGGATCGATCGAAGCGCAATGGCTGTAGTATCCGAGCCTGCTGTGACGTTGCTAAGTGTATACTGAAATATCTGACGGTCAGTGACAATAGCAGGATGATTTTGCTTAGCAGCTAAGAAGCGGCGAAGAAAGCCGTCGGCCGTATTTTCGTCATTACTCGGGCCTTTGGAAAGACGTTCCTTTAATGACTTTATCGCAAAACTGGCGATTGCTCCTGTGCCGCATCCAAAGAACATCTTTAGAGGGTTTTTGAGAAGTAAATAGTCGAGCCATGGGATTTGTCCAATCTAAGGTTGTTTCATCATAAGTGGTTAGCAATATTCTTCATCCTTCGAAAATTGGACCGCCGATTCCAAAGAAAAATTGGGTGATACAAACCACAGCAACGTAGTCCTGAGCCCTGAGGAGAGAATCCATGATGCCATCCACGTCCCTTGCTTCGCTTAGAAAGCCCAACGGCCTGCCAAAGGTGATCTTGCCTATCGCATCAAAAGCATCTGTCGTATTCTCAGCAAATTAATCTGTCCGCCTGACTCGACATCAAGCGCACAGTACTGCATCCACGTCCCGATGTCGCAGACTTCCTGGGCTGTAGCAAATTTGTCTAGACGATCAAGTAACACCTTGATGATTTCGTCAACCCCTTTCTCAAGCGCTACTACATTACTCATGGCATAAGTGGAAGAGATTGGTCGTTTAATTGCAGAGTGGTGTTGTTCATCCATTGTTGAAAACAACGTGGGTGCTAATTCTCCTTCGGCCATCTGTTGTGCAACTCGATAGTAGTTACTCTGCAATTAGGTTGTTAGTGAGTAGTCTACCTTGTTCAGAGCAAACACCATCACTGTCACCTTTTTGTAGGGGTTTTTGATGCTGTAAATAGTCTTGAGCACCTCCAAGTTCTGTACACTGACGACTTTGGGACCAAGGCGCACGTATTGCCCATGTTTTGCGTGCAATGCCAAGTGCGTCTCTTGGGCTCGTCCTCTAGCCACGTCAATCAATCTTCACACGTTGGTATATTTAGCAAGGAAGTGCCCTGGTAGAGTTAATGAGTCACTTTGAAAGTAGACTCGAAGGAATAGAATACATAATGCAGCGGCTAAGCAAAACAACGCTTGACTGACAAGGCCAGTCTCGATGATCGAGTATAAAAGATTCATACTCGAGGGCAACACTTAGTTACAACTCAACAGGATCTCTGGGGAATAGGCTTAGATCAACTGAACGGCAAAAATATTCTGCTCTGAACAACTATGTAGAGATTGTCCACTGTGTGGGAGTCTTAAGGAGGTTGAAGATGGCCGCTCCCCGCCTGAAAGCTAATTTCCTTCTGTTGAATATCTGTCTGTAAAGTCATCATTCGAGGAAGACTGTGGGAACGGACAAGCCCGGGGCGAAAATTTGCCTTCTTTTCCGCGCGGCAACCTAGCTCGCGGTCGCATTCGGTCATGGCAAGAATCAGCTCCCCGTCATAGGCCGAGACGGCACTTCTGCTTTGGCCGCGCATGCCGCCTTGTCTTCACATGATGGTAGTTTGCAACCTGTGAAACGGCAGATGGAATAGCCCATTGGAACACGGGTGTTTCTGGTGTTTTCAAAGTTCAAAACTCTAGCATCACGAATGCTTGGGGCTTCGTCGGTCGTGTCGGCCATAGATTGTCTGTCAGCGCCGCCTTTAGCGTATTGACAGTCACTGAAATTCTCCATGTGGCAGTCAGTACTCACTTTGTTGTAGGATGCTCTTATTTTGTAGTATTTCAAGCTTGGAAAAAATTGAACTTTCGGAGACTAGTGCTTCGGCCCTTCTTTGAAAACCCATTACAAATTATGCCTCGGCAACATTTGTGTCTGACCAACCATCCAATTCTCGAACGCATCAACACTTTCCTTCAAGGCATCAAAACCCAGAATGACTCCAAGGTAAGCCGTATCAGCAAGGGTGAAGCCATCAGGCGAAGCTCCTCGAGGTTGTGATCTAAGCCAAGCATCCCTAGACTCCTGAATGGGGCCGTCTTGCAGATGATATGCTCGCTGATTTGACCTCGCTCCCTGAACGTTAATGGTAGTTCTAGACTTTCGTAAGTTCTCGTACATCTCCAGCATGTCCAGTACAGTGTCTCTGGGTCTGTCATGATACAGACTTGAGCTCACCAACTGCCCAAGTAGCTTTCCCAGAACAGCACCATCTTCTACCGCCATTGCTGCGCCCTGCGCTTGATATGTCAGCGTTGGATGGCATGCATCGCCAAGCAAGGCTATGGGACCCTGTTAAAATCAGTCATAACTCTCATACACTCGGTTCATAGAATACTTACCTTCCTCCAAGATCGCAATTCTTCGTGGTGACACAGCTTCCATTTTAAAACAGAAGGGACACATGACAGCATTTTCGTCAGCCTGGGTCGATCGGGTCAGTAATAATACACCAGTGTAAGAGGATTTTAACCGGACCTTTCATCCCAGCCGACGAACAAAGCTCGCATCTCCTCCACATCCCCAGGCGCCTGTCTCATATCTTTGGGGATGTCGTCTGGGCATAGAATGACAAGATTGAACACTTGTCCGCCGCCGATGGGATAAAGAACACAGTGTTTGTTCGGGCCCATCCAGCATTTGACTGTCTTATGCTCGATCAAGTCATCTATCCGAGGGTCTTTCAGATCCTTCATCTGCTGCAAAGTCAAGGTAGCTCGATATGCAAGGTCTCCAGTCTCAGAGGGAGGCGAGGGTCGGCCAAGGATCTGATCCCTCGACCTCGACCAGAGACCTCCACGGTATTAGTAAGGAGGTCTTCCACCAGTCTCGGATAAAAGTAAAGAAATAGCGACCTGAGATATGGGCACAACTAACCATCGGCACCGACGACAACTTCGCCCCTTACGATTTCGCCAGTCACAAGACGCACACTTGAGTTCTCGAAATCAATTGCCACTACCTCCGCGCCAAGTCGCAACTCTACGCCAGCCTCCTTGGCCGCGCTCCATAATACGTCGTGGTAGTGTGGCCGAGCAATTACCCTAAGAGAGAGTTAGACTTGGCTTCATCAGCATCACATCTCGCGCCGAGCGCTAAGTTTGAAGGCCAGAACTGACATCCAAACATCGCCGTAGGACTTCTTCATCTTCTCGCCACCTTCAATCTGGTACAGAACCTCGCCGTCTTTGTATCGAAGGTAGTCAATTGTATCGACCAAAGTAGCCTTGTCTAGCAGTTGAGGTACGAGGCCGAGCTTGCGGAGGATCCGGGCAGCGTTGGGAGGTATCTGTATCCCTGCGCCAACCTATAGAACCCATGCTATCAACGGACCCTTCAATTTTCCAGCTTCACGTTGCATCCAGATGGCACTTACAGGTTGTAAAGCAGGAGCTTGTTCGAGAACCACAACTTCGAGGCCTTCGCGACGACAGGATATGGCGCAAACCAGACCACCGATTCCGGCACCAATAATGACTACCTTCATTTTGATTGCAGCAAACTTACATAAACGTCAGGTATGGGTGTTCCAAGAGTGCAGTTGAAATGTGTGAGCAGAAGGAGCTGTACTGCCTTCCCTAGTAGGATTCATATACGGGATTGCTCCAGCAGAACCAAACCATCATCACAGTGACGCGTAGAGGCTGATGGGAACGACTTTCCAAAAGGGGGAATGCTGACCGATGTCAAAATGAGCTCGGAAAGATGAGTTTACCGCCATTGACCGAGCTTTGCCGATGCGACAGCCAACCGTAACACGACCGACCCTGTGACCATCACCCGCATTCCTCGAAGCTTCATCCCTGTCGGTTTCTTGGAAAGAATCTGCCAGGAAACCTTTCCGGCCACGGCTTTTCCCTCAAGGCGTATGAGAAACAAGGTTCCCATATTGCAAATCCATATATCAAACAATGACAGTGATTACTATCTCGTCGCCGATATGGAGGTAAACATCAGAATCTTGGATAAATGGCCATGCAAAAGCCTTAAGACGGCAATACTTTGACGATTTTTGTGAGCTATCGTCTGACGATCTTCAGACTGCGCCTGGAACGACTGAAGTATCTGTTCGCGCGATCAGAGACAGCCCTTGCGAAGACTTGTGCATAGGCTGATAAAACTCATCGCCAGTTCAATGGAGTTGAGATCTATGCCCGGCAGAATCGTTGAACACGCCCCGGCATACCCTTGAATTTGCCATCGAATTAGACTACATACGACTGCATGTGGCGTCTCGCATCGCTGCATCAGCTAAGCCGAACCCTCGTAACATGAGCACGCTTACTGCATGCCCACATGCACTGCGCCAATTGAGAGTTCAAGTCGCTGATGGCATTATGACTTTCCCGGCATCCTCAATTCTGCCAGTTACAAAACCGAGAGGAACGTTCGGACCCCAAACATGGAGTGAGTCTGGTGCTTCTGGAGACCGTGTAGCTTCAGTGTCCTCGTTGACCAGGTCTCCATCGCAATAATGTTCAAGAATGTTTCCCGAAGTATCGAACCTATGGCGAATCTCAAGTTATTACACTGTTCGGCACATGTTCTTTGGACTCTTGGGAAATGAGCTCATCCTTACCAATAGTCAAATAGTTGGCTGCCCAAGACATGCCGTCCGATTCCCCAGCAGTTGGTGTAACCCTTCTTCAAAAGCCACTCGTGGCCGAGAGCTTGAGTATCCATATCATTGACCTCGAAGCTAGCGTGATGAACAAAAGGTGTCTGACTAAACGGATGGGCGCCGAGAAAAAAGCTCTGTATCTGTGATCAATAGATGCACCAGACATTCCGCGGCTGTGCCACTTACATGGTGGTCAGTGAACGTGCTGTTTCTATCAATATGCATGAAGCAAGTCGTGTCTTTGTTTGTCTGAGGGTCAAAAACCACGTCATTAGGCACCAGGTTCATCAAGCCAGTGTACCACTTCAGCGTTTTCTCGTAAGTTTCCTTGGGGACCATGAACCCATAGTGCCCCAGCTTATGAACTGGACTAGGCCCGTAGTTGAAGCGCTTGAAACGACCTTTTCTTGGCTTTTCGTCAACCAGGTTGGTGAGGGGCCTCTCCTTGTCAGCAATACGGCTTTTGTCCACGTTCTCAATATCGCTTCTTGGGGCCTGGCCGTGAATGAATCCAACATAGTACCCATTTGGATCGATAATGTCCACTCTTTTACCACCACCAGGACCTTCTTCGTCCTGAATGCCTGTAGCTCCAGGGTGATTCGCGGCGACCTCAAGGTCATTCTCGTTCTCAACGACCCAGGTTGCCCCAATAAATGCACGGCGTGAGCCGGGAGATTTTTCAAGTGCATAGACATACGGATCAACACCGAAACCGGCGAAGTAGATGCGTTCCCCCTGCCGAGCCACCTCTCGAAGGCCGAAGTCTTCGAGGAATTGGGCTGCCTTTTCGACGTCAACTTGGTGATACAGCACCGATGCCAGACGGATGACCCTGATCTTCTGTGATGATGAAGCCATGTGTGCGACTCGCATTGAGTGAGGGGTTGGCGGATTTGCTGACAGCGAATCGAATTACATGCAGGCTCTTAGATTAATAAAGAGGCTGCTCGTATATGTAACGCAATGCACTAGATGTCCCAATGGGATTTCCCGCATTTATTGATCGCTGACTGCACCGCGGCCTTGGGCGGGTTTACCGCGAATGCCGCCTGGCCTCTTGACCTACATCTCTCGGAAGAGGCGGGCTCCTGCTGCCAAGAAACCAACTCTATTTGACGGCTTTTCTTTTCGCTGTCTACGGACTCGGGAATGAGAACCTCTCATCTGATTCCTCACTTGATTGCTGATTTCGATTCATTGCTACAGACCGGTGACTCTTCTTACAATTGCTCACACAATTGCACATCTTGGCGACTCACTGTTGTCAATGTCTTTCAATCGACTTGTTCGTTTTGAGGAAGATGGGAGAACGTATTATGGTGATGTAATTGACTTCAGTGATGACAAGGGCTTTGATGTCTTGGAGTTTGGTGGTAGTCCATGGCTAGGCCTAATTTCAACTGGTCGCAAGGTCAAAACTACGAAGGTAATTCATGCACTTTCCCCAACCCAGCATTTGCTTACAGCAGAGACATAGCTTTTATGCCCAATTGAGGCCTGTCCCATCATTATCTGTGTAGGGCTCAACTACAAGCAACATGCAGAAGAAGCAAAGGTCCGCACAATGCCCAAGTTCTACCCTGAGCTCACAAAGTCTGGTGTTCCCGAGGTGAGAAAGTCTTGCTCACGTATCAATCCAATATCTAGTTGAAGGTGCCAATCTTTCCCGTGATTTTCACGAAGCCTAGCGATGCTTTGGCGGGGCCGTTCGACGATATCAAAGTACATCCAGACGCTCAAGCCCAACTCGACTACGAAGGAGAGCTCGTGGTCATCATCAGCCGTGATGCCAAAGATGTCAAGGAAGATCAGGCTCTAGATTACGTGCTGGGATACACAGCTGGGAACGACGTGTCTGCAAGGAACTTCCAACTGCCAGATGCCTCTGGTGGACAATTCTGTTATGCGAAATCTTTTGATGGTTTCGCACCTGTAGGCCCCGCAATTTGGTCAACAGAGTCGGTGCCAGATCCCCAAAAGCTTCATCTCAAGACCATCGTCAATGGGGAGGTGGTCCAAGAGACCGACACAGCTGACATGATTTGGTCGGTAGCCCAGATCATTGCCCACCTCTCTCGAGGCACGACTTTGCGGAGGGGAACGGTGATTATGACGGGCACTCCCTCTAGGGTCGGTTATTTTCGAGGCGCCTTCCTCAAGGACAGTGACTTAGTAGAAGTAGAGATCTCTGGACTGGGGAGAGTCGCGAATCGGATCGTCTTTTGACGCGCAAGAAGTATTACGGGATACATGGAAGATGTCTGAAACGTCGAATGATTACGATTCAGCAAGATTTCTATAATTACAACAGCGGAATAAAGTTGATAAGGGCGTTAAGGTAATTGCGAATCCACCAGAAAATTTGACAGGATGGGAAGAGTAGACAGTTTGAAGGTATCTGTCGCATACATTGAGCTCAGAGGTTCGACTCGAAGCAGTCGAGCCCAGATCTATCGTCGCATAGATATTCCATCTGCAAGGGGGAGCACCAGCTATAGAGCCCCTCGAAGGTATTGGCTGAAAGCTGTGGTGCCTTGCACGCACTATCATCCAGCCCTAACTCAATGTCAAAAAACTTCCCAGGTGACTGGCAAGTGACGTGTGGTTCAGACGCCCCTTCATAGACAGATCCAATGCTAGACTGGCGCATATCCGATCGAGCTTGGTTCGTGGCCTCGAGTGATTCGTTTTGCAGATTCAAGTGGGAATAGTAAATCTTGCAATATTTTCTTATCGAGCATTGTTTCTCGAGAAAGCTTTGATTGCCTACTGACTTGGAAGTGACGAGATCTGCGAGAATTGGCATCATTAGACCGAATGAAAGGTCTCTGTATAGAAAAGAATGCACTCACCCAGCAGCACAGAGCCCAGTTTCCAAAAAGTAGCAAAATGGAAAAGAATTAGGGTTGAAATCTCTTGGTTACATGATTGACTCAATGGCTGTGACGAGGATGAAGATGGGTAAGTGCGGGAAGAGAGCAGTGATCCAGCGAAGAATGGATGACTGAGGGCGATGTATTCAGGATGCCACCGATTGAAGATTCTTGAATAGTCATCTCCAAACCTCTCGATACCCGACGCTGGTGTTGCTGTCAGAGCGGATAAGCACGCTCGAGTGTTTGTCAACATCAAATGGACGCCAATAATCCAATTGGCGTTCGCAAAAGTTTGTCCCCCGAAAGCAGGTGGGTTAGTTTCCAATCCATATCTCTGAGAAACTGCAAGAGAGAAGTAAGTGATTGAGCTCGCCAAATCGCTATGTTCTCGTTGAGGCTTTTGCTGGCCTGAAGCTGCTTCGTACGCTAAAGCCATTAGATAATTGGCCACGAGGAACCATGCTCTTTCGTCTTTGTTCGGAGAGTCGAGCAAGACTTTCCAAGCCTGTGTTGGATCAGGAGGAACTACCGGTGACTCGCATGAATGGTTAGAAAACCACGCTTCATCGCTGGCCGGGAGACGCACAACGATCCTTTGGCTGTTGAGTCCTCGCGGCCTCATTGACAAGATTGAAGCAAACGTATCGATCTCCCATATAAGCCAAAATGCTCTCCGGCGCTCCTCTTCTATCGACCACTCTGTGGATGTCGTCTCCCCGTTACTGCCCTCCTCGTCCATACAGCAGAGGTCCAGGTCGTATGCCAAGCGGACGCATACACCGGTGAGTATCCATGCTTGATGACTTGGACCGGCCGTGTAGAGGTAAAAGGCCAGCAAAATACACCCCTGTAAGTATTCCAACGTCGTTTCGCTATTGGACAACCGCAGTTTGCCGTAGTATTGAATCGCCCGTTCGGCGAAATTATCCCCACGATTCGGTGGTGGCAATCCCTCGTAGTACTCATTATTTGAATGTCGCGCGGCAAGAGCAAAGATGCCATGTAACAACAGGCCCTCTTCCAGCGAGACCTCAAGTAGCCTGCCTTTTTGGAAACTCCCATCGGCCATGTACTTGGTGAAGAAGTTTGGTCGATGAAGCAATGGCAACCACGCTTGAATTTTGTCAAAGTACAAGTTGACGAGCTCTGTCGCCACGTTTTCAGGTATGTGGGTCCGGTTCAAAGTCTCTTCTTTACCTTTTTCAGTACCTCTAGCTTCAATGCCGACTTTTTGGTGAGCTCTGGGTCCAAGACAATGGCTCGCTGAGTTGGCGGGAGTACAGCCTAAAGCCACTATGACGTCCTGCATCGCATCTTCTCGACAAGTCCAGACTGATTCGGAGTAACTAGGGCTCGTAGCACTTGAATGAGCGCTGCATTGCTCTCGTTCTGGAGATTCGCCTGTGGAGCTTTGGCTTTTGGGGGTTTCGTCTAGTCTGGATTCAAGAAGGCTGACAAGATGTTCTGGCAGATGATTAGTATTGACAACAATTGACGTATTTGGCATGAGATTGGGTCTAACCAAGCCTTTGAGGGTCTATCACGTTTGGTTCTTTCTGCTTTGCAGACCGTTTTCGAAATTCAGGGGCTTTCCTCTTTGTCGGGAATGTACAAGACCCTCCTGTTCTCCGACAAAGACCGCATATGGGTTGACGCATGTCGCCTACACCTGTAAGGTCAGTGACATCGATGGGTAAAAACGCGAGAAAATTCAGAGGTCCTTGCATACACCTCGTCTTCTTGCTAATATATGTTAAAAGAGATCAGTATAGGTAAGCCAGTAAGAAAGGAGGAATCAGTGATGTGACTTTGACTCTTGGTCTTTCGGCGGCGACTTACCGCCGGCACTCGATACAAGCGCGAAATCCCCTCTCTGGGGGTACATTTGTAACAATTTGGCTATCTTTCGAGATACGGGAATCTGTCGCCGGTCCAACGCCAGTTGTACTTGTTTCGACCTCCATCTGGATCAAGCCTATGTAATGATGCTGGGGGAGGCGTTCGTAACTTTAGGGTTGCAAGCTGTACACAGTTAGGACGAGAATGACCTCAGGAATCGTAAGAACTTTGAAAATTTGTAGCGAATATCCTCAACGCTCAAGCCACGACGATGAGCGTGTCGATGTATGAATGAAGCAAGTTCAAGCAACTTGTAGATGTGCCCCGCTGGCTACCCCAGATTCCAGGTGAGGGGGCTTCCGGGGTTCACGGGATGTGATGCAGGGGCTGCTTGGGCACAGGCCGCTTCAACTGGAGCTAGATCGGCAACGCACTCCCCATAAGGTAATTAAAATCGACCCTCTTTTACATGTACTAATTATTTTTGACCTATAACACCTTCGAAAAATTCATTCGATTAACCATCTGCGAAGCTCTGGTCTTCTCGTGTTATTCTCTCGGCATTCGCAAGTCTGTATGTCACGTCTCAATATAATGATATATTGAAAGCATGCAGTTTCCGACTGAAAATGACATCATGCGTGAATGTGTCAAGATAATTGAACCTGAACAACTCCGAACTTTAAAGTTACTGAGATGACTACTTACTTTAGGTACATAGACACTTAGTACCTGTGTGGGTGGGGACGGCCAACCACGGCGTTCCGAGATGCCGTCTTTGGCGGGCACATTGATACATTGGCTATGCACGTGCGAGCAAGTGAAAGTACACAGACGAGGGTACGGCCGGACGGAGATCACGGCGGTGAATGCCGGCACGGTGGGGGTATTCAACAATATGCTCGCCCGATCGAGGTTCTATTGTACAAAAAGCCTATAATCACTAAAGGAAGACATTGTCGCCTGTCTGAGAAAAGTGACTTCGGCCGAGAATTCGCTGGTCACATGCAGAATCGAAATTTTTGACTGTACTAACCATGGGTTCAAGAAGTGTACGTCAACTCTTGCTGCTCGACTGCCCAAATCAACTTTCTTATAACTGATTTCGCAGGTAATTGAGCGTCATGTACCGGTCCTGGTCATTGGCGCTGGCCCCGCTGGTTTGCTTCTGGCCCTGCAGCTAGCGAAGAACGGTGTTCGAAGCTTGCTAGCTGAAAGAAACCTAGAATCAACCAAATGGCCAAAAATGGATATCACTAATTGTCGAAGCATGGAGCTGTTAAGGAGACTTGGGATTGCCGATGACTTGCGGGCTCAAGGCGTTCCGCAGCACTTCTCTTTCAACGTCCTCTTCAGTACGGGCCTCTCGGAAAATGGAGAGCTTATTAGCAAATGGGTAAGCTGTTGCTTGCCCGGATACTCCTGCTAGGTCAATGGCTCTGTATTGCTCACGAGATAGTAGGATCTTCCTTCGCCAAACGAATGGCGCCAGCGTATCAGTGCTTGCAATGATGGCTCCATGCCAAGGGAGCCATACCAGCGCTGCAGTCAGGCTATCTTTGAAGCCTGGCTAAAGCGTCGCATAGAGTCTGAAGAGCTAGTTGAAAGTCACTTCGGCCTCAAATTCGAAGGTTGTACGGAAACCTCTGACGGTGTGAAATCGGAACTCGTCAACATCATCACTGGAGAGAGGCACCTGGTCTCCAGTCGGTATCTACTTGGCTGTGATGGCGCTGGCAGTAGCGTCCGTCGGCAACTTGACATCAAGATGATTGGTGGTCCTGTGTGAGTTAGCACGGATTTCTATTGAAGATTAGCAACTTTGAGTCTCTAATATGATATTCTCCAGCCCTTCTGCGATGTATCTCATTCACTTCAAGTCGCGAGATCTCACAGCGTTGCACAAACAAGGCCAATTTTGGCATATCTTCTTCACCAGCGGTAGTGTCATAATATCTCAAGACGAAATTGATACATGGACCATTCATCTTCCCATATCTCTCGACACTGATTGGAAATCTCTTGATCCAATAGAGTCCATATACCGAGGACTAGGCGGGTCTATGGCTCCTTATCCTATCAAGGTGGACGAAATCCTCGTTTGCAGCTCGTGGCGCCCAAACATTGCTATTGCTGAGCGCTTTGCTTCGGAAAGTTTCAGAGTGTTCCTAGCTGGAGACGCAGCTCACCAAAACATTCCTACTGGTGGATACGGCATGAATACGGCTGTCGGCGACGTCTTTGATTTAGGATGGAAACTATCGGCTGTTCTTAATGGCTGGGGAGGGCAAGTACTTCTCCGCTCCTACGAAGTCGAACGAAAACCGGTTGCAGTTCGCAACATCGAACGGTCAGGTCAACATTTTCAGGTTCATCAGACGTACGTCAAGTGGGTAGCCGACGAAGGCCCTGGTGTCCTCTCCAATGGGGAGGAGTGCAAACTTCTGCTTAGCCGCATGAAGGCACATACCGAGTGCCACCAAGGTGAGAATAAGGACCACGGAATCGAAATGGGATATCGGTACAACGGATCGCCTGTCATCCTTCAGAACGAAGCTGAAGAAGAGGAACAGGAGCCATCTTGGAATCCAAGAACATTTGTGCCATCTTCATGGTCCGGTGGACGTGCTCCTCATGTCTACCTTAAGGATGGCAAAACCAGTATTTTCGACCTGTTTGGAGCAGAATTTTCAATCATTGACTTCACAGAAGCTGGGACTTGGAGTCAAGAGTTTGAGGCTACAGCTGGAATGCTCAATATCCCACTGAAGAAGATTCATTTGCCCGAAGAAGCCCAAGCTAGGAAAGTATGGAGTAGGGACGCGGTTCTCATTCGTCCTGATGATCACATAGCCTGGAGGTCATCACTCGACGGGAAGAGACCGGATGTCAGAGCAGTTCTAGAGATTGCATCAGGGAAGCAACGGAAGACACAGGCGAAAGAAGACTGCGGATCTTCTTATGCATTGGAGGGCATCAAACAGCATGGATTTACATCAACCTTGGGCAACGTCGCAGACAACAGAACTGACCTCCTTGCCCAGTTTCAGCACTAAAACATCACTAGACTCCCAAAATTCCGTAGCAAACTATTCTGTTACTAGGTCTATGTCATAATTGTCGTGAAAGCGATTCAGAGAATCGCATCATGAGCTTTGTAGGAATAGCAAGCGCTCCCCTACGTGTCTGTTCGTCAAAGAAATGCCATCCCAGTGTCACAATGATTTTCTCCTTCCTTTCTTCGTTCATCGCTCCCCTATTCCTTCCTAAAGTGATCCAATTAACGCCGACTCTCTTGTGTCAAAGATATTTTCATGACCATAAACAAAGAAGCGCATTTGGCTATGCCCACAAGATAACGTCGGTGGAACGCAGGGCTGTGGAAAAACTGGAAATGCAATCTGCTCCCAATGTTATGCGAAAAGCCAACCATGAACTGCTTCATTTACTGCCTGTACAACTGTTAGTCCCGGGCTGCTAAAGACATTCTTCCGAGAACTCACTTGCGTCCCGACGATCTGAACGACACAGTGACCTCAGATCCATCCTTCAAGTAACTGACTTCACGCGTGAGGTCGTCAACCTGCTTCATCGTGGTATCCAACTTCTGCACAGTCTCCACAATCGTTTGCTGATGGAGATCCAGTCGGTGGGAGGAATTGGACAGATTAGTGCCCATCGGCGTGCTCTTCTGGAGGTTCTTGTAGTGCGCCTCCATCGCGCGGAACTCCTGGGTCTCAGAAAGCAAGAAGTTGAGCTTAATGGTGATCTCAGCCAGGGATTTTTCAATTTCGCTGCGCCATTTGCGAACCTCTTCGACTTCGGGGTTGGCGGTGGGAGATGCCGGGGCCTTCGATATGTTCTCTGTCAATAGGACATCGGGCCAGTGGACACTGCTCATCTGACCCTAGAGTAGCAGGTCGTAAGTATTACGCCTTTCAGAGAAACTGGGCTCATTGAATACCAGAGGAGGTACAGATCGAGCTCCTGGGAACTGTCCCGGCATCTTGGGCCAGTCTCCCATTGCAGTCTCCCGCTGTCGCTTGTTGTTGGGGACTTGGCGGTCCATCTGACTTGATGTGATCGCAAACGACCTCGGACCTGCCGATAAATGCCACGCACCGCGTATGATGCTTCTTCGGGTACAGTATTCGTGCAGAGACAATAAGTCTCGCGTGTCGTGCAGTTGGTGATACTGAGTTGGCAGGAGCTTTTTGCTATTTCGCGGAAGAGGCTCAGTATGGTTTTGGTGGGAAGAACGATAAGAACGGAGGGAATGAGGAGAATTGAGAGAGTCAAGTTGAGGAAAGGAAAGATTGCTCCTTGGAGAAGCGGCGTGTGATTGTCTTGGTTACCAAGGCCGGCTTCACCTCCCACCTGGCCACCCAGAGGTTTTACACGTCTGGCAGGCACGGCACCGGCAGCATGGAATATCTATTTGATGTGCGACCTATTAAGCCCTTAGCCCTAATTTCCCACTCATATCACCTCTCTTTCTTGTGCATCTCGTGATCTTACTCAACCTGCGCAAAGGTGAAGTTGATGGTGGAGTGAGGCCTTACAGGGTCCCACAATTACCCCTTTTGGACAAAGACGGCGAAGCGAAGTTCAGACGAACAAACGGCAACTTCCTTTGCTGCCTACGGGGGCAGACGGGCCGTAAACGTAATCACAATGTTCCGTTTAGCCGCTGGATGTTTGGTAATCTCCATTAACTTTCATATGAGACCTCGCACTTGGCCGCAATAGGGTCCAATATCTATGTTACAACAGGCTATCGCAGTTTGACCTACTGTTGCAACAAGTGGAAGAAAGAAGGGTCTCGAATCACAGACAAGAGGGAAATATCCTGCCCAGGTTAGTCTAGCACCTTCAAGATGTAGTAAACTAGCCTAAGTAGCATAAATGAAGACCACAAATGACGTCTATTGAAACAATCACAGGAAGATTATTCCTAACGGCACCGGCCGGAACCCCAGACACGCCCGCTACAACATATATTTGAAGTGTATATATCCTCTGTGACCTCGTGAAGCGGTGGATGAATGTTGTCGCATCCAACAAAAAGGAAGTCAGCGAGCCACAACCGAGTCAAGCTGAACTCTCAGAACCAGGCTGGCCTTGACTGTCGCTTGTCAGGCCGTCCGAATTGGGATGTCTGCTCATGCACAGACAAACTTGACTTTAGCAGCAAAAGCTTACCAGCCCAACGGTCAATGCCGTTGAAATCTTCCCACTTTCCGATTCATCAGAAGCTTGAACTCTCGGGAAGCGCAACTGGAGAGCTGATTGGAGCTGTGGAACACCAGCTGGCTAGCTTGATTTTCGGGAGGCCACCGCCGAGAATCTAAATTGTGATAGCCTTAATCAATAATCTTAAAATTCAAAAGACTTAGTGGAATCTTCTTTTGAGCTTGATTCTAATTCTTAAACTGCGACCCTGAACGAAAATTATTTGTTCCCCTTTCGAATACCCTAAGCCGGGGCCTAAATGTTGTATTCCGTTTATCCGCTTGCGTGGCGTATGCATCGTAAAAAGACTGGGACATCGCCATCCCATAAACTTCCGTATGCCCTACGATGATCCCTGCGAGGATGTATCAGTTTGGGAGCACTATGAGTAGGGCTGCCAGGTCAGGAGCCGGACAGGTGGATACAACACCCTTCTTGAAGTGCCTTTGGTCTCAACAAATGTGTGTTCAAGTTGGTCTACGAGGACCACCACCCACACCACCTATTGACCTACTATGGCTTATCGTAGTCGCCAAGGCTGGCTACCCGCCTTGGCTGTACTCTTGGCGCGTGGTATGAGCTGCAGATATCTCACGAACACTACCGCAGATGAGCCTCACCACACCAAGCATTGCGAATGGGGGCTTGTCGGTACTTGGCAGCGCTTGGCGCTTGGTTCTTGGCCTTCCATAAATAATCCTCCAAGCGCAAGTTCGCAGCAGATTTGCAAACGCCTGCACACAGCCACTCTAAGCTGTTCTTGCCATTGTGCCCCATGACGAATCTGTCTTGTCTAACTTGCCTCTCGGTCTCCTCACTACTCTCTGGGTACGACTTTTTGGTCTCTGGTATAATTTTGCCTTTGTTGATCACCCGGAGCCGAGATGACAGAGTTGCCCCTGTGTTTAGGCTGGCTTAGTCTTTCGGCACCGGCTAGCCATCTCTCTGACCTTGGATTGGGCTGCCTGCCTGCCAGCCACCTTTGAGGCTCGCGGATCCAGCCGACAGCGATTCCGAAGGCATGAAGGGAAAAGATCAGACACAGCTGCTGCTGCCCTCCCTCACTCCCAGCCTGAAAGTTGGCCCAACGCCCGTTTGTTGCCTTGAATCGGGGAGGGAAAGTGTAGTTCAAAGCACACACCCGAGTTAGTGCCGTGCGTAGCCCGCGCGCGCGCCGGTTGGTGTTGGCCGACCTGGACTAGGCGCAGCAGGGATCCGTGTGGAGGGGAAGCTAAGAAAAATGTCCGAACACCAAAACAAAATCCCACTTGTAGCCGCAAAGCTTTGGCTTACCGGAGAGTGACATGTTCGCAGCTGGAAACAGACTAGGTTGCCCTTGGTTAGGGCGTCTGGGCCTTCTCAAGTGGGAATGGTGGTAAGTTTGCTGATATGGCAGAGAGGGACTTATTTTCTGCTCTACATACAAGAACGAGGAAGGCATCGCAGTAAAGTCAAAGTTGCGGTATCTTCGGATAAGGAGGGCGGGAATTTGAGATGACACGCAGCTTTAGGGCTACCCAACGTTCGGCTCTGGCCCATTACTTGTCTCGGCGATGAGAGTCAAAATTGCGCCAGTTTGTAACTCCCATGAAGCTCCCATGATGGAGATCAATCATTAATCAAAGTTGATTCAATACCAGTGGATCCGATGATCTAGGGAAACACCGTCGTATTACATGCATCTTAATGACTCTTCATGAGAGGGCCTCGGGAGCGAGGCGACGGCCGAAAGGTTAAACGGCGTAGTGCCGGTAGCAGGTCCGCGGGTGCACGCCAGTGGTGCAATGGTCAGTAAACAGGTAAACCGCAACCAGATGGAGCTGATATTACCGCTCAACCGCGAAGCTGGAAGTTGTAAGCTAGCCCAGTGTGGCCGTAGTCCTCGGGGACCTCGTTGCAGGTGTCGTCCGGCCCTGCTGCGTCTATGCTGGCGTGACTTCACGGACCAGGTGTGGAGAGTAAACAGTGAAAGTTGGAAGAGAGAGTGTTTGCGTGTTCCAAGGCAAGTTGAGGAAGAGAAAGGAGGGGGTTCAAGGTTTGTTTCACCCCCGGACAGAGTTCGCCGCTCGCGGCCAATCCCCGCCGACGGCCATCCCCCATCAACGACTCTCCTAAACTTCTGGACGACAGCTTATCAACTGGACTCAAGGCAATGCGTGTCTCAGGAGGACGCTGGAAATTCGGCCTACTCGATGGTGAAAGGCAAGTACAGCCCGTCTTGAATGTACGCGGGGACGTACGTCGTCTGAATTGTTGTGCCCCGTGCATGCCGAGAGCGACATCGAGATCAGTGTCTTTAAGCCTTCCAGCTCAGCACTCGCAGCAATTCGCAGCTTGGCACCCCCTTGTATTCGAGGCGTACGAAAGACAGAAGCTTTGGATGTCTCCCCGTATGTCGTCTCTTCCCCCCAATACGCACGCACTGAAACGACGTGGACTAACCATCAATGCTCAGACCGCCAGAGGGGTTGGGCTCTGCAAGGCACGGTCGAAGCTAGAAGATGGTGAGGGATCATGACGTTCCGGGAGAAGGGAAACGAGGCGTAAATAAGAGTCATCGTGCTCCCGTATCACTTCTCTGTTGTTCGTCCCGAGCGTGACTCTCTACTTCAAGAGCGTGCCAAGCAACCATGGGATAAGGGACCCTGATCACGATCACTACATTCAACAACTCAACATGAACACCTTCAACCCTCGTCGGGTCTCGTACCTCAGGCCGCCTACCACGGTCATTGAGGTGCGCGAGTCTTGGGCGTCGCCATACCCTTCGCTCAGCTCCATCGGATATCCCCCTTCAGAAAGATCGGCCGACGAGAGGTTCGCATCTGCTGTTTGGAAACGGACATTCAACCATGTCGACTACGCAGCGTACAAGGCAGCCTGCGACGCTGAGAGAGAGGCGAAGCCAGAACGGGACCCCGATGTCTTCTCAACCACATCGAGTGGAACACGGAAAGGTTTCTCAAGACTGGGTGCAATGCTCACCATCTACCCCTATCGCGATATGGGATGGCTTGTTACCATGGTCTTCATCGGAGCCGGGATCTGCCTCTCCCTAAACGGCGTCTTTAGCCTTATCCATCTTCTGGACCCTAAGCTCGACTTTCCTGGACGCGACACAGGAGTACAGGTCACTGTTACCCTAGGTAGCGCTCTGCTTGCCCTCAGTGCCTTCATGGGTCTGCTTGCTGCATTCAATGTCGATCGAGGCATCTTGGACCCGAAAAAGGATGCCCCCGATGCTTATAAGCCAGCGCTTCTGGGCAGCGAAGAATGGGTCTGGTGGCCCAGCTGGTACGAATTCCGCAACATTTTCTGGCCAAGCTCAGCTTTCCGCGCCGGTATTCTCCAACTACTCGCCGGCTCCTTCTTCACCATCGCCGCGATCGCCATTCTACCTGGCGTCCTCGACCTCACACACCCCGACGCCTCCATCATCTTCGTATCTGCACCTCAGCTTATTGGCGGCAGCCTTTTCGTGCTTGCTGGCCTACTCATGATCTTCTTGTCCCAGGACAAGTGGTATGTGCCGAAGCTGCTTGACGCTAGTTGGCAAAATGGATTCTGGAATTTGGTTGGCGCAAGTGGATTTTTGGCTATCGGCGTTGTGACTTTGCTCGCAAAGACTGCGACTGTGGCGATTGCCTCACTGTTTCTTATGAGCGGACTCGGGTTCTTGATTGCCAGTCTGATCCAGTGGTACATCATCATGGAGTTCTACCCGGTCGATCCTTACGTGAAGGATCCGACGCAGGTGGCAGAGATTCCATCGCAATCAATCTATTAACGACACTTTTATGAATATGGAACAGGGGTTAACGGGGTTCAAGGATGGGCTTATACCAGAAGTAAAACAGATTTTAGACACCGACTCAGATTATAATTGATGATTTAATGACTTATCTGAAAGGCCACCCTCTTACGCAACGTGACACGGACGAGAAACATGAAGGTGTACAGCTCGTGGTCGAGGTCCGATGACGCGGCAGATTTTCACAATTTGCCATCGTTTTTGACGCAAAGGAATCCAAATGGTTATCCTCTCGGAATTGGCCCCGAATCCGAAGAAAATGGCTCACAATAGATAGAATTTCTTCCTTCGATTTCCACCTAAATCTTCATGTGTACAGACTTGTCCTAGAATGCATGGTAAGAGGAACGGACAATCAGTTCATTACATCGCATAATGACTCTCCTGCTTGTCCCCCACAAGTCATGGGACGGTCATGGAAAGTCCGATCTTATGATCGATCTACGGCTAATCTTTCTACCTAAAACCCGGTCTACGCCCCGTCCGACCTTCTTGTCAGGCCTTCACAAAATAGTGCCATGACCACTCCCATCCTTAACCCCGCCTGCCCTCAAGCCAAATTGTCGTGTGCGGTGACAAGTCCTCCCATTGATTACGGGATCATCACGACACCCACATGAACCCCTTTACTTCTGAGCTCTGCGAGCAGCAATGGTGTAGAAGAGGCTGCCATCGTAGATACCTCGAATATCTTCCTTAGTCATTCTGCCGTCTGCCGGCCAAAGCATAAGGTATGTAGCAAACCCTGCTTGTTGGTTAGTATCGGGTAATCAAGCGTCCATGTAAAGTGCCAGAAGAGGACTCACATTCAAAGAATGCACCGCCCCAACCAATTGGATCAGCAACGAGCCTTTGACCCTTCAGCATCGCAAAAACGTCCCAGATTGTCATGTAGTCTCTTCCCTCGGCGTACTTGGAAAAGATATCCTCAAACTTCTGCGGATTGAATCGACCCTCGGTATCGTACGTGTTAGTGTCACTACCGTGCTTGTCCTTGTGGACTCTGTCGAGAAAGATGCGGAAGAGAGGGTCCGGCAAATATCCGCTCACTGTCGGATAAGAAAAGTTGCCGTGGATGATGAAGACCGAGAGAACTGAGAGGATAACTCCGAACCCCAATGCGTAGAATCCCCAGAACGTATCAAGGGGATAGATTATCCCATCTTTGTCCTGATAATCTCAGTTAGCTCTGTCTGTTCAACCGCGAGGCAGGGAATTGAATACACTATCAAAGAACTCGCAATGTTGTTGCAACACTGTTTGGTGACGGTGCCTTTGCGCCCAATTATGTTCCGTCGTGCCGTTTGGTTTCTCGTAGGTTGCAGCAATATTAGCCCTAGGAGTACCTGCCAGTCATTAGTGCCTTACCCTCACGAGATCTTGTGATTTCATAATCATACCCGTGTGTACCAGCTTCTGATCCTCCTCTGGTTGCAAGAACGGTCTACGCTGCTGCGTGACTGGGACCTCCGGAATGGACCAAATCACCGGTTCTCCAAGCTTGTCAGCCTGTTTTTTAGCCGGCTTCTGCGGCCTCTGCGGCTTCTCCATTTTCGTGTAGTTATGGTCTTCGAGGGTGGCCATGGTCACAGCGCTTTTAGATCAAGTTGGTAAGAATAGTATGAGCCAGTCAGAACAATCAGATTAGAAAATACCTGGTTTGCGGTGGCATATATCATGCAATCTTGAGCTACGCGAGCTAAGACATTTCCGACAATGCGCTGTTCATCGTGACGTCACTGAGCCCGTTTAAATACCTCAGACCATCGCGGTGTTCAGGCCATATAATCCGTCTTGATTCTCATGTGTCACTTCTGCATGTGATAATTGGTCTCGTTGCATTCCTCTTCATGCTGCTTGTTGCTGACGGATGGGGTCGACAGTAGCTCTGGGGAGCTATGTTGCTGCTCTTGATAGGTCGCTTCGAGCCGCATTCCTGCATTGGTGAACCATCTCGGGCCGACCACGACCCTGACGGATTGGGCAGAACAATGAGACAGCATAGTCACATTTAGGTACCTTAATATTGCCATGGTAACAGGATGTCACCTCCCCGTCACACAACAAGACATCATGCTTCTTCCAAGCAGCGTACATGTGATGTAAGGTACTCAAACCTCACTTCACCGGAAGCGGATTGTCCGCCCATGCTTTGATTGAATCTCGGGGTCATTTAATAAGCCGTGTTGACTAGATGCATTGTAAGAGATACTTTTAAGGCCCTAGCAGCCTGACAAAATGAAAAATCCTAAACCACTCGGATTAGGAAGTTACATGTTCACAAAAACATGGACGGCGGCGATGGCAAATTGAGCAACGAGATTGGCCATACCGAAATTATGCTGAAGCAGAAATCTAGTCAGACAACGTCTTCCGCAATTGATTCCCTGGAGTTGTTGGTAGAAGCAAGACAAGGTGGCTTCAAATCGCATTTCATTTACTCACGATTGTGACGTGTTCGGGCTTCGTATCTGGCCAGTCATCATGATCGTCGTGCAATCCTTCCAAAGCCGCTTCGTAAGATCTCATGCAAGACTACAGCATTGTATTCCAGCAGCAAATCATGAAGTAACTTTCAGCTAACAGTCGATAAGCGGCAAAATGATCCAAAGAAGCACGGGAAGCGTGCTACATCTGAGACAGTTGGCTTCAACATACGTGATTGCAGTGCTTGGGTTTGATTATTCCGTGTGTGGAGGGCGCTATGAGAATTTGCTGGATTCCGTCACATGATTGATAACATGGCAGAGTGAAGGTTCCTTTACAGACAACTCGAGCATTGAGGGACAGAGAATAGGAAAGTGGGAAGGCGACAACCACATGACCAACGACGGAGTTCTCATATGGAGGTTGGCTGCGTACAATGTCCATCATTTCATAAGTAACCCAGCTTCTGTCATCTTACATAATAGTCATGCTCCAATAGATTGGCGATAATCCAATGGCTGAGAGATCTTAACGACATCTGCATTCAGTTACGATGCAGTCATGAACTAGCGTAATGGTAAGTTTGGTAAGTTCTTCGGCGACCGAAAATTCGCGCGAGGGCAAACTTTTGAGACTGAATGCCACTATCCAAGTCATATCGCCTCTTTCCTCTAAGCCAAGGCCGTCGTGCTGTTCGTGCAAGTTTGTGCAACAACCAGAGCAGACCCCATGATGATCTTTGCGAGACGAACAGGTCGCGAGGAGGGTTGCCGGCCTTTATTTACGAAACCCGTCAGCATGAACAGACATGCTCAGGTGCAGTGGTAGGAATTCAGGCCAAGATCGTGACCATGGGATGATCAGGTCATCGCCGCATCAGCTTTTCTCACAGTTGCCGCCCGTGTGGTCCCCGAAGACACCAGCAACCTGCCATACCTCTTTTGGGGTCCTGCTCGTTGGCTTTTGGCGGCAGGTCGTGAACGCTTGGACAGTGCTCGGGCTCGAACCACTTGGCGGCAACGGCTTACCCGTCATGAACAAAAGACGTCGGTTCGTCAGTGCAGTGAAACAAGAGTCGCGCAGACATGCGTCCCCGAGCTGAAAATAAACAAACGGCGTCCTGCCGACTATCATTCTGTCTTGTCTGCCCTTGCCGACCAACTGAAGAAACACGTTCGTCTCTTGGCGGCATAGCACAAACGTCACAGCTGCATCGACCAAGTGATCGCGAGGAGCTCGTCCGTCTACCATCAGTGCGGCCCAATGACACTGGGGCATTCGGCATGCACGACCGTTGAGCCTTGGTCTCGCACTAATTCCACCTGTTTTTCCGGGGCGCAATTTCTCGACGTTCTGAGCGCGAGGTGGACTACGTGTCGAAGCTTCGCTGGTTGTCAAGTTCATCTCAACTCATTCCTTCAGAGCTTGCGAGGGTGTTTGAGTCTAGCTATCCCGTAGATGTTAACTCTGCAAGACTGCGAAACGAATAATCCATTGATTTCATAGTAAGAATACAGGGATGGCTCGGGGCATGGGTGATAGACCAACTCAGGCGGTTGGAAATGGAAAGGCACACTGTGGGAATGGCCTTGATCAGACCTCACCTGCGTTCGTATCTTATCTGACGTCGGTTCACACACAATGTTCCTTCGTGATCTAGAAGATCCAACGGCTTTCGACTCGCAACGTGGGAACAGATCTGCAACCGGTAGATAGCCATCAGATGGCGAGCTTGCATCTCACATAGACTGAGTTCATTTTACCAAAGATTGATTTATGTACTCTGAACGATCACGCTAAACTGTGACTCCCGCCTAGATCAGATCTTATGAAATCGTGAGCAACTCACTTATAAGAGACGCCTGTCAACCTCGTGTGGCAATTCGTGTCTCATTAGAGTGAGGCAGTGGCTACCGGATCTATTCACCGGACCATTTCGGCGTCTGGAAATAAAAAAGAACGCTTCCGTTGTGTCATCACTTGCAGGAGCAAAAGGATATGATCAGTGGGAGGCTTGAACTCCCGGCCTTGGCATTACTTGACATTTTCTTATGAAATATTAGTACCACGCTCTAACCAACTGAGCTAACCGACCATTTGGTTATTGACGACGAGGATGCAGAAATTTCGTAATATGGAGCTTCGTTGTGGAGTCTTGGGTGAGTCATTTCCAAGAATTCTCTAATCGACGGGGGCTCGGTGTTTTGCGCAAATTGCAATGACAGTGCGGAGACATCTCGCGTCAAATAACGTTTGCGGTCGAATTGCGACCTGCCGATAGAGTAGGGAGTTGAATAAAGAGCAAGCTGAGCTCAAGAAACGAGGTGATCATCTCTTTTGACATCCATTAAGAACGGTTTTCTGTGAGTGCTAAGGGTTGGTTTACTGATCACCTATCATCGGGCAAATAGCATCCGAGAAGGCGATCATCGTAATCCTTGGCCCGCTGTTTTTCTTTTTTGGTCTGCGCCGGCAAAAGCCTTCTTTAAGCAGGGCAGAGAAAAATAAGTTAGGAATCATTGTAGTCTGGACTTTGCCGAACCTGGTGTTAACGAGCAAAGAGCATGGCAGCTCATACGCGTAAAGCCAGACCGCCAGACCATCATGACGTCGCAAGAGCCCGATGGTGCCAGGTTCTCCCTTCGGATCCGGATCCGAAACTCCGCGATGGTTCCTAGCCCCGGAGGGCGCGCCATGTGGCCCTCCCCCAGAGCTTGCAGGGCTAGAGTCGCACCAGGAACCAGGCACAAGTCCCCCGCTCCTATCAAGGGGGAAAGCTTCTCACTCGTGTCACCCAACGGCAGCCCAAAAGAGGCAAAGCTGAGTGTCACGCAATGACCCTGACCGCCGGCCGAGGGAGAGGCGTCTGTCTCTGCTTTACTTCTCCCAGCGAGGGCCCTTTTCTACTCTCCGTTTCCTAAAACATCCATTCCATCCGGACCATTCCATCCGGAAACCTTCCATCACGATCATTACACTCGAACACGCCTTGTTCAACACGTGACCCAAACTCTTAGCAACGGCCTCGGAGAATCGAGCTCAAAGGCATAGAACATTTGTGCCGGCCCTCTTTGCTTCTACCCCGGATTCTTGAAACCTGAACCCGGTCACATCAACCAACCCACGCCCGGATGTGCTCTCGCCCTGCCATGTGTTAAAGCATCGCTCGACATCGACAAGGCTGTGCACTTTTCCTCGCTGAAGTGACGAACGACAATGGACAAAACCGATCCCGCCATCATGGACTCGGGGGCCCGAGAGCCAACGTGCATCAATGCTTCGCATCCCCGAGCTGCAGAAGATGAGAAGATCTCTCTCCATTTGAATGGCCAGCCCTGCAGCTTCTTGACCGGCGAAATCATGCCCGATGAGACCCAATTTCTTCACTCTACCAAGGAATCCAAGGAAGCAGATTACGCTAGCCAACAACACCCTACAACTCAACAACCAACCAGGCTTGCCGCCCTCTTTCCCCCGCTGCAAAGATGTACGAAACCATGGACTACAGGCGCGTTCGCGTTGTACCTCACGGGCCTCATCCTAATCTCGGCCTACTCTGCCAGCAAGCTATTCGACGCCGGCAACTGGCTAGCCCGTCGACCAGCACAGCCAGCGGCGCCAGCAGCTGCTTCTCCGGCCTCTCGGATCTCACCAGCCTCCCCAGTCCGGAACTGGGATGCGGCCGCCTCCAAGGCGACGGCCTTTGTGGCCCAGCTCAACCTCACCGAAAAGACGCTGATGGTCACTGGCCAGCTCGGACTTGAGGCCGGCGGTTGCATTGGCAACATCGTGCCGATCGAGCGCGTCGGGTTCCCCGGACTCTGCTTGCTCGACGGCCCCACGGCGCTGGACCGCGCCGATCTCGTCAGCGTCTTTCCCGCTGGTCTCACCACGGCCGCGAGCTGGGATAAAGAGCTCATCTACCAGCGCGGAAAGGCGCTCGGCGAGGAGTTTCACGATAAAGGCGTCCATGTTGGACTTGGGTGAGTTTTGAATTTACTTGAACATTGTCTCAATAGCATGCTAATGAGCTATGCAGCCCGGTCGCTGGTCCACTTGGACGCCAACCCCTGGGAGGCCGCAATTGGGAAGGATTCTCAGTTGATCCCTACCTCACGGGAATCGCGATGCAACTCACTATCCAAGGAATGCAGTCAGCAGGCGTGCAAGCTTGCGCGAAGCACTTCGTTGGAAATGAACAGGAAACCCAGCGAACCAACTCGTGGCTCGCAAACGGCACAGAGATCGCAGCGATTTCGTCCAATATCGACGATCGCACTCTGCATGAGTTGTACCTGTGGCCTTTTGCGGACTCTGTCCGCGCCGGGGTTGCGAGCGTAATGTGCAGCTACAACAGACTCAACCAAACCTACGCGTGCGAAAATTCGGGCTTGCTGAATGACATCCTCAAGACGGAGCTGGCCTTCAAGGGATATGTCATGTCCGACTGGTTCGCGACGCATTCCGGGGCCGAGTCTATCAACAACGGCTTGGATATGAACATGCCTGGGCCCATTGGCCATACCCAGATCGTGTCTGGCGAGACATACTGGGGTCCCAACATCACTGATATGATCAAGCATGGTTCAGTCACAGAAGACCGTCTTGATGAGATGATCCGGCTAATCATGACACAATACTATCTATTCGACCAGGATAGCTCCGATTATCCCACTGTCGACCCATCCATCGTCTTCACAATTGCAGCTCAGTCAAACCTGCTAGACTTGCTCCCCTTCCAGCCACCACCAAGCCGCGATGTCCAGCGAGACCACGGCAAGCTGATCCGCAAGCTCGGTGCTGAAGCAACAGTCCTCCTCAAAAACCTCAATGGGACTTTGCCCCTTGGTAAACCCACAAATATTGGCGTTTTTGGCAACGACGCCGCCGACCCGGCTGATGGTCTCGTCTTCGGTGCCGGATTTGAAATCGGCACGCTCTCCGTAGGAGGCGGCTCAGGCACAGGGAGACACACCTACCTCATCTCCCCGCTCGAGGCAATCAAGGCCAAGGCGCGCACGACAGGCGCTCGCGTGCAGTACATACTAGACAATAAGGTCCTGGCTGCTGGCGACTTTAGCAGCTTGTACCCTATTCCTGAAGTTTGTCTCGTTTTCCTCAACACGTTCGCGTCAGAGGCGTACGATAGGACGAGTCACGATGCAGACTGGAACTCGACGCTGGCCGTCGAGAACGTCGCCAGGAGGTGTCCTAATACTATTGTCGTGACACATTCGGCTGGTATCAATACCTTGCCCTGGGCGGACAACCCAAACGTGACAGCTATCTTGGCTGCGCACTTGCCAGGGCAGGAGTCGGGAAACTCAATTGTCGATGTGCTTTGGGGAGACGTCAATCCCTCTGGAAAGCTGCCTTACTCTATTGCTTTCGATGCCAAAGACACCGACGTCCCCATCGTCAATCTCACCGAAGCAGAAATCACGTCCCCCACAGCATGGCAAGCTGATTTCACAGAGGGCCTTCTCATCGACTATCGTCAACTCGACGCCGAGAATATCAAACCTCGCTATGAGTTCGGCTTCGGCCTCAGCTACACCACATTTGACTTGGATACATCTCTGAAGGTCAAGCAGCTCGCAAAGACTGTCGCCGCCATCCCGAATCCTTCAACACCTAACGCTCCTGGGGGCAATCCAGAACTCTGGGAGACTATCCTTCATGTCACCGCCGATGTCAAAAACACCGGCGCTGTCGCCGGCGCCACAGTCCCCCAGTTATATGTTGCCTTGCCACGGGACTCAGTTCCCGACGGCACCCCCGTTCAAGTCTTGCGTGGTTTTGAGAAAGTCATTTTGGAGTCAAAGGAGTCTAGCACTGTTGAATTCGAGTTGCTGCGTCGTGATTTGAGCTATTGGGATGTAGCGTCGCAAACGTGGGTCATCCCTGAGGGGCCGATTGAGTTACGCGTTGGCTTTAGTTCTCGCGACATCAAGGCTACGGCGAAACAGGTTGTCTTATCCTCCTAGGGTATGGTCTTGGAGTTGAAAAGAAAGTTGTTGGGTTTCTGAGCATGGTCTAAAGGGCTGAGGTATATGTTTAAATAGATGTAGCATCAACTAGCTCTTCGTGCTATTCAACCCTACATAATCTCAAAGTCGGTTTCCGCAAACGCAAGATTCTCCTTCATAGCCTCGCCATCCATCAGCCCATGGATATAACAATCGCCAATGATTCGCGCTTTCTTCTGCTCGTCTTCACGGACAATTATGGGATAGTCACACCCATATAGCACAACAACCAAGTCGCCCTCTCTTACCCCATCAATAGCCCAACCGAACCTGCCCTCCTCCGAGCGAAAGAATCTTCGATTGTAAGTCCACTTTGTATGCGCTCCGATAAACGTCTCTGCAGCCTCCTTCTCCTTCATGTAATGCGCCACCCCATCCTGCGGCGCCAACCCGTGAGACTCGATCTCGTGGTCCGTCCGCTCCTGCAGAACCCGAGCGAGTCCCTTACCCGGTTCCAAGGCGGTCTTGTAGTGTACCTCGAAACCAATCGCGCAATCCTCGCCAGGTCTCTCGTTTTTGTCCCGCGTGCGATTGCACATGAAGGCCCGCCAGAGGTTCTCCCACGTTTCCGGGGTAGCCGTCTTGTCTGGGAAAGCGACGTCAATTACGCTGCGGTACCATTCCTCTGAATGTTTGACCATCTTTTCCATTGTCTCATTGAGCCTGTATTCGGCGTCATTGATGGGGCTCTCGGGTCTCTCGGGATCGTTCTCAGCCATGCTACCTTCCACGCCCTCCTTCTCGTTTTCCCTTTCGTGTTTGAGGATGGCGCCGCCATACTTTGCCATTTTGATCGCATTTGAGTCGATAGGTCCAGCTTCGTGTTCTACCTTGCCCTTGTCAACTTCATTGTTTTCGCCAATGCCTCCCATCGGGCCCTGCTGATTTGGCACAGGTATTTGCCGCTTATATTCCACCTGGGCCACCACATCGACGATTCTGCCCTTGATACGCAGGACGCCCGCATCCTCATCGATATGTAGGCTCGGCTTTCTATCACCAGCAGCGGAGGCCTCTAGCCCACGAATGCGAAGCGGCTCAGTCCAGCCAGGGCGAGTCCAGTCAGGCACCCAAGACGGAAGCTTCAAAGTCGTGGGCTTCGATGAGTCAACGCAATGTGTGAGGATATCCAGCGACCCACCCCTGATGTTCTTGATCGCAAAGTCAGTGAACACCTGTTCGGGAGTCTGAGCGTAGTCGACAACATAGGCCCCCTTCTCATCGATGAGCCCAAGCACGCCGTAAATCTTGTCACTAGGGATTGTAGCTTGGAAATCTCTCAACTCTTCCAGCAAAGTAAGCAGTGGGGTGCTGGTGCATGTCGCCGCTTCGTCGACACGTTCCTTCCGGAGCTGTTCCATGAAGCCAATAGCTTTGAAACCTTTGCATTCGCTAATCATGGTTTGTAGTTTGAATTCTGACAGAGTGAGGATGACAATTGCGATGAAGTGCCAGGGGATCTGGATTGCTCCAAGATGGACTGTAACCTCGCGGGAGTTGACGACTTCTTGAATAATCCAGGTACGTTTAAACTAGATGTAATTTTAGCGATAACAGGGGCACGGCTATGATTAGACGTAGACACTTACCCATGAGCGGTTGAGCAATTCAGCCAAGAGCCCCCATTCAAGCCGACTTGTATCCGCATTGTTGTGAAAGTGCCATTGGATTTCATGCATCGTCGCGCTCACCAAATCAACAACCTTGCGATGAACAAAAATATCGTCAAATATTTGCGAGATCGCATGCAGCGTACGGACTGCGTGAAAATCCATTTCCGTCGACTCACCCAACCACACTCGCGTTCTCATGGCGCCAGCATACACCCGTCCCATGACTTTGACATGCTCGTTCCGCTCCTTAAGATCTTGCTGATTGATGCACAGCGCATCAACCCAGATTCGAAGCGGCTCCCCGCCCTCTTGGCTTCGCATTCTACGCAGCGCGCGGAATAGTTCCCCGCCGACGACGATCTCTACGCCGTCACATGCGATGGGGGCGTCAGGCATGCGGCCACCCAGACGTATGTACTGCTCTCCGTAGAAGGGGTGGTCGCAGAGGTCCTTCCATTTGGACGTGCCGGACTCGGAAATTGTATTGCCGTCGTCGTCCTGGCCGTGAATGGCCCAGGGGATATCACACTCTGGGTCGATTTCTTTGACGGCGTCGAGACTCTTGCTCCAACAATAACTTAGAGCCTCGTAAGACGCGTCTGGTGAGTCGAGGTTAAGATGTGAAATGCTACAGATTATTTTGTCATCGAAGTTGCCGGGCTGGACGGTGAGGATGCGAGTTTCTCTGGGGAGACTTAAGGGGCGATAGGGGTAGGTTGCCATTTTGCAGTGCAGTAGTGTTATGAAGGACAGACAATAACTGATACGATTGTACCTGCACGTGCGAAGAGTCTCGTCGGAGGAAAAGCTATATATCTATATGCTTCAGATTCCAAGTATTTTAGATGAGGCGGGCTATGTTGCTTTTCGCCAGAATTCAATCATTCAATTCTGGTAGGGCTGTGCTAGGCACCAGCTTAGCAGCAACACCTGTAAGCGTCATCTTGCGCGTGTAGGATTGGCTACGATGATGAACCCTAGTTCATAATCGCTGGGAAGATGCCTTTTTCCACTTGGGCCCTAAGTTTACGAAAGTCCCCATGCAGTTTAAGGTGTCTTCAGCCTGTAGTTACAAATGGCAGGATTCGTAGATGAATCCTCCCACAGCTATTAGCAGCCACCGACCCTAGTCGGGGAGACTGGCTTCCCTCGAATGCAATAGCTTTTTGACACATAGCTACCTTGCAGCCACCAGTCAATTACGCTTTCCGCAATACTTCTCTCGGCAAACGTGGCCTAGAGAAGATAAATGTATATACCGCTGATCGTCTACTCCTCCCCCTTTCACACTGACCTCAACTTCCCACCGCTATACAGAAAGCAAGCCTCGTCAAAAGGTAGAAATTGGCTGCACTATCGTGGGCCAATGTTAAGAAAAAGCCAGATGTGGTATTTCACAGAGCTAACGTTGAAGAAATTTTTGCCCATCGCAGCATGCCTTTCTGACAACCTTGAAAGAGATCACTTAGTACAGGTAGAGTTTGTGAGGTAGCAATAGATTTGTAGCTCAATGTTAACAGTTGAATCCTGAAGCAATGTCCATACTCAAAATACTCAAAGAGGACCAACTGTCTACGAGGTCAATTGTGGCCACAACATCATGGAATTCAGCCAGTATTGCGCCGCAGGAACATGCTTGGAAAAGCGTAAGTCTGGCAGTGAGTCATTTTTTTTCATGAACCAATTATGGCAGCGAAAACCAACCTCCGAACATAAGGTGTGTGGCTTATCCTCCGTCGCTTGATCTTTTAAGCGCGGCCCGAATCTGACCTCATAATCTTATTTAAACATCAGCGACAACCGCTAAGAGCGGACATGCACATGTTGGCAACTAAAAACCACTCCATCAAACCTTTTGACAACAGACTTTTAAGAACATAGGAAGTGTCTTCCAGATGGCGGTGCCACAGCGAATCGCCCCTTCCACCGAGGCTCTCAGGGAGTTCTACGTCGGCAAGGATGTGAATGACGTTCCGAAGCCGGCAGTAGTTTTGGATGCGGCCAAGGTCAGGGCGCACTGCCGGTCCATGTTGGAAGCCGTCGATGAGTTGGGAGTTGGATTTCGATTCCATGTCAAGACTCACAAGGTACGTGGTCCAACAACGTAATCATATCGAAGATGTGGATGGCTTCTGGAAACGAGATATTGACCATCGCCGCAGACTAGTGAAGTCACAAAGCTCCAGGCAGGCGAGAAGGCAACCAAGATCAATTGCATCGTATCAACTGTAGCAGAGATTGAGCACCTCCTCCCAACCTTCGAAGAGTACCAACACGTTAGTCGCCACGTCAACGTCCTCTATGGCGTTCCCCTTCTCGGTTCCCAGATCGAGCGTCTCGCCCTCTTAAGCCAAGAACTTGGCAAGGGCGGACTCACAGTCCTTGTCGACCACCCCTCCCAGCTAGACTCAATCCGTCGGCTCCATGACCTAAGCGGTCTCCCGGTAGGCGTCTACCTCAAAGTAGACACGGGATATCACAGGGCAGGACTCCCCGCCACGGCGCTCAACAAGGGCGGCCTGCTGGAGCAGCTTACACAGCTCGACGCGGAAGGCAAAGCAACGTTGGTGGGACTGTACTCGCACAGCAGTCTTAGCTACAAGGATGACACCGCCGACCAGGCGATGCACAATCTCGCTGGAGAGATCGAGGGGTGTCTGGAAGCCCTCCACGCCAACGAAAGCCTCCTCGCGGCTAACACCTCGAGGGAAATCACCATTAGCGTCGGCGCGTCTCCTCAGGTCACGGCCATTGAGAATCTGACGGGCACCACGGCGGCCAGCGGATCCGGCGAAGCGCGTCTTCGGACGGCTATCGGCAAAGTCCAAGATGGGTCGCCGACGGTGAAGTCGACGCTCGAACTCCACGCAGGAGTATATGCTTTCCTCGATATGCAGCAAATGTCTACCCGTTCGCGGACTGCACTAGGGAGCCACGAAGACGAGGTCGCCATCTCCGTTGTAGCGGAAGTTTGCAGCGTCTACAATGACGGCGAGCGGGGGAAACCAGAGGCGCTCGTCGCTGTTGGCGTGCTGGGCCTCGGGAGGGAGCCTTGCCCTTCTTATCCAGGCTGGGGTGTTATTGAACGCCAGCCCGGGTTTGAGGCTGCAGGAGAACGGAGGCTTATTGTGGATAGGATCAGTCAAGAACACGCTATTCTCTCGTGGGAGGCTGACGCTGGAGCGAACTCTGATCTACCGCAGATCCCGCTCGAGGTTGGTCAGTCTGTCAGTATCTACCCGAACCATGCGTGCGTTACTGGTGCTCTGTATGGTTGGTACCTTGTAGTCGACTCGAGCAAGTCTAACAAGACCGAGATCGTGGACGTTTGGGTTCGGGGATCTGGGTGGTGAGTGGAGCCATAGGGGTGGGTGCCTTATATGACCGTGCCAGATCAACCGATCAAGGGAAAGAGGCCAGATTTCTTGCGGACCAAATCGAAGATAGAATCATATTCCAAAACCCTCTACCAAGTCCTTCAGAGCTTTCAGGTTGCCCTTTTCCCATACCGTGACCTTTCCCTGCCACTTCTCTCCACCACCGCCACCCTTCACCCCCGTCACAACATCCTTGATCTTTAGTACCAGCGCCTCGACAGCAGCCTTCTCACCGAGAACAGAAATTTGTCCGCTGTTACCGTCATCTCCAGTAGCCAAGACAGCAATTCCACCACAAGCCATCACAGCGTCCTTGACATTGACGGTAACCCACTTCACAAAGTCCGCGTTGCCATCTGCACGATGAACCCAGACACTCTTCGTAGATTGCAATTTGACCTTTGCAGCGTCTGCTTCAAACTCGGCAATATCCGCGAGAAGCTTCTTTTCCCTCTTCTTGAGATCCGCCGCGGAGCTCTGCACACTCTTGACGGTCTGGACAACTTCCTCGGACGTGTTTTTGCACGAGAGCAGCTTTGAGAGAGAGCTCATTGCACCAAGGGAGGCTGTCGCAAGATTGATGGCTCGATCGCCGACGGAAAAGTAGAGGCGGTAGTTCTTCCCGTGGACTGGTTCGCCGTGATGGACGAGGATGAGTGAGATGTGGGATGTTTGGGAGAGGTGAGTGCCGCAACATCTGCAGCTTGTGTGTCAGCATTAAGGCACTACCAAGCACGATGTAGCATGGTGGGTGGTGGTTGCATACGTATCGCTATCAATGTCGCCGATCCGGACCACACGGACAACTCCTTTACTCTGGTCATAATCGCCGGGCATCTTATGGACCTTGGCATCCTCCGGGGTCTCGACTGTGATTGGGAAGCTGGCGCGGATGATTTCGTTACACCTGGCCTGAATGGCTTGTAGTTCAGCATCAGAAGGTTTCCGCGGGATATCGACATAGTTCATCGCCCCAGTTTTCCCCATGCCCCAGCCAAGAGTATTGAGGTTGTCATGGGTGTTCATGACGGCGGATAAGAGATGTTGGCCCGTATGCTGCTGCATGTGGTCCCATCGGCGCTGGAAATCGACTTCCTGTCGTACCTTCTCGCCGGGATCAAGAGGTTTGGGAGAGTGATAGACGCATCGTAGCCCAACGCGTTCAACAAACTGTATCGGAATGGCGGTTGCATCTGTGCTTGAGAGGGGAGTGATTGATCCATGATCAGACGGTTGTCCGCCGCCTGGAGAGCGCAGCTGTGTAAGTCTAAAGTTCCAATTCATTCATTGGAGTCGTGCGGTACCTTCAGGGAAGAGGACGGAGTCGGCGAATTCGATCAACCACACGTCGGCAGCGCTGCTGTTGGCGGCTGGTCCCGCAGATTTGTCCTTGCCAGTCTTCTTTACTGGTGGTGGTGGGGGTCTCTTTTCACATGAGATGACCTCCGCTTCTAGAGTGCGAAGATATGAGTTCTTCTGACAAGCTAATGCCCCGACTACTTGGGCTCGAGTTGATTCTGTCACTGCCATTTTTCAAAGAAGGAGTCTTGCACTGTCTGGGTAAGAATTGGTTCAACTGAAACGTCGATTCATGGTGAGTGAGTCAATTGAGATAGTGGTCAATTTCATCGATGAGATGAGGTAAGCAGATAAGAAAGGTGGAGACCAATATCGCGGCGGTCGGGCTTATTGAGTGCCGGGTGAATATTTGAGTCACGTGACTCACATCACGCGAGTTTCACCTCGGCCATTTGGGTGGGATGTCGACGACAATGGCAACATCATTCCATTTCGGCAATGATGCGAGTCAGGATGCCTGGAACCGTGACGACAAGTGGCGTTGATCACCACTGGGATTGGCTCCATACTTTCCTGCGATGGCCCAACACCTCGATGGTGTTCTCCGTGTTCTGCATCCTGCTAGCTTGGTCACAATGGTATTCTCACGGTGAAGCGCTAACTGATTATGGGTCAAACGTCCATATTTAACATATTATATTCATGAGATGTTGCGATAACTAATAACGAGGCCTACTCCTCATCGCGCGGCGTTGGAAGCACACGTCCAAGGCTTGGTTCCCTTCTCATTTGCAATCGACTCGATAGACGCCCACAGACCAAGCACGCAGATGAGGAAGCCCGTGAGAAACAGGATAACGTTGGCCACGAACTTGCACGTCTGCTTCCCGTCCTTGAACCAGTTGCCGTAGTGCATCCACAGCCAAAAGATGCCGGGAAGACCGTACGAGAACCAAGAGGCGAACAGTGCGCAGATGAGGCCGAGCAGCGAGTTGAACACGGGGATGGACTCGGCAATGACCATGGACAGGGCCCAGATGCTGACGACGATGCCGATCCACGCGATGCCAGAGAGCTTCGTGCGGCGAATCATGTGCTTCGTGTTGCGAAACAGGCGCGAGAAGATGTACTTTGCGGCAACGTGGCCGTAGATGACACCAGCGATGACAATAGTCGGGATGGCGATGCCCCAGATGGCCTTGCGCATCGTCTTGGAGCCGGCGGCGGAGAGGGCGGGGGAGGGGACGTCCGGGCCGACAAAGACGTAAATGACGATGGCGGCGAGCAAGTAGAGCGTCGTGTCGGCGATCTGGAGGAGAGCCAGGGCCTTGGGCCAGTCCTCGGGCTTCTTGAACTCGCCGATGACGCTGAAGAAGCAGGAGTGACTCGAGAAAGCGATGGCGATGTTGGTCACGGCGAGGAAGGCGCCCGTGAAGCCCAGCTGGCGGGCGACTTCGATGCTGCCGGAGCCGATAGGGCGGGAGACGGCGACGTCACCGAGGGTCATGAGGACGGCCAGGGTGATGGACAAGCATGCTGTGATTTTTGGTAAGTCAAAGTTCGCGATAGCAAATTCTCGGAAGAACGGCGGTTGAACTCACAAGCCATGGACATGTAACTCGTGTACTTCAGCGTTCTCGGGAAGTTAAGCACAGCGAAAACAGCCAAACCGACGACGGCCCACACAATAGTGCAGGTAGACGAGTTGGTCAGGGTGTTGAGGCAGATGGTCCAGGTCAACAAGTGGCTGCCCATGACAAAGACCTGGAAGATAACCTGCGCCCAGCCAAAGACCTCCTGGAAGACGGCGCCCATGCCAATGGACTTGCCAATGACCTCGACGGCGTCGCCAAAGTTTTGCACAAAGGGGTACTCGTTGCGGAACTCAGCGAGGACGAGGCCTGAGTACGTCGACAGGAAGCTCATGACGAGGATGAGAACAATACCGGGGACAAGACCGACAGTCGCCAGAACGGAGGGCAGCGAGAGGATGCCAAGGGACACGGTCTCGGCGATGAGGACAATGCCGCCTTGCCTGAAGGTATGTGGGTTAGCAAACGAACAGCCGTGGCGCTGTTAAAGGACAGCTAGACGTACCACCAGGTGAGAGTCTTGTAGTCGATCAGTTCACCGTCCTCTCCCGTTAGGACGCTGTTCTGCTCCTCCGCTGTCGCGGGCACGTAGGCCGGCGCGGCCTCCTCACGATCGCCGACATCCTTTTTGGCCTGGTTCTGAGCCTCCGTCATCTCGGGGCTGTTGGTAACGTCTGCGGCGCTACCCATATTTTCTCTAGTTACACACACAGGTGTGTAATGCCGTTCACTGCTTGCTGTATCTGACGCGTTGAAGCTGTCAGTAAGTCCGTCCGTCGTCCCGCGTGATCTGGTCGCAGATCTTGAGGAAGAAGCAGGATGATGTTGAGAAGTGGTTCAGAGATGGAGAGAACCACGACGGACGTTCAAGTGAGAGGAAGAGAGGGAAACGGTAGAAAATCTCTCTCATCCAGGACTCAGAGTCATCCTATCCTTGGGGGGGGACAAGATTTCTTGATATAATCCACCCAGGCCACGCCGCGATCGGCCTCGTCAACCTCACTGGAACCCGCGCAGGGCGAATTGGTCATACGAGACATCTGCCGAGGCGATCTCGGCGCGTCCGCAATGGCGAACCGCGCAGGGCCAGAGCCGTCAGACGGGCCCACGGGGGTGTGAGAAGTTGTGAACTCTTGCAGCGGCAACTTTCCCAGCAGAATGACTCGGGCCCGCACCTCCGGCCCACTCGGGATTGTGGCGATTTGGGGGACTTGTGCCTGGACGTTGGAAGCTTGGAACACCACACCCCTGCCCGGCTCTGGAGCCTCATCCACCACAACCACAACCATCTACGGAAACCCTTCCGCCGTTGACTGTTCGCCGGTGATGCCCGTCTCTTCGGTGTATTCAAGCTGATGTCTCATTTGTATACTGAATGCTTGCATCTTACTCTAGTCTCAAACCGTGAGGGGATCATAAGTCCCGCTACGGCAGCTAAAAATCCATCATTCGATACCAAGCTTTCTCCCACCCCTAATTCCCCATGCTCAAGAAGAAGAAAAAAGTCAATGGGCTGATCGGCCACCCCCAAGAAAATCCCCCAAAAGACGCAGAGTCGCCGTCCAGAAAAGACCACAAAGAACAGGAAAATCTGCCCGGAACGCGCCTCGTGCAAAAAAAAAATCTTCAAGCGCGCATTACCCATCCGTACCATTTCAACCCATCAAAAAGTCCCACACGTTGGCTAACATTTACGTGATTATATCCACTTGGAACGGGTTTTACTAATGTTGACGTCCCAGTTGGTTTGTGGAGTTGTCAATTCATGTTATTCCCAACTCCACGAGCGCAAGTCCCCCAATGTGCCCATTGCCCCATCCTCTTTTGCACCTTTTTCGCAGGTCCCCTTATCAAAATCCAAAAAGTCTGGAAAGATTTTCGGCCCTATTTCCCCGCGTAGTTCCTCACGATCCACGCAACGCAAGCCGATGCCGCAGCCCGCATGCCCGGGGCCGGCGCATGCAGTCAATCTTTTACGCAAATTTGTTCGCCAACGGGGGGTTTCCTGGTGTCTTGCTTTTTGACCCTTGCGTCCACGGATATGAATGCTTCCCCCCTTTTTCTACTCCTCTCGGGTCTGCATGGTCTGCATACTGCATAGAAGGGCTCATTTCGCCGTAATCCGCTTCATTCTAGAAGCCCGCAACCGGCCGGTCTCCATTCCTCGTGCCTTCTTCCTGTCACCGGAGACCATGGAGACGTGCCCACGGTTGCCTGTTCGTAGTCTCTCGAGTCTCAAGTAGGTTCCATATTCATCTGGGTGAGCATAGTGTACTTCTGTGCATAAACTGCATCAGATCAATAAAAAAACGTAAAGGGAACTTTTGGAGGCGCCAGATTTTAGCTATGCCATTGAGAGCATGTGATGTCCTTATTATTCTTGATAACCACATGATAAACAACATGAGATTCTTCGGAAACAAGGTACTCGGAAGCAGCTAAACAAGACACAACGTTCCATTTCCCTGTATAACGCACATGTAGTCATATACTAGTCCATACACGTGGATCTGGAGAAGCGCGGGAGTCCGTTCCTCGTAGATCCCGTCTTGCCCGCCAAAGGTCCATGACGGCTCACGACGGCTCTCCCGAGTGGCCCCCCCTCTCTCTTCCCTCCTCATGTTCCCCTTTTTTTACCCTTTTGGGACGACAGACTGCCTCTCCACGGTCTCTATCTACTAATCGTTCTCTTACTCACCCGCAGGTAACCGAGATCTGAGATCTCCTACCCGTTTGCCCACCCTTCTTCCCCGGATCTTCTCACTTCCCCTTTCCAAGCCATGTGCTAGATAGATCTTGTTTTTTTTCTTCCCGTCCCCCGCAATCTGCAACGTTGATGAAGGGTTCGTGTCATTTTATAAGGGGGGGGAGGGGGTTTCCCTATGATCGAGATGGCGTGCTGGTTGTTTGAGAGAAAAACTGGAGCCATCTTCTGGAGAGACACGAAGGGTGAGTGAGTATATGTAATGTGTGACTACCCGATGATGCGGTGCTTGGGCCAGACACTCAAACATTGACCATGGATGGCGTCTTATTTCCCACAAGTAGATCATTGATCTTAGTTTCAAATCAAGCTTGGAGCGTTGACTGGATCGTTGAAAGCCCAGCTCGTCAATAACAATACTCGCATCCGTCCTCATAAGGCTCCTTTCCTCAGAGTCGCGCGCATCAATTCGACATCAACAGATTATCAGAGTCACTTCCAATGGGTTTCAGGAGAAGACTACGGATGGCAAATATTGATGAGGGTTGGTATCTCATTCATTCGGGGATCAAATATCCCAGGTATCTATCCAGTCTCCCCTCCCCGTTTCGCCTGAACTCCCTTTTTTTTCTTCATCTCATATACATTAAAATTACATTGGTGAGTTATATGTAATAGGTAACGGGACACGGCGTCAGGCAGCGTCGCGTTATTTCATAGGTGTGATGATAACAACTATCCACTCAACCTTCTCCTCCGCATTCTTCAATGGCGTCCATTGGCTGGTGAGCTTCTCCATCTTGCCTGCCTCGCTCACAAGACTGGCAAAACCCGACCTACTGACAGGCCGTCCATGTTTCTTCGTGCTGCCGTCGGACTCGTCTTTTGAGGAACGGCCGCCGAGGCCAATGAGACTGCCCTTCCGTGCGAGGTAGCCACCGCCAAGCATGATATCTAGAGTAGCCGTCTTTCCATTCTGAATCACCCGTTCGCGCACCGTGTTCTTGAAGCTCTTCGTAATCGATGGCGAGTCCGCAAGGTCGGAAAGGACGGTAAAAATGTCTCGGTGGGTAATGCTATCGGCAAAAAGGCCGAGGCCGAGCGCCTCCAGCGCGGCGGCTGAACAAAAGGCAACACTCAGCTGGGCGGCCTTTCTCTTGTTAGGGTCTGCAGGCAGAGACGATGACCTTGGCGGGAAGGCGGAGGGTCCGTCTGTGTTTTGCAAAACAATGAATCGGCTGTAGCCAGAGTAAACAGAGCCCAGCTTAGTGGGTGCCGAAAGCTGCTCTTCTGAGCTCGAAACCGTTAACAACTGCTCTAAGCCGAGGCCAACGCCCTGCGACGGTGACGTGTTTTCCTGATTGTTGCTGTTGTGCGTCGTATGCTTTCGGAATGGTTGGAAGAGGCTTTTCTTGGGCCCTTTGTTGTGTAGACTATCCCTATTGCGGAGACTTGTCCGCCGTTCCTGTTTTCTGTCTCGGCTGCTCGTACGGCTCATGCGGCGACTGACTCGGGACTCCCGACCCGAGGTCTCTTCCTTGACCTCATCTAGCGCCGGCCCAAAGTTGAGAATCCGGAGAAGGTCTTTGTAGCCACCAACGTTGTCCGAAACGTTGATCTGCCCCCCGAGGTAGTATCGTAGCTTGCCGGAAGAGTCCGTGAGCGGACAGGTGAATAGAAGATTCCAATACGGGGTGCCGTCTCTCCGGTAGTTGAGGACGAGCTCCAACGACTCCTCCTCCCGCGCGACAGTATCCCGGATGCGTTTGACGGTGTCCTGGTCCGTCAGTGACCCTTGTAAGAACCGGCAGTTGCTTGACAGAGCCTCGACTTTTGGGTACCCAGTGATAGAAACAAAAGCATCTGATGCGGCGATGATGGGGTAGTCTGGGCTCAAGGCGTCCGTCAAGCAGAATGACTCGGCAAGACCAGGATATTTGAAGACTCGAGTGCCGGATAGAGCTGCCGAGGTGGAGATGGCAAGCTGATGCTTCACAAATTCTGGATAGATAGATCGGGCAACTCGTTGCTCGACGCATCGTGTAGATTCTGCAAACATGGATTCGAGACCGGGGAGAACAGAATTTGTCAACTGCTTCATATCGGCATTCAGTGACTTGGAGACGGTTGAAGGCAGGTTGGCTGGTGTCGGCATTGATGAGGCTTGTTTCCCGAACAGTGCTAATGATTTCGCATATTCCTGGGTTCTCAAGAGGAATTCAATGTCCGAACCGCAGCCATGATTTTGTGCGAAATGGAAGAAACGTTGAGAGACGGAAGCATTGGCGAGAACCATCTGGAACACCTCTCGGCCGAGGAAGTCTGGTATAGATAGAGTCTCTGGTTCGATCTCCATAACTGGTGGTCCAAAGCTTCGACGCAGACTTGTTGAGACGCTGTCGAGACTGGACCATATACCGGGCCCAAAAGTCGGGGATCTCGGGGACCCATCGGGGTTATAGTCGGTATATCGACGGAAGGCGTCTTCGTTCGTGTGTAATGACAGGCCAGAATTGCTCCTCAAACGCAAGGACATCTTATTCGGTCGTGAGCTTCGAGGCGTCGCGGGCGGAGAGAACCTCATGGTGGGAACGGGCAGGCAGGCCGAAGTTGGACTGCTTCTCATTCCCAGCCCCCGTAGACCCTTTGGGCTTTGGTTGTAGTCATCATCGTATGGCGGTGTCACGGGTGACCTTCGAGACATGGAAGAGGCCATGGTTGTAGTTCGGCTTGAGAAAAAATAAATGAGTGACGAGAAAGGAGTGTGATAAGTGACAGCCCTCTGGCAGGCTCGGCCGGACGTAGGAAAATGACAGAAGGCGTCGATTACAAGAAACAAAGTAGTAACTTTAGAAAAGGATACCCGAGTATTAGCAACGACTACGGCCGCATGTTATGTGATGCAAAAGAAACAAAGTGACTGACACCGATAGCACATGCCACCACGAGTTGGAGGGGTTTCTCTGGAGATGGAAAAGACGGCCGACGTCCGGTGCTTATAGCAAACGCGCCGGTGGACGGACCCTGACTCGCACTGGGACAGTCTCTTTGGTGTTGTGCCAGGCTTGTCAAACGCCGTAGGCAGTAAGATGTCTTAGCCCGACGCCACGAACTTGTGGGGGAAAGCCTGGCTTGCTAAAGCCTGGGGCTTCGGAGACAAACACACATAATGAGCTGCGTCTGCCGAGCGTTCTCGTTCGTTCATTGTCCCATGGCGCAGAGCAACGTTGAGGCCCGATGCGACTTTTGCTTACGTTTGCAGGTGCGCATCGTCGATCACCGTCATCAATGCTTGCCAGCGACTCCATGAATGAGTTACCAATATTGGCCTTCCGACCTTGTAGATTAGGACTGGGCTAGCTGCCGGTCTGTTGTTCCAGGCTTGATCATCAGGGGTCACCCAGGAGCAAACTGCATGTGAGTGTAAAAAAAGCAATGAGACCGTGCGTCAAAGTCGGTTGGCGAGTTGATTGTGGCGGCGTCGAGAAGCTCCTTCACACGACGATTCTACCTCGCCTAACACCATTATGTTGGAGCTAAGATGAACGGGGTTTGGGTGAAGATGCTACCATGCCATCCGAAGTTTGGTGTCGACGATGAGGAGGAGAGCGGCGAAGGCGTAAGGAACAGCCAAAGGTGCAAAGGTTGGCCAGGAAATGTTGGCTGAATCTTGGTCCACATGGTAGACGATCTCCCGCCATTGCGTGACGACGGAGTGGCACAGGCCTATTTTGGGTCCCTCCCAGACCGCCTGGTTGGGACGCCTGTCCCTGTCGGGGGTTCATGAAGGGGCACGACGCCGTTGCGACGCTTTGGCCGGTGGCGGCGGTTGGATGTCGCATGCTGCTTTCGGTAGAGTAGCGTGAGCAGGTACACGAAGGCAAGAAATGTTGTCATGCAGAAAGCGGCGGTCAGCAAAAGACGAGAGAGAAAGCAGGGCGAAGAAGGACGTCGGTTCTGCAGTCGCTATTGGGTTTTCTGTTGACAGTGTCCATGCCCGTACTTCAGCACGACATTTGAGGAAGCCGCGCAGGCAGGAGAGATAGAGGGACTTCCGTGTTGTCGTTTCAGTATAGATAAAGGTCTCGGATACCATCGACGTGAATGTCGCAGATCGAATAGAACATGTCGGTCTTAGAGCCTGGTGCTGGCTCGGTGGGTGGACCGTCGTTGGTGTGCCCCGCGGCATCTTCCTCGAGCGGCAGACCAACGGTATCCGCGATCTCGTCGCCACACCAGCGAATGCTTCTCGTGTTTGCCGGTGTGGCCCGGTGACCATCGTAGCTAATAGCGCTGGCGGGGACTTTGAAGGGGAGGGGCGGGAGAAGAACTGCGGGCAGTAAAAACCGACTGTGCGTCTAGCTCACGGCTAGGTGTATCAGGTAGCCGTCCTTGCGGGAGGCTCCAAATGGCCAATATCGAGCCGTTTTCAGGTGAAGAGTGATCGATGACCTGGTGAGTCGTCACAAACGACACGCGTGGGAGGACGAAACAGAAGTTCGAGAGACATAAAGAGGTCTATGCTTGGTCAGAGTTTGGCGGTATTCCATCGTCTCGTCTGGGCACCAGGATGATCAGACGGTCCCTGCACGGATAGCGGGCTGCAAGAGGGCGGGAGCGAGTTCAGACGAAAGAGACTCTGGTCTGTGTGACCAAACCGGCTGATTGTGCTCTTCAGCTACAAATCGTCGTGTGATGTGCGAGCTGTACTCGGTAGAGAGGTGCAGAGAACTTGAGAAGTGGGAGAACTGGACTGGACCTGAGAGATGGAAGGGACGGGATGCACAGTGCCCGAGCTCCTTGGTTGAGTACGTACCTATGCTCCAAGGGTAAGTACGTACCACCAACGCTCGTCGTTTGCGCCTCAGACATTCAGTTCGTCAAGCCTCAACAACCGCTCCAAATTTCTTCCGTCCAACGCCCCTCATTCACCAGCTAACTTGCTATGCAGCTGTTGAAAGTCGAACCTGGAGGTCGCTGTTGGTATCAGGTCCCGTCATTGCACGCCCGAGCTTCATGCGCCGAGCTCATCCTCCCGCCATTTCCCCAGATTCAGTCATCAAAAGGACGTGAACGATGAACAGCTCGCCGTCTACTGCCACCCATACGCATGAGAGCCGTTGACACTGTGGGGAAACCATGCGGGAACCAGTGACCTCCCATGCGTAGCAGCGTGGCGGCTGGCACCTACGCGGGAAAAGAAAGCATAGTCGAGCCAGCCTCATGTTCTCGGCGGGGAATTATTAGCTCTCAGATTAGGCGCTCATGGAGCATAGACCGAACAAGCCTGTGACTGATACTAGACTGTGGAGGCTTCGGATAAGGTAGTTATTCAAAGGGGAACTGAAATAAATTTCTCCTCTCATTGCAGCATGCTTAGACTCTCGGAAGTTGGAGATTTGCTATCACCATTACATATGCTAGGTAACAAGTCTACACGTGCACAGACTCCAGCGCCATAATGAACGAGCGAACGTAGAACAAATTCGGCAGTAGGCTTCGAGACCTAGCCGCGGAATCTCACAAGAACCCCAGATGTTGGCCAAATGCTCAGGCTTCAGGTTCGGCCAATCCTAATCAAACTTAGAAATGCACCAGTCAACAGCGACTAATCCAGCTAGCTTGAAGCCGCTCAAAGTGGTGCCATCACATAACAATCGCTCGAGAAGCATCAAGTTGAATTCGGGTTAGTGAAATAATGGCTAGGTCGCGATGGGATGAGAAATAGCGAGATATTACAGACAATGTCAAAGGCCAAAAGGATGCTTAGGTGGTCCTAAGTTGCGGAGACTCTCGGCGAAACTCAATTAATGCAGACTCAGTTTGACTTTCCCATCATAATCAAAAGACGCGGTTCGTCACTTGCCTCTGTAGTTCTGGTCAGAGAAAAGCCTCATTACTTGACACAAGGGCTTAACGGCATGACACTAGTTTCAACGTGTCGTTTCACCATTCATCTTATTCATTCACTCTCAACTCTATAATGCCCTTCTGATGTCTGGTCTCACGGAAGCAGGCTGCTCAAGGATAGAGAACGCGTTAGCTGCCAGGCAATCTGGAAAAGCTCTTGAAAGTTAGATTGTTAACCTCTAAAGGCAAAGCTCAGGTGAAATAGAGCAGTCACGGGCTTCCGGGAAGTGGGTTTTGACTGAGCGGTTGAGATACCATCTGCGGCTGCCAACGAAAGCTCTAATCGAACCGCACTCGAGGCTCTTTGAGCATCCCCTGTATTCAAAGTACTCTCTTTGATCACTGAGGATGTGAGAAATTCGGCCTCAGAAGTGTCGGATGAAAGGTGACACTGCTGAGGTTCAAATTCTGTAACTGGAGCAGGAAACACCTCTCGTTCGTTGTTAAAAAAAAAGAGGTGCCAGGCCAGAGGGTTGCAGACTCATGATCTCATAGTCATCGTGGATTATGTCAGCAGCATACATGACTAAAGAAATGTCGCCCAATGACTCAGGGGGGAGGCCGCTACAGAGGGTACCCTACGGGCGCTAAATCGCTAAAACGGACTACAACGGCGCTGGAAGCAACTGCATTGGCCCGCGACGGACCCGCCTTGCAGAGCTTGCGACACGCCGTGATACCTCATCGTCGACATCAGCCGAATTTTGATGTTCTCCACTACAACTACAACCACAACTCAATCATCATCATCGCCCGCTCTTCTTCCCTCGAATACCAGAGAAGGCGAAGAACACCTATCGCATATGCGTGCCATACAACAAAACTCGCTACAATGCCTCCCAGCCATCGGCTCGGGCAGGCTCTCGCAGAGGCTCGATCCAAAGCTCGATCAGTGTACGACCTCCTGCGTAGCCGCGGCGTCAATGACGAGGCACGTGTAGCCGTCAGGATACTCCTTGGTACTCTCCACAGTCTTTGGCTATTATTCGAAGACTTTGCAGAACAAGGCACTTCGCCTGCATGCCCAGACCACACCCTTTTTGACGACTTGAGCGATCTTCTTGATAACCCCAGCCTTGAGTGGTCAGCAAGCTCGTCAGCTCCAAGAAGCGAGCCCCCTTCTCTTTCAGTGTTTACCTCGAATATCTACCGGATTCATTGCCAACTCGATTCTCTTGTTCGTTGCGACTCTTGGGCTGCTTTACTCGTGCGCCTGTCGACGGACGGTCACCACAAAGATGTTAT